ATGAGAAAAATGATCTACAGACTTGTTACTCGTGAGCACCTTGTGCTGCTTGTTACGTTGGATATATTAAATTGTCAGATCTTTAACAATAAATTCTTACCTCGTTTTTTAGATCAGGTTTACTCAGCCAGTGCGCAAAGAGCAGATCGCCTTCTCCCACTTTGTACCACAGAGCGTCATGGTAGTCGTCGACAATGGCGGCAGAGTCCGCGGCATCAATAACGAGCTTCGACGTCTTTTTTGAACGGACTTTGCGGGACCTCAGCTGGCCCTGAAGAGGTGCGGCCTTTGCATTGATGCAACTGTAGTCGTAGCAATAATTGCCATAAGATCCGCCTATTAGTTGGTAATGCAATAATAATGCCCTGAACTGCAAAGTCGATGCGGCAGGCTTAGTTTCGTGCCTTAAAATGAGCAGCACATGGTGATGCTTGCAAAACATATCATAGCTCTGAAGTAAAAGAGCAAGAAAGCACGAAATTGAACGACATGCAAGAATGATAAATTTGTCTTCAATTTGTTACTGCATCACGTCAGCGACTTGAAGCCGAATCTGTCATTTGCTCTTCATAACTAAGAGGCTACAGCTGAAATATTCATTTGAGAAAGGGGTTTGTTATTCCGCTACAAGGTCAGTGCGTTAAATATCAGTTGGTAATAATTATGGAAGTTATTGCGTCTCTTGATTTGGGGATTTATTTGCGGTAATTATTGGAAGGTCCATGATGCACTAGTATCAACTCCAGAGCTTCGACCTGTGACAGGGTATGTGTAGAAAATGTTCTTCAGGTATCTAGGCATTGTTATAAGACCTACGCAGCTAGATGTATGGGTAGTTCTCACTTGTAGATTGACGAAATACTGACAAGGTCCCCGGCAGGGGGACGAAACATGTCCAGTGCGCGTTAAAACAAATCATTTGCTGTACTTAACTCTTGCTTTTTACAGTAATATGGTTGGAATAGCAAATACGTGTGGTATTTACTATTATATTTTTAGGGGTCATGGTTCGGTCCGAGAACAGCAAGAATTTGATTATTTACACCCCCTTTTCTTAGATTCAGACCCTTCCTAATGAAGCCGATTTTTGGAACCCAATATCTGATATCATTTATCCATAAATTTATATTGAGCTCAATGATTTATGCACCATATTTAAGTAAACACATATAACAACGTTCCTAACTCTATTAAAATCCTTCATGCAGCCCAATAAAGTCAGGCACCTACAAAACTCTTTATTCTCCTTCCATTTTTAGCAGACACGTTCTTCTGGTTTACAGCACATAATGCTACCTCTAAATGATCGATAGCAACAGATTAGAGACTGACAGCATGCCATTCATGCAGTTGCATCTCACAGGATGCCTGCATTTTGGGCAACTCTCTCGCTAGGGTTGCGAAACAAACGCATAATCGGGATCTCTTCTGACTTCTATTTAAACGATTTATGAAAGTTGCAGGTGTGCATATGTAATCAAACAAGCTCATTGCGTGTTTTTTTATAATTGTGCGCTCTATCTGTAGACGAAAGCTCAATAGAGCTAAATAGATCTTGCCGACAAATAGCATGCATATGAATTTCACAATCATCGACAAAATACGCAATGAGTTTGTGTAAGTAATCACATACGCACATCTGCACCTTTCACAAATCGCTCAAAAGAAGTCAGAAAAGACCCGGTGATACGTTTGTTTTGTAACTTCAGTGATAGAGCTCCCCATCTGAGCATAATGATTGATTTATGCGTGATGAGTGTCGCAATGAATGTGCAATTACTTTGTCCATTCAAATCATGAATTCCTATAGGTGTTTCTATTTTTTTGTCCAAAATAGTCTATGGGGGTTCGGAGGAGAACCGAACTGGCATCACAGGAAGCCAAGGATCGTATCCACTCAATTGTGGCTACAGTATGAGGCAATTGTTTTAGTAGAGGAGCTTAAAAATGCACGCAAACTGTATATGCTATGTACTAAAAATCCGTATAATACACAGCGGTGACCTCAATAATGACGTCAATTTTGCCTGCTCATAATCATCCCATTCAATATAAGTCGAATAACCTCAACCTACACTCCTTTTGAATTCTTTAATTGTGTAATACATTCAGGAACCGCTATTTAACCATCACCTTCTTTGGTGTTGCCCCTCAGTCCCAAATTTCTCGAAATCTAGTTGGTCAATAATAAATCGGGAACTTGTCATCGAACCGCCCAATCCTTTTTACGTCACGAAGATACTATTGTTCTTCTTGGATTTGATTTAATCGACATGGTATAAGGCTTTTGCCGTATAATTGCTGCTGCTATGTACGTCACACAAGCCTGTGATGACGGTGATTAATCTACCTAGTCGTGTGTGGCATTTGGTGCTTCGGCAGCGTGTATGCTCATGATAAAAAATGAGCTTCAGTGGCTAATGGTATCCACGATAATGTCCGTGTATGCTATAGATCGTATATTAGAGGTAAATCTCATGTGAAGAATTGGAGTTCATTGCTGCAACAGAACATTGACGAGAACCTACTAACAGTGCCAACTACTTGACATTGCGTATTAAGCTCGATTTTAAACAGGCCACAAAGACTAGTTAGCGCTCATTTTGTTGGTCCTCGTACTCGTCTGGATTGTTTGCGCACTTTTTTTTACCACAATACAGGAGACGAGCTACCCGGTGTAGATTACAAGTTTAGTAGTGAGCATTTCTTTTAACGAAAACGCTGATGATGCACGCCCTTTTTTATGAGCTATGTTCAAGGTGCTTGGCCACGCATAGAAAAGAAGGTTGAGGTGTAGCAGCAACGCAGCAGGTGTCTTGAACAGTAAGCGTGACATCGCTTTTCTGTCGCAGCAAAGCGATAGCATGGCTGGGTTTTACACCAGCGCGTGTCAGGGACAAGAGTGATTGCCGATTTTCTTCTGTCAAATAGCGCTCTTGCAGATGGGCAACCTACTGGGTAAAAGGCTCATGATTGTGTTCTTTATTGGCAACTTGTGCCTGCTGATCTCCAGTATCTAGTCGTCGTACACTACTTACCTTAAACAAGCATCCAGTTCTACTGCTGCACGAATTACGATGGCGAGGTCCTGTACGTATGCACTGGAGGTGTGATCGGAGCTGTCAAGATCAGCAGCTTTGACGTCACTGTCATTCCTGTTGCCTATCCTTCCTGTGCGTCTGGTTGCAACAATATGACCTTCCCACTTTGTATGTGTGGTGCTATCATGGCGAATCTTGCTTGTTCCAGGGAAGCACAAGAAAGCTGCGGAGGTGGTGCGAGGCTGTTAATAGAGAAGGAGCTCTTTTTATTATCGATGTCCCAGTTCTACTACAAAAAACCAGTGCAAAACACTTCAACGAATCAGACTGCGGAAGAAAAAAAACTTGGGACCAAGGGGAAATTAGCAAGAACGCGATGAATAAAAAGCGGTTACTTTTTTTCAATTACAAAGGTAAAGTCACGTGGCATTCGATGGTGTACTAGTGCTAAGTGAAAATATGATTGGAGATAGTGCGAAATGAAGGCACCAAAGATGATTCAGATACTATTTCGTGTTAGAAGTTTTCGCGTGGAACTAAGGCATTTGTGTGCGAAAAGGTAGAAGCAGAAGTGAATATATAAAAGTGTTATCTTTGCTCGCTAACTCTATAATATAAACGTGCACTGCAACTTGAATATAACACGATAGCGTCCGTCTTCCCTTTTATCTTGAAGCCGTCGCCGTGTCGCCCAACGGTCATGACGCCACCTCATCCCTCCCACCTGGTCCATTATTATCCTGTCACAACATCTGTCGTTGTCGTTGCCTTGTCGCATTATCTGTCACTGTAGTAGTCTCGACTCGCCATCTTTTAAGATGTTTGTGGACTCGACCGATCTGGTGTCACCGTCTCATGTTATAGCAGTTGAGCCTAGAACATGACAATAACTGACATTACGTTTCGAAACATGCATTTCTAACACTCCTCCTCGGTGTCATCATGAGTTGTCTTCAACCCGAACTTTGCGCGCAGTTCCTCCATTCTTGGTGCCGGCAGCTAATTTGTCAGGATGTCGGCCATCATGTCTTGGTACTTGACAAACCTTGGAGCCACGATCCCTTCACTCGCGTAGTTGAAGATGATCTTGGACTTATGCCGCGTGCTTGAAGCTTGACGTACTCTTCTCCGACTCGATATGCTTGATTGCCGCTTTGCAGTACATCCACATCGGTATCGGTTTGTAGACGCTCATCTTCAACTCGTCGAGCAGCACTTTTATCCCTAGCAGCTCGCATACAGTTTGATGCCGCAACTAATTCTGGCTGCATGGTGCTCAGAGACCCACCAGACTGTTTCTTGCCCAACCTAAGGACAACAGAGCCATCCATGGTCAGAACACAACCAGACACAGACTTACGGTCCGATTTGTCCGCCGCGAAGTCTGCGTCGCTCCAGCACTAGACTTGCATATCCTTGGAAATCGATCTATCACCGCCCAGATGTAGCTTTAAATCTCTCGACATCTTCAAGCAGCGCATGATCATCTTAGCAGTCTTCCAATCCTAAGTTGTCGGCTTATGCGTCTGCCTTATTGCCTTGTGCACCGCAAAGCAAAATTTCGGCTACGTGCACCTTGCAATCCATAGCAAACTTACCATTATTGACTGAAAGACTTAACCCTTGGGTTGTTCTGGCACTTTTTGCTGGCACAATAATTGAACATCTTGATTTTTCAAGATTGCACTTGTCGCCAATTGAGTCCCTTCAGTAATTCTTTAACAGCAACTCAATAGTCACTTGTTGGTCCAGACTGTATCCCTTCGACTCGTCCAGCTTGATGCGCAGTCCCAAAAAACTTGTTCACGAAGCCCATATCCTTGATCGATAGGCATGTCAGTTCAGTGAAGGAAATGTTTTCTGCACTTTGCTCAGTCCCCGTGACAATGAGATCGTCGACAGACACCCCGACCACCGTGCATGCTTCACCTTGATATTTGAAGTACAAGCACATGTCCGTCATGCACAGTCTAAAACCACTCTGTCGAAACTAAGAATCAAGCAGCTTGCTCCAGAGTCTTCCAGCCTGCTTGAGTCCGTATAGCGACTCTTCAGCAGTAGTGCCAAGCTGTATGTCGACTTTGTTCCTAGACTCTTGAGCTCCTCTTCGTCCATGATCATCCGTTTGGGCATACTTATGTAGATGTCCAGATGCTCCTCCTTTTCGGCCTTGACGCATGCGTTCGGTACATCTATGTGTCGAGCCGGTACCTTCCAGCGTCTTGAGAGCATCAGGATTATCTTCACCGTACTCAAGTCCATCACTGCTGCGGAGGTAAGGTTGTAGTCGATCCCGAAGACTTGTTTATTTCCGCAAACGACTAGACGAGCCTTGTACCTCTCAATGTCCCCGTAAGCATCCGTTGTTGGCTTGTACACCCACTCGTTGTGTAGCACGTGCGCATCCTTGGGTGGTACAACAATCGTCTGGACGTCGTTTGCTTTCAATGTATCCAGTTCTTCAGTCATGGCGGTTTTCCACTCTTGATGATGCTTGATCTTGACCTCTTCACCATAGTGCTTGATATCTTGTGCCATTGTAGCATTGACGACTGCTTTATCTCCAAAAGTGTCTTTACCTGATGTCCCTTCAACTTGTTGTCTGTAGATCGACCTTGTACCATGTCGTTCGATTGTCCATCCGGACTTCCGACCCTTCCGATGTTTCGCGGTATGTCGCTTACCGCTTCGTTGTCCTTGAGCATTAAGTTGATCAACCTTCGTTGACTCCTCATGACGATATATTCCATCTTGATCCGGGTCAAGGTGTCGTCAACAACGATTCAATGTTTCGATTGTGCTATGTCACCAAGACCACCTTATATAGTACACATTGTACCCCTTCGTCTCATCTGTCTTGCCGATGATGATGGCCGCCCTTTCGCGCTCTCCGAGCGACATGTTTTTTTGCATCCACACTGATAGTGCAGATTGAACCTAACGTTACTATATCGGTCAACTTGGGCACCTTCTTCGTTTGAAACTCCAATTTGGAGATTTTCCACCCGGATATGACTTGGTCTTGCCTCGATTCAGGATGTACGTCGCTTATTCCGCGGCATCGCTCCAGAACGTCAAGGGTAGGTTCGAGGCAAACACCAATAACTGTATCACATTCATGGTCCGATGCATACGTTCAGCCTTGCTGTTGCTTGCTTGATTACTGGCCCCGCTAACTTGACGCGAAACCCCCGTTGCCTTGCAAAACACGTCCAAATTCTTGTACTCGCCGCCTCCATCCGTGCGTAGCACATGAATCTTGCAATCGAACTCGCGTTCGAATTGAACAAGGAAATGCTTGAACTTGAGTGCAGCGACGTCCTTGGTCTTGGCCAAAAACACACAAAAGTAGTTGGACCGGTGAGCAATGAAATATACCAGGAACCGGTTGCCCAAACGATCTCGTGGGGTCATCGGTCCTTTCAGTTCACTGCATATTGCACCACGGATAACATCGATAGGTGAGCTTATGCCAGTGTCCATCTTCGACTGCGGTTGGTTGCCTGTTTGCTTTAAGCACACGCAAAGTACTTCATGCGTGTTGTGTCGGTAAGCTTGATGCATGACGCTGAATCCTTGGCCATCTTAATTATCGCATCGAAGCATAGATGACCAAGTCAGCGATTGAAATACATCAAGGTACCACACTTAACATCCTAATCGGATTTATATCCATGTAAATTGATCACAGCCATCATAGACTCCCGTGGTGTACCATTGACCATTGCACGAGGTCCCAACACCTTGACAACAAGCACGTTGTCGGTGCGGTTGACATTCATAACCGGTACACCCTTCGTCGTGGAGGTCAAAACTCGCCCCCTCCTCGATATTCGAGTACGCGTCCTTTAGCCTTGAGCTTACCATAGGATATGATGTTGATCTCGAGGTTTGCGGCGTACTGGACATCGAGGAGTCTGATGGTCTTTTCAAATCCGATCGACACCCCTGATGTCGTCACTCTCTTGCTTGGTCACCTGGAGCACATCTGCGTCGGTGTCCGCAGTCAAGCATTCACCCCGACAGTCTTTGGGGTCGATCAAAAGACTTGGATCATTGGCCAAGTGTCTGCTGGACCCACGGTCGAGGTTCCAGTGGCCCTCATGGAGGTCACCACCGTTTTCAATTGCGAAGGTGAACACTGAACTAGCAACCTATTGATTTGCTCGCGGGCACCTTGATCTGATGTGGCCAACTTCTTACACCTGTAGCATGTACGCTGGCACCACCTTCGTCAATAAGTTCCCTTGACCTTAACGCGACCCTCTCTTTCAGATCCCTTCTCGGCTCAACAGCGTTCACTACGTCTTGACACAAGTTCTTCGCATGCGGCTCTATTTAAGATACTGAGTAAACCGAGCCAGCTCTTGTGCTTGCCGTAGAGAGTCGGGTCGTTAAATGCTCAACCTTAGCAACATGGTCATTCTCATGTTTGGGTCCGCGTATTTGACGATGCTTTAAAGCACTAGGTTGCCCGCACCTCCACACGCATCGCTCACGGCCGTCAGGTATAGATAATGGTCCATCCAACGCCTGTGTGCCGCCTTCGGTGTCGTGAAAAACTTCATGCTTTGCATTGGTGAAATGTTGGTGCTGAAAACTTGAAGCATCCTTTGCATGGCGTGGTCAAGAGTCTGGTTTTCGATCCACTTAGACTCGACCTGTCGATGATAGTAGATCCGGGCCTTAAGGTTCTGTCCTAGCACATCGACCTTGATATTCTCCGGCCATGCAAACCCGCATGTATGCTCCGCGAATGCAACTTGTCGGACGAAAATCTTGCATCATCCGATGAACCCACTACAAAGTCCTTGGTAGCGTTCCTTGTCGTCAAATGGTTGAAGTGCAAATACCGATCTCCCGCCACCGGCATGTCATAGACTTAAGGGCCTTCATCAGCAAACAACCTGTCGAGCATGCCTACACCGGCATAGTCGTACAGAGGTGTTTCTTTCCTGGGGCGTGCCGGTTCAGGCACTGGACCCCTCCTGGACTCCGCGCCACCGTAGTCGTCACGACGTACACCAACATTTCCAAAGTCTTAACGCCTTGCTCTAAAGTCGATTGGAGACCTCTTGCGGTAAGGAGATCCCTCCAAAGCTTGGAGGGTCATCCCCGCTTCCAGGACCGATACGAAAAGGGTTTCCGAAGGTTCCTTGACGTCCTTGCCATCTTGCTCTCTCTGAGACTACTCCAAGCAATTCATTCGTTAGCTGATGTCTCCAAGCATCAAATTATCTTGTACATCGCCCCCTTGGGCGCTGCCGAATTTTCTTCCAGTTGTTCCTCTGCGGCCTTGCTAGGACCGCCGGTAACTTTGGCTGGTTTAGATTGTGCAGCCGCACTAGCCTCGCGCTTGATCTTTGGGCTCATAACCTGTAGAAAACTAAGAACACATAACAGAAAAGACTTTACTTTCGGACGCGTGCCAGACGCGTTTTGGCCCGCCGCCGCGGGCCTCCTCAGTGGCTTACCGAACGCAAAGTGAGACCTCAGTGCAACGGTCTCTGCCGCTGCCACACACTTCCCTACGCATCGAACATTCTAGAACTACTTCTTATACGGACTAATCTGACACTATTTAGCAGACTTCACCGGCGTACAACTAGTACACGGCTAGAGACGAAACATCACTCTTCAACATTTCGATTGTCATACATGGAGAAAGAGAATTAGTCACAGGGGTGTAATATTCGGTTTGGCAAGGGTGTGCATATCAGTTTTGGCAGGAGGAGCAGTAAATAGCAGGTTTGACGAAGGGTGTGAATCTGAAGAAAAGGGTTGTGAGTTTACAAACTTTCGTAAAAATTTGCAAATACGAATGGGTCGGGTCGTGGGTGCGCCTACGAGCATTTTTAAGCAGCGGGTCGACCCAAATGGTGGGTCACCTACGACCCACCGACCCATGCAGAGCCCTCGATCGTGCGCAGCGGCACTCGGTATGTCTGCGGCGATAAGCTGAAAGCGAATTAAGCAGCAAATGACCAGGTATAGTCGAGTGCACAGCAGTAGACCTCACATTCTAGCATCGTACCACCAACGTATCCGAAAATTGTTCATTCCCGCTGCGTTATGGGGAAAACAAACGGAGGAGGGCGAGAGGGTAGTTTAGCCGATGACCGAGATGGGAGCGGATTCCGAAAAAGAGCCGCCCAGGGAGTCATTAGGAATCTGAGTGTTACCATGGTATCATGAAAAAGCAAGCTGGTGCAGGCTAGTGCCAGTTTAATGTACGAGCTGTGGTAGCTAGAAGTAATTGGAGCATGGTATGCTCCAACAAACCAATGTTATGGTCTACTGCTGCTGCTGAACGCTCAGCTCTTGCAGCTTGTTACTTATGGAAGTGGCAGGGTGTCTACAATGAATCAACGAGCATGTATGGTCGCTGATTCGATGTGTGGCGCTTGACAGTATAGAAGACCAAGCAAGAGCCGTGTACACTACACATGAAGTCCGATTGACTTGAAGTGTCCGATCTAATCAACACTACTTCCGGTACACCTTGCGTGCATTTGGACTACGTCATTGATAAGCCTGATACATGCTGCTACTAGCCAAGCACCTCAACAGACACAACAGCTATCGTTAAAGAGCTACTGCCACAATGTACTTCTGGTGCTGTAAGTTGAATGTACGTGCACCATTGCTACCACATAGACAGGTACTAACCGCTACTCATTGAGGTGTCAATACTAATAGCAATTGCTTCAGCTAAGGTTGTGATGTAAATGAGCCAGTGTAAAGAAGACAGTCAGCGACGTTGCTACCGCAGTAGAGCTCAAAGTCTACAGCGAGTAGACAATTGCCGCTGTATACACAAAAAGCGAAAAGACCAGGTAGACAATCAATGTATGAACAGCGGCAACTCGGTTTACCAGCTCTGTCTCAACTGAGTACAACAAACCCTCCTTCAGCTTCCAAAGCTTCGATGGCACCAAAGCCAGGAGGTGGCTCGACCACGTACGCTTAGATGGTAGCGGGGTCAATAGCGCTCCACTTCTGGTTGGCGTTGTTGGCCGAGCAACCATACAGCTGCACCTTGTTGCCTTGCGCGGGGTCCGTGTCAAGGCAGAAGCCCTGGTGCTTCACGTGCTTCAGCTGGCCAGTGGCACTGTCAAACACCCACTTCTGGTTGACCTCTTGGTCCATGCAGCGGAACACATGCACGATGCCAGCGTCCCACCCCTGGTATGCGTCCAAACAGCGATCGCTGCTCTTCGAGCGCACCTGCTGCGTAGCAGAGTCGAAGAACCACACTTGCTGCTCCTGCACCAGCCAATCGCTCGATTTACCCGACATGTACACGTTCCCTCCATTCTCCGAAAGCAGTAGCTGCGTACCAGCATTGCGAATAGCACGAGGTTCTCTCCATCCAATGTTCAACTGCTGAAAGTTGCTCTTCATCGTGTCGTCCTCGTTGAACACGCCAAAGTCGGCCTCGACCTCCTTGTCACCGTCCGTCACACGCCACTTGGAGTCGAACGCAACGTACCAGTAGTACTCAAGGTTGCGCGAGCGAGCCATCTGGAAATAGTCCGAGAAGAACTTGGCCTGGTTCTCAGGGGACGTGATACCAGCAGCACGGTCGTAGCCCCCCGAGCTCCAGCCTACCTCAGACACGATAACCTTCTTGTTCTTTTTGGCAGCTAGGATGCGCAGGTTTCTGAGGCGGTCCAGAGATATAGCAGCACCCTCGTTTACGTCCGCTTGCTCCCAGAAGGCGAACTGGTTCACCGAAACGTAATCCACTGCGTCAACAAGCTGAGGGTTTTCGTTGTAAATGTCAATGACATCCGTGATCGTGACAAGTGTGTTCTTTCCGCGACTACGGAGGAAATCACGAATCTCGTTCATGTAGCTGATGGCGACGTCAACCTTGATCTCTTCGCGGTACATGGCCTCACTGCCGACGTGCAGCCCAATGACGCGGTCGTCGTACAGACCCATGTCGATGAGGTCGCCCAGCTTCGTCTTCTCTCGAAGCAAATTGTTGTGGTTCGCGGTCGTCCAAATGCCAAGGTGCACTTGCAGACCAGCGACCTTAGCAGCTCGCAGCACTAATTCAGCCTGGTTGCAGTCTACCAGCGAGTAGATACGGACCTTGTCCGTGACAGTCTTCAGGGCGTACATGTCCTTTTGGATTTGGTCAGCCGACTTGCACTTAACGCTGTCAGGTGCCCAATCTGGACCTATGCGTGCAGTGAAGTTGATTCCAGGCATCTTGACGTTCAACGCATCCGTACGGCCGTAAAGCGCGAGCAGGATCGAGGCCACAGAAATTCGCAGGAAGATCTTCATCAAGAATGCGGAAGTACTCGAGTGGTGTCGGTGGCACGGCAAAGCTAGTGTTGCTAACTCGGGGAATTGAAAAGTGGGAATGCTGAAGCAATGCAACTTTTCGACCGACGATGCCCAGCCATTGGATATTCCGAGCGAACGACGGGCACCACACGCACGCGTGTGGCAGCTGACTATCGAATCCCATGAGCTAATCGGCCCCGAGCTTCAATCTCGATACAAAATGCCTGTCTTCAACGACCTGACTAGACGACCACACAACGCCCTATCCGCAGCAATCCAGACGGTTGCCACCTGGCTGGACGATGGTATTCATCTTCACGGGATAGACGCGGTCTTAAAGATTCAGTCGTGCTGAAACAAACGCACACTGGGCTCTACATCGTAGTACGAGGCTGCGCAAGGGGTCACTATAAAGGGAAGATACTACTACTACTGCTGCTGCTGGTGGTGGTCCGCACCACGCGTCATCACTTTGACGATTACACAATCTAGGTTGACAGGTCGTGCAAGCAGTAATTAAGGGCACACATCCTACGACACAAGCCGTCGCACTAGCGACTGTGCACTTAAGAGGACCGCTTGGACGGTCCATCAGGACATAGACGAAGGCAAGCCTATTATGAGCACAGTGGGAGCACAGCTCCTGCAAAAACAGGGGAGCACCGAAACCTGGGGAGCTCTGTCGTTTTAGAGCTCCCTGCTCTCATCGGGTTTTGCAGGGGGCACGAGGACTCGCTTTACGCTCTTACTCGTCCTCCGCAGATGTGATCAGTATATAATATATTTCCTGTAAATTTGTTTCGCTCCACTCATCTGAATATTGCGCAGCTCGGTCGAACATGAAAATACACAAAACTTGTGTGTTGAAGAGTTCCTATTGAATCTAAATCATGATGGTTCTTGCCCGGGCACAACTTGCCGCTACAGAAGCAGCAGCATCGTTGAATGTGTGGAAGACATTGACATTCAATAGCCAATACCACGAGCAACTGTATTCTATAGGTAAATGAGATCCTTAGCGTCGAAAGTCAGCCTTGCTCAGCATCTACTTCTCAAACCTAGACTCTTGCTACCAATCGCTCAGCAAAATAGAATCAGTAAAGACGACGAAGCAATGCCCTAATGCAGCGCTAATGGATGCTAGGCCAGGCTTATCTCGCTCGTTTTCGTTAATGGCTGTTAGCATCTAACGAAGATACCAGCGAGGTGGACCTCACACATCAACAATGCGTCATCGTAGAGAAGCTCAGGTAGGCGCTAGGGGTGAAATAGGCACATCTACACGTTAAAGTTCAGCAATAAGGAACAAGACGAGCAAGACGAACAAAATGAACATTCGTGAGCGACCGCATCACCAGGCTTTGGCAAAGAGGAAAGCGTAATACAAGCAAGTCCAAGCTGGCAAACTATGCTCGAGATGAAGAAATGATGAAAAGATTGAGAAGGCGATGACCAAAGTTGACGAGAAGCACAAAGATCGCAAGGAATGTGCAACGACTTGTCGAGTGTTTAAATCAACGGCATGCACGATTAGATGCGTCTAGCCAGGATACTAATCACACATACAGAGGAAAGTAAAAGGAAAATCCGAGTGTAATCAAGATTTCCTATGGAAGAACACCTTCATCGGGCGACAGCAAGGCGTCTCGAATTCGTGAGCTGGGATCGAATCGCTAATGAGGTGTATCGCAATTTGGCATTGGGATCATCAAAGAGAATGTTTATCATGAACCATTAAGGTACGCTCAAAACGTGCTGTTTTTTTACGATGGGACTGCGGGACGAGAACGGAGGGAAGGAGCAAGCAAAAATGCTCGCAGCTCTCGTCTTTAAGCGAAAGGAGCATACAACATGTGATGTTCGTGCTCGCGCTATCTCAAGGAGTAATTTCATCTCGTTTTAGAGCTCCCCTACGCGGGGCTCGTGGAAGGCTTGGACGAAGGTACATGTCCGATGCTATGTTACAGAAGCATAGCGGGGCAGCCTTGAAAGCGTATCGGAAGATAATTGGCCCCGCAGAATCACTGGACTTGATCGAACAATGGTGTTGCCATCCAGGCTTGGAACTACCGGATATCGTTGCCACCACTGACGGTTCAATAAAAACGTCCTGCGTCTCTCCACAGCATAGTCCACGTATCGACGAGTTGGAGTAATGCGAGCTCGTGCGGTAGGCAAAGATAACGAAGCAGTGCGTAGGTTATCGTTACTAATGTACCCGTTAGGAGCACTACTATTTCGAGTCGCAGTTGTGCGTAAACCTGATCCAAATTTAGACTCGGACATTGTCGTCGTCACGACGGTCGTGCTATTGTGAAAAAGTTGTGATTGTCTCGTCGCGTCAGCGACTCGACGGTACAAATTTGTGTACCATTTGGGTGTGAAGTCCACCACTCCACCTCCTCAAGTATCCGATAAATCTTGGCTGGTAGATCTTCCGCTCACCTCGTCCATGGAAGACATGCAAGAGTCACTAGCGCCTAGCAGTCCAGTACATATAGTTGAAGGGCGCTCAAGTACCTCGAGATCTCATGAAGACAGCGACAAGACGGACGAAGACAACCCCTTCTCGCAGTATTACGGGATGCTGCTCCACCAGCAGAATATGCTGCAGGATCATGTGCGAACGGGCACTTACGAACGCGCTATGCTTTCCAACCCGTCCGATTTTAAAGATAAGGTGGTCCTTGACGTCGGGACGGGATCCGGTATCTTGGCTTTCTTTGCTATCAAGGCTGGCGCTCGTAAAGTGTACGCTGTGGAGCTGAGCAATATGGCCGACTGTGCTCGTGAACTCGTGGCTGCCAATGGTCTCAGCGATCGCATTATAGTCCTCAAAGGCAAGATGGAGGAAGTGGAGCTGCCCGAGAAAGTCGACGTGGTTGTATCCGAACCCATGGGTTTCTTTCTCGTGCACGAACGAATGCTCGAGACATTTGTAGCTGCCGGCAAAACGTGGCACCGACATGCACCGAGTTTCAAAATGTTCCCGTCACTGGGCACCATGTTCATGTCGCCATTCTCGGACGAGAGTATCTACCGAGAGCAGATGGCCAAGGTGTCGTTCTGGCAACAGCAGGACTTTTATGGCGTCGATCTGTCGACTCTTCGCGCGCGAGCAATGGACAACCACTTTTCGCAACCGGTGGTCGGATACTTTCCACCTGAAATTCTCCTGAGCTCAAAGCCTGCCGAACACGTGCTGGATTTCGCAACTATAAGCCAAGAAGAGCTCCACACGTTTGATTTCCCGTTCCACTTTGTGGTCGAGCGCACAGCGATCGTTCACGGCCTTGGCTGCTGGTTCACGGTCGACTTCGTGGGATCCGATGCACGCGTTGTGCTCAGCACAGCACCCCAAGACGCAGGAACACACTGGTACCAGTGCCGACTGCTACTATCCACACCTGTTGCTGTCAACGCTTCGCAGAGCATCAGTGGCAATCTTCACTTTGTCGCCAACAAAAAGTTCAGTTACGACGTGGACCTCGAAGGTGCGGCTCCATTTCACTCCGTGTCGTTGCTATCTCTTGTCTTGTGCTGTGTTTGACTGACGCATTCTTATCACACCTGTCTGCAGTTCGTCTTGACGAAACGTCCGTCGTGTCAAGAAACCATATTCACTTGCACGATCAGATGTACCATTATCTCTACTCGCCCGGGGCAGCTTCTGCAGGAGCGAACGCTGCTGGCGGCGTGCGACAGCAGAGCGCGTTGTACTGAGGCAGTGTGTAACTTGTCATCTGAGGGAGTCAAATGAGGGGTGCGACGGGTGACGATCACAACGACTGGATCAACTGACTGGAAGCGCCTGTGAGGTTGGAACCATGAGCTACCAATCGCAACGGTACAGACGTATGAAAAACAAAGCAGTACAAAGGAGACAACTGTACCGATCGTTGCCTCAGACGTTTATGATATGATCAATTGCTTTCCTCACGCAAGGGTCAAAAGCTGCACACGAAGCAGCAAGCGGAGCCGCATCATGATTCTTTGGTGAATTGCCACTGTTCGATTGCGTCAATGCTATCTCCATGTCGGGCACGATCTTGGTGGGTGGAATGCCAACGCCCTCGTAAAGCATGTTATCAGCGCCGAACACACGTTGGTACGGAATTTCAATGGTCCAGTAGTTTGGCAAACGCAGCTGTCGTGTAGGTGAAAGGCTACCGGCAGTGGCGGCACCAACGCGGCAAGTACGCGGTCGTTGCATCAAAGACAGACACAACAGCTCTGCCGTACTACCATTGACAACAGATCACATGATCAGATCACATCAGCTAGCCACAACGCAATTGACTACATGGTCGCCACTTACCCGCGGGTGTATTGGCTCTGAAGCACGGCAAGCGGGCCACGGTAGCGTGCACAACGCGACGTGTACGGAATGTAATACTTCTTCCGCTTGGAGAATCTCGGCGTGGCGCCCGGAAGTTTTTCATCCGTAGAGAAGGCCAGGGTAGCTTCGTTCTCGCTAGCAAAGAACGACGCCACTGTCAGCGCAGCAACATGCGAACCTCCACCTTGATTGAAGCGCAAATCCAAAATGAGTCCGTCAACATCACCCAGACCCAGCAAGATCGCCTCTAGCGACCAGCGCATGGACTCCAAGTCATAGATCTCGGGCACAACGATGGAGCTGCCTGTCACAGCTCCACCTCGGTCCATCCCCGCTGACTTCTCGCCTCCATCAGACGGCATCTGTATCAAATCCGCAGTCACACCACTACCCGTCGACACTTCTCTAGTCCACGATGGCATGAGTACATCGACTCTCGGTAGTGAAAACTCGACAAAGCCCTGCATGGCAGTCAGGCAAATGTACCCGATCCTCCACCCCGGACACGTCTCCGCATTCAAAACACCACACACGAAGCGATTGTTGGCCAGCGTGCGACCACCTAGTGTCAAGTGTCGACTCTTCATAGCTGTCAGAGTATGTTGCTGGTATCGCAGCGTTGCTATAGTCGGCAGCGCTCGTCCTCGAGCTGTCACGGTCCTCGATCCTGCAGACCCTGACGCAGGCGCAGCGACCCGCGAGACAGCAAGAGACGGGTCGTCACAAAGCGAAACACTCTCCTGTAGTGCAATCCACAGATCTTCGTCGCTTGTAGACGACTGGATCGTGTCACCAAAGAGCTGCTGCACAAGCTGCCAATCGACGCGTCTTGGCTCTAGAAACGCATACAAATCCTGCACCGCAAGCCAGAAACTACGGAACGTCAGCACGGGATTTCGTTTGTACGTCACACGCGCAAAAATAGCGCGCACAAGCTCAAGGAAGAGCCGCAAGAGAATGCCTTGCAGCGTCAATAGCACCACGAGCGCGCCGCCCAGCACCGGCACGTGGCGACGGAGGAAGCTCACGGGTAAGATGGCTACCGACTCGTACAGCTCCAGAGGCCGCAAGATAAGCAGCTGGAGGAGCGCATCGGACGATCGCATCCAGTCCAAGCACAGCGGCAGCAGCGTCCATGGCTTGAGCATGTTGACCAGCATCGACATGAGCTATACCTGTTGATAAAAAAGCAAAATGGTGTGTGGGTACACGACGAGCTCCGGTATCGAATTAGAGCTGGTGAATAGCGCCGCTCTTTTTTGGAGTGCGTTAACATCAACTGCAATTCGCTCAAATACGGGTCCACGACATCGGCTATTCTTTCCAGGAAAGTGAGTGGTTGGTCTCATTTGGACTTGTACTGATGGGAGTCAACAGACTTCAGGACAAAATGGTAGTTATAGACTGCTGTATCGATGCTGCTCGTGCGGTAGAATGTGGCTGAGCTTCTTCTCGATGAACTCGCGTACGAGTGGTGAAAATACATCGCGCTGCATCTGTTCGTTGAACATCGCGTCGTGCCCAAACTTGGAGTCCACTTCAACTAGTTGCGCCTTGTGGCCGTACGACTGTAGGATCTGGACTAGATTCCGCTGCTCTTGGATCGGGACCAGCAAGTCTTGCTTGATGCCAATGATCAGAGTGTCGGCTGAGATACGGCTCGTGCCCTCGGCTAGATTCAATGAGTTGCGACCTAAGTTGGTCAGGTCCATGGCTTTCGATAGCAGCAGGTAGCAATTAGGGTCGAAGACACGAGCAAACTTGCTTGCCTGGTAGTCCATGTAGCGCTCGACCTCGAACGTTGCCGTCTTGAAATGCATAGGACCAGTGGGATTCCAGTCAAAGCGAGTATCAAACTCCTCACGTGATCGGTAGCATGTCATCGCCAGTTCACGCGCCACCTTCATGCCTTCAAGAGGCACGCCGGGTGTATAATTGCCTTCCTTGTACTCAGCATCTGCAAGAATGGCACGTCGCTGAACGCGCCGAAAGGCGACCGTGCCAGGAGTGGTCTGGTGCGTGCAGGAGATCCCTACCAACTGATTCAAGCGGTCTGGAAACTGAGCTGCAAACTCTAGAGCTTGGATCCCTCCCATGCTGGCACCAATCACAGTGTGCACATTGTCGATACCTAGATCATCCAGGATCCGGCCATGACAGCGAGCCATGTCAGCTGGCGTCAATTGTGGAAAAGTGGCCTTGTACTTGTCGCCTGTAAGTGGGTTACATGTTACGGGAGAAGTAGCGCCAAATGGACTACCAAGAACGGACGGACAGATCACGCGGAAGTAAGAAGTGTTAATGGCTTTGCTAGGTCCGATCATGTTTTCCCACCAGCCAGGCCGAGGGTCGTCACGGTTCGAAGCAGCGTGGCTCGAGTGCGAGAAAGATGGTAGCACGAGAATAGTGCGATCACCAGGTAGCGAGCAGTCTCCCCATTGTTCCCACTCAATGGTTATCTCTGGCAACGAACCGCCCAGCTCGAGTGGGAACTCCTGGTTTAGTATCGACTGGTACTTGTTGCGTGGAAACGTGGAGCCCGTTGCATAGGAATGTTGCTGCTGCTGGATGGCGTTGCAGCTCGCAAACTGAGCGATGAATGGGCTCCGGTACAGATCGATTGATACGACACGACTCATACTGTGGCTGACTATGCGTCTACCATTGAGGCCCTTCCTGGCCATTACGATGCTCTTCATTCGCAAGTTCTTGTAGAAAAATTTCGGATACGATTTTTTGCCGTCGAAAAGATGAATGAAGTGCGAAAGGTGGCTGACGAGATGTGGTCATATCTAGGGCTCCGTCTCGCAACGTCCCATCCCGCAGGATCCCGCATCCCAACATGCGCGGGATGAGCCGGTCTCATCCCGCATCCTGCATATCCCGTATCCTACAAATATCTAACTACACAATACGAGATCCTATAAATTTTTTACGATCACATAATTCTACGGGAATCACGAGAGCGTCAAATGAAAGCATCATTGACCCTTACACGTATTCATTATCAAATACACTATCATCGTCATTACTCGAACTTTCTGTCAATATGCATCCAGGCATTATAGATGCGTGCAAAGATGATTGGGTTGCCCCTAGCGACGATCCGACGGACATCCTTAGCCTACTGGGGCCTCGCGACCTCAATCTATGGTGAAAGTGAGTTTGTATTAGGTACTCGGTTGCTCAAAAGCCTTGTCAAGAGGTTTTACTATTCCATCAAACGTCATGATCGCTTTCGAGCAATTGCATGGCACGAAGATTTTCGCCAAGACCATGCTTCAAGACATCCCTTCTCGCAGGAACTTTACTACGTTGATATATATACATGGAGTCAATCTTCGCAAATCGGTTCCACTACGTTTAAGAAGAGCCCTGTGTGCATGCGTAATAAGGAGTGAATAAAACGAGTACAATGCAAACTTATTCACAAGGTTGGCGTGCTAAAGCTCAAGGCCAAGGAAGAAATAGCATCAATTGGTGCTGCATTGATGCATCACAAAATTTCATCACTTACAAACGGATTTTGGCAGAAGTGCGGCTTTCTTTCAGCACGGCGTGGAACGCAATCTCGAGTTGACTTCCCGACGCTTCTAAGCAGCACTGCTTACTAGCAATATGCGATGCATGCATAACCGGTTCAGTTGATGCTGCTGTTACGAAAATTACCGTCTTAGCATGCGCTTTTGAATGCAATCAGCGATGGGGTTTTAGTGACGTGAATGGCTATTTGGAGACGGTAATTCTTGTATCAAGGCCCAGTGCAATATCACAGTCGGGTACCCGACCGTTCAAAGCGCGCATGGCTATAGTCTTGGACATTCCGAACAACACTTTCGCTTTCTGGACAGCTATTCGCGCCGCTGATTGATGTCGCTAACAAGCACCAATTTGCCCGATGTATTTTATCCGTGTCTTCTTACGACGCCGACATCAAGGCCCTGACCGGCAGCCCAACAGTGGTAGACGAAGACATACCAAATCGCATACGTCGACATCCAGCAGCATTTTGCGCGAATGAGGATTACATCGTTTAGTTTTTTAGGACGCATGTGATAAAAATGACAGGATTATCCTACCAGCTCACTTTACAACAGCGTTAGTCCATGAGTCCGTACCACGGAATCTTCATTACCAAAGGTTCCGAGACTGGTGCCAAGTGTCAACAACACCGGAGCTTAGACGCGATACCTATACGATGCACCGGACTGTCCAAAATCTCTTCACCCGAGATGATTCTTTGATTCCGTGCAGGTGTGCAGACGGGGGACTCACTCTTAGCATTTCCAAAACGCCAAGTGTTTTAAGCGAGCCGACCATCTAAGATGGATGAACGGGTGGAAGATGTGTGGAAAGCGCTGCAATGCTAAGTAAGGTATGGGGACGCATAAGACTTAAATAGATTCCGATAGTGCAGCCCAGCAAGCAGCGACAACATGGGTTTCTTTTTAGGGCACACAGTACACTCAACAACATGGAGAGTCTTACGGCTGAATTCGTGAGCGCCAACAAAACTGGAGGAGTAGCAATATTGATAGACCCCAGCAAGCAACGCGTCTGTCAGAGGTGCCACTCAGACCTTTTCTCCAAATGGGTAGTGGAAGTGATCGTTGACGTCTTAGTTGTCAACGTCGATGCGCCGACAGACAGAAATGAACAGGACAGCTTTTTTCATCAATTATGGCTATGGCCCTGGTCGTGATTATGTGTGGTTGTACTCGGAGATCTTAATTGCGTCCAAAGTCCTCATCTCGATCGCTTGAGGAGGCTCAGGTCAGGCCAACCCGAAAGACCTGAGTTGACAACGTCACTTTGCGCGTTGTGCTTGGAAGATGCACAGACACTAGCGGCGGCGGCGGTAGAGGACAAAGTGGTGGAGCCCGCGCAACATTGTACCTTTTGGAATTCCCGATCGGCCAGCAGGATAGACCGCTTTCACGTGCCCAATTCCTAGACTGCGGTAGTACAACAAGTACAGTTTGTCTACCAGTGGTTCAATCAGATCACCAACAAGTTGCCTTACATATTGCGGTCAGGGAGCAGAGGAGGCGAAGAACGCTTAGACTGACACCCTTGCATGATCCCATCCGTACGACGGCCCTGGAACGAGTTCACGAAGACTTACTCGAAGATTTGATGAGTAAAGGTGTCGGCCGACATGTCCATTCAAGTACATGGGTCAAAGCGGTGATTAATTGTGGATGAAGCATCAAACGGATCACAAAACAGGAAGTACAACGGACACGCAGAAATCAGTAAAAGGTATAGACACATGGCCGCGCTCATCTTCTCACCCGACGGGAGTTCATCCAGACGATCGAAGAAGAGCTCAGAATGGCACACATCATTCGCACTGGTTTGCGACTGGAACGGACAATTGATAGTCTTCGGTTCCGATTTAAGCGGGCCTCTAACGGGGAAAAATACCAAACGATTTCTCAACTCTGGCGACACAACTGGAAGCCTTTCAAGCGCGGGGACTCAATCGCAAACCAATCTGCATCAGAATGGCAGTCGATCTTCAGTCGCTCTCACAGCTTCGTCCCAGATGCAGAGTTGTCCCAACGCCTGCGCGATTTCATGAAAATGCCACCGTGGAAAGAAAATGATCTCCTCATGGAACCATTCTCGCTTTCAAATGTCATCAAAGCGATTGCATTATTCGATTGTGTAAAGGCGCCGAGCCAGACAGGCTTAGGAACGATTCTATTGATGGTTTTCAATCTCTACTAGCATCGGCGCTCGTCACCATTGACAGCGAAATACTGCAAGGACAAAGGCCGCCAGCCTCCTTCCTCCAAGAACCAATCGTTCCTTTACGTAAGAAAGTTGACTCGATGGTAAGATAAATGAACGACCAATATTTCTTCTCCAAACAGGCTACAAAGCGGTGGTCAAGTTGTTACTGCATCGCGTGTAAAGGATCATCGGCGTTCCCATCCGAGACACAAAACAGGGATTTATTCATGGAAGACAGATGGCTAAGACTGTCGTGAAAATGATGGCATATTTCAAACGGCTACTCACGAATCGGATAGGGATCCAGCTACGAGTCGAGCCATCTTGTTGCGAGATTTTCGCAAGGCATGTAACACGGTCTCGCGCGAATTTTTGTCTAATGTGCTACGAATTTTCGGGTTTGCAGATGCATTTATTTAGCTAGCACGAAATCTTCATACGACACTACGACACAATTCCTAGTTGACGGAGAATTGTCATATCCGATTCGTGTTGCTACGGGAATCCGATAGGGGTGCCCTTTGTCTCTGCTGCTATTTCTCCCATTCGCGGAAATACTTGCAAATGCACTGTTGCAAGACAACCAGATCAGCGTCTTGCGATTGCATAGTTTTCCTGACCATGAGCAGAAATTTTCAGCTTTTGTTGATATTTCAACCGTATGTGTACAGAGTGCGGACTAGATCCCGCTCGTGGTGAACATTGTGACGCGTCTTGGTGAACAATCCGATCATTGTGCCCAACCCGCCAAGAGCGTTATAATCATCCTAAACACAGCGGTCGCGATTATGGGTGTTAAAGGAATTATAGTGCTTCCCAAACGGACACACGATTCGTTACATAGGGTATCAAGTCGGAACGGGTGATCCCGTGGACGCCAATTGGGCTTTAACGATACGGAACGCCAGAAGTAATTCGCCGTAGCGGCACGCATTTTTTGTAAAGGGGTTACACGTAGTTGGGTACCTGGTACCCTGTGTCTTGGACACACGGATGATATCCCACTGAAAGAGATATATAATGTATTATCGGCTTATAGGGGCTGACTGGCGTCAGCCACTAGATAGGAGAGATCTTGGTTGTACGAACTTAGATTAAGATATTATATAGGTGTAAATGTAAAAAAAATGTCCCCTTTTGATCTTAAAGACACGTGCCTTGCGAGGCGTCTTTGACCGTCGATCGCTGATCACTAAGAGTTAGCAACACCTCCTTGAGGTAGCTACTCTTGAGCACTACGTGCTGTCGATTCATTTAATCGTTTGGTCCCCTGTAACAGAGACCATAAGCTTTACGTTTGTTGACTCGTAAAGTCGTTAGTTCTTTGGAACTAAGTTGCTCGTAGATCGTTAAGTCTTCCTCTAACTTAAGGAGCTGTGTAGCTCCGCTACGCTTTGTAGCACTTGCAGTCAATCTACGCCTGAGTCTTTTAAACTGATCCTCTGTGAGGATGGAAAACCCTCCTCCCCTCTCTGAGGCCCAGAAGGTCGCGCCTGATAAGCTGACCGCATCTTTGGGTCCAGAGTACGTGGAGTTCCTTGTTTCACAAGGCCTTGAGGTGCTTAATGTACGTGTGAAGGCTTCATGCAGTAGGAATCACCCTTCTAGGGCAGGTCCAAGACCAAGTAGCGTCGGCTATGCCTAGCCGCTTTATCGGGCACAAAAACATAGCGTGTAGGCATAGCCGACGCTACTTGGTCTTCTAAGTAGCGTCGGCTATGCCTACACGCTATGTGTTTGTAACTACTCCGGTAAGGAGGATGAGAGCCTCATCCTCTGGATCCGTGAGATCGAGATGGCCATGAGATCAGGCCTGATCACGCTTGACCATCAACAGGTCTCGCTGACTATCTCGAAGCTTGATGGAAGAGCTAGAGAATGGGCCTTGACGTGTAGCACGTCGGTTGACTTAGCGCCCCCTACATGGGAGTCGCAAAAGTCACAACTGGTACAGGTGTTCTCACCACCTAACCAATCTTACCACGTGCGTTCACGCTTCTTGTCTACCCGTCAGGGTCAGAATGAACTATCGGACTAAGTCCAAAAGCTGCAAACGCTCATGGCTGCAATGCAGTCTGACCCTCTGCCTGAGGCAGTCCATGTGACTATCTTCATGGAAGGTCTAAGTTCTGGCATTGCCAGGACCGAGGTTTCTCGGGTTCACCCCTCTACTTTTGAAGAGGCTGTGAGAATTGCTCTTAATGCTGAGCATAACTTCAAGTCGACCAGACTTGGTTGGAATGGGTACAACCCTCGCTCTGTGAGAGCAAACCCTTCGGGTACCACTGCCTATAATAGTCCGGAACCGATGGATCTCAGCTATACTGAAGATGAGAGTGAAGTTGAACTTCAAGCTGCTGAGCAGCCACGCGTCGTACGCCGATGTTTTACGTGCGGAAGCACTAAACACTTGCGGCCTGGTTGCCCTTTGCGTAAGCAACGCCAGGCTACAAGCCAACAATCGACCCCGACCAGAAGTCTGGTATGGCACGGGGAAATGCCGACACCCAGTAGGCGCGGGGCGCCCTACTGGGGAAGAACTAGGTTCTGTTACACATTTAGGAGGTATAGTTAGAAAGGGCTTAGCCCCCAAGAGTACCATACCTACGGGTATGGTGCGTGGATACAAGTCTGGCTTGTTGGTCGCCAAGGCGAAAATTAAGGGCTTTGAGAAGCCTTGGTCGATATTAATCGATTTTGGAGCGTCTTGCAATTAAGCTCGACGTCGTTCCCTTGAGGGAAGTCAGCGTTGTGCTGAGGCGCTTACAGCGCATGAGGGTGATGAAATCACGGTACGTTTAGCGACTGGAAGTCGCGTTACTGTTCCTAAAGTTCCTTTGAACCTAGGTATAAAGTTTTTAGACTTTGACAGTATTGAGCGCTGTCTTGTCCTTGATTTGGACTCGAGACATGATCTCAACCTAGGTATGGCTTGGCTTGAACGCCATAAGCCATGGATTGATTGGAGGTCTAAGACCTCAGGCGCTACGCGCAATGTTCCTAGCGAAGTTTTGGAGAGTCATGAACCCACCTTCGCTAGGCAACAGAAGCGCTATTGGCACGAGCTTTGGCAGAAGATGTCAATGTTCTGGACATAGAAATGTCTGAGTTTTCTAACTAAAATGTTGTAAAAATAGATTCTGAGTGTAGATCTTTAGATATCGGTGATACGGCACGTACTATGTTGAGTGTTACTCGTTGTGATAGCGAGTCACTGCATGATGAAAGCATGGTTGGCCTTGGGCCGAGTGATCAAGGATGTGATTCCTTTGATGTGTGTGAGGTGGCACGTGAAATTCCACCGATATGGGCGGACGTGAGGGCACCACGCTTAATGTAGGTCATGACATTGTTGGCGACGCCATTTAGTTCGGGGCTCGGCCCGCATAATGTACGTGGAGTGGCACGTGGAAATTCACTGGGTGAAGTGTTCGAGTTATGTAACCCTTCACCGACTGTCGGTCACGAAATCGGCTCTCGAATAGAGCGTACTACTATTAGTAGTAGTAAAGGGGACAGTAGTGTCCCGACCCCTAAGGGGTGTAAGGTCTCCAAGAGACAACTTGGGTGTCAGGTGGCAACTACAAACGTCAGTCGTCCACACATTCACTGAGTAAAAATAGTAATACACTATAAACACTTGTTAATGGAGTGGCCGGTCAGGTTGGTAGCAATGTTTGCCTTGAAACCCTTCTATCTTTGGAAGCTCTTTGTGAGCCAGACGAAATTCTGATGGCGAGTTTTGCCAGGCCTTGAAGGCAGGATATTTATCCGAATTAGCGGTCATAAGACCCGATGTCGAGTTAAACTCGTCCTCATTAATGGATGAGTCTGTCCATGAGGACGCTAAGGCGGTACTAAGTGCACGAAGTGGATCTTTGATCCTTAAAGATCCTTTGGATCCCTTCTATCCTTTGGTAAAGGATTTTAAGATGTGGTGTGTCACAACCCACCTTCTGCCTTACCTCCCGATAGAGGTGTACGTCATGAAATTGACTTAGTTCCTGGAACTAAATACTGCGTAACACGGCAGCGGCCTTTGCCTAAAGAAAAGTGTGACGTCATTGACGATTTCTTTCGTGCTAAGCACGCGACTGGAATGGTTCGTGAGAGTAAATCTCCTCATTCAATACCGACATTTTATGTCAAGAAGCTGAATGGCAAGTGGCGCATTGTGCATGCTTATTATAAGCTTAATGCAGCAACCATACCGGCGCAGACGCCTATTCCTGGAAAGGATGTTCCTCAGAACAATATGGTAGGGTGTACACTGTATAGCGCACTCGACTTAGTCGACGGTTATTACCAGCTCCTCATGCGAGCGAGTGATATTCCGCTAACTGCGGTGAGTATCCGAGCGGTGTGCTCCGGGAGTGGATCATTATGCCACAAGGGATGTCGAATGCCCTGGCTATTTTTAATTGGTTGGTAACGCAACTATTCAGACCTCATCGAGGCTATGCACAAACGTACTTTGACGACATCTTTGTCCATAGTCATGCAAAGGATGGCCGATCAGATGTAGATAGCCACATTAATTATTTACTAGCGGTGCTCGAGTGCATGTGCACAAATAAATTGTACGCTAATGTGTCTAAGTACATCTTTGGTGCAGAAGAGATTCCCTTTCTAGGGTACTTCATTGGGAAGCGAGGCCTTCAAGCGGATCCCGCGAAGGTAAATGCCATAGTCGACTGGCCTGTTCCTAAGAACCAAAAGTACTTACGCAAGTGGCTTGGCCTTGCCAATTACTTACATAAGTACAGTGCGAATTACGCAAATATGGCTCGGCCATTGTCCAATCTCCTGATAAAGGATGTGGATTGGTGTTAGGGTAATACCGAACATGATGCTTTGAAGTAGTTCAGTAGAGTCTCCTTCGTGTGCCAAAATTGGTTCTGCCCGATCTTGATCGGCCCTTCAATGTCGTATGTGACGAATCTGACTTTTCCATTGGAAGTGCTCTGCTACAGAAAGATGTTAGTAGACGCGAGCGCGTCATTGATTTCGAGTCTCGCCAGCTTAAAGCTTCTGAAAAGAAATATCGAGTTCATTTCAAAGAGCTACTTCCTAGTAAGTACGCTCCAGTCAAATTTAGAGTACATCTGCTTGGCTCAAAGCCGTTTATGATCTATACAGATCATGCGTCATTGCGCACTGCGACACAGTCGCAGCATCTCTCTCAGAGAATGACTTGTTGGGTTTCCTTTTTTGCCGAATATAACTTCGAGGTGAAGTACAAGCCAGGTAAGCAAAATGTATTGGCGGATGCGCTCTCGCGCCGACCTGACTATGAGCTTGCTCATGTTACGACACTTCCGTCGTCAGTCACTGACTTAATACGCGAGGCTTGTGCCAATTAAGAACAGTGTCTAGATTTGCTACGGGCTCTTGGGAGTGATGAGCGTAACATTGACGGTACGTTTACGTGCAAGGCAACATCGTTATTCTATCGATAATGGCCTAGTAAGCTATTGCACGAATAGTAAGGATACCCGTCGTATCGTATCGCTGTACCTCATGATGAGGAATTAAAGTATAGAATCCTCTATGAGGCACATGATACTGTTTTAAGTGGTCATCTCGGTCGTGAGAAGACTTTTATCTCGGTGATCCAAAGTTATTGGTGACCAAAGATGTACAAATGTGTGAGCAACTATGTGCGTACGTGCGAAACATGTCAGCGTGTTAAATTCTCAGCACATGCGGTGGCACCGCTGGCTAGTTTGCCAGTACCCACTGGTTGTTGGGAGTATGTAAGTATAGATTTTGTGTTCGGCCTACCGAAGGATTCGGAAGGCAACACTGGTGTTGTAGTCTTCGTCGACCGTTTGAGTAAGATGGCTCATATAGCGGCTGTGCCGGACGCGATTGATGCTGAAGGCACAGAAAAGTTGTTTATCGATCGTGTCTTACAGAAACATGGTATGCCTGTGGCAATTGTCTCTTATAGAGATCCCCGCTTCAATGTGAAGTTCTGAAAGTCTATCTCCAAGGTGCTCGTCACCCGATTGGACATGTCCACGGCAGATCATCCGCAGATCGACGGTCAATCTTAGCGTTTTAATCGCGTCATCAGTGACATTTTTCGCAGCGTTTGTGCTGATACGCCTAGGCGTTGGAGCTCAATGCTCCCGTTTGTTGAGTTTGCGCTGAACAACGCTGTTCATGCCTCCACAGGCTTTACTCTGTTTTACGTAAACGGTCCCACTCACCCTCGCGTTCCGTTAAAGCTATCACTACGTGATTCAGGGCTTGGTGGAGGAGAGGTTGCCGATCGGCTTGCTGATATCAGCCCTGCTACTGTTCAAAAACAGGTAGGCGAGTTTCTCGCAACGCGATTAAATGTCTTTAGACATGTGCGTGACACAATGGCTGATAGCCAAGATAACCAAAAACAACAAGCTGATGCCGAAGGCAGAAAAATGTATTAAACGTGATGAGGTCGGGGACCAAGTACTACTCAATGCAAAAAATCTACCTACAAATGTAGTGTCTGCTGTCTTTAAGACAAAGTTGCGTCCACGCTTTATTGGACTATTTACGGTCACTGCCAAGAAGAGTCTTGCGTATACGCTAAACCTTCCGCGTAAATTGCGCACACATCCAGTGTTCTACGTAGGCTTACTTAAGCCGTACCGGGATCCTTCCCATGTGAACATGGAGGAGCTTGCGCCGACGACAAGGGAATTGCCCCAAATTGATGTAGACGAATCAGCAAGTCCAACTGAGCCTCGCTCCGAGTTTGAGCTTGCTCCATCGCTTGAAGGCGGCTTTGCGTCGCATCCAGCATGCAATGGGTCTTACCCAAGGCCTCTTGAAGACCCTTCACTTCGAGAACCAATTTCTCGTGGGCCTCCACCGGTACACCGGCCGCCACCGACTTTGCTCGATGAGCATGGGTGTCGTCAATTCCATGTCGAGAGACTACTGAAACGACGTCGTCGTCAGGGCCAATACCAGTATCTAGTAAAGTGGCGAGGGTACCCTGAGTCTGAAAACTCATGGTAGTTTGAGATACCCCTTCGGCAAGACTGCCCATATGCTTTGGAGGCTTTTGAGCATCGTGGCCAAGGTCATCTCGAGACCGAGGCCTTTCCCACCACTAGTGGTGTGGGTTGGCGGGTTGTTGGTCACAGACTGACCAGCACTCGCGGCTACCGTAGTAGCCGAAGCATAGCGCGTGCGCCTGCGCAATTGGCCTCTGGCCTTAAGCTTGGCATAATCATACCGAAGCTTGCGTTCGAGAAGCACATCAGCCACATTGACACTAGCTCTCAGAGCAAAAATGTTGCTGAGGCGACGTACATGGTGCACCCAGCGAACAAAGGCATCTTCTTTTTCGCTCACTGTTTCGCCTGCGAGCAAGAGAATGGGTATACCCTTGATCGGTGGAAACGGTGCACCACGTGTTTGCATGTCAAGGCGTATCTTGTATTGACTTTGAGTCGTTAGGTGCGGCTCCAGGTACCTCTTGCAAAGAGCCTGACAGCTCACTACCTCCCTAGGAGTCTTAGGCCCATGGTCAATGACCCAAGTTGCCAATGTTTGGCCGGTTGCTTGACGTAGACGTTCCTCCACACTGGGCGAAGTGAACACATAGTCACGCTGGCGCTCAAGGGTTAAAACCATTTGTGCATGACGCTGAGCGTTTTCTTCTTGTTGGACAAGCAATTGTTGTTACTCATCGAGCGGGTTCGTGATGTAATTTTTATCAGAACCAGGTGCTGAATGCTGCGCCAGTGGCTCGCTCGCACCTCCACGTTCAGCGAACGGATTTGGGGTGTTCGAAAGTTGTGCCTCAGGCATCAGTGAGCCGGACGTTGTCCCTGTGTCACCGCGGACACTGGTATCGCTACCATAGTCCACCTCTCCCTCTATTCCGAGGTAGTCACACAGAGTCTTTGACTCGTTTGGTGATGAGGACATCGTGCTAGAGCGTACGTTACCGCGAGGTTTACCGTACGTGCACTGTTCTCGCTTAGGAACACAATTCGATTGACGTTTTGGTAAACTTCAGTCTGGTGGGGGGGGTGTAACGGGGTTGCATAAAATTATGGATCTTTGTACCAGAGGTGTTACACACGTGAGGGTACCCCTTTGTGAAGGCGATATAGAATATCTTACTGGTTTATAGGGGCTGACGAGTGTCAGCCATTAGGTACGAAAGATCTATGAGTAGGATGCAACTATTCTATAGGAAGATCTATAGAAAGATCGATGAGTAGGATTAAGATATTCTTTAACAAAAAAATAAACTCAGTTCCCATTTTGATCTAAAGGACACGTGGCTTATAAGCCGTCTTTATCGTTGATCACTGATCACTAAGAGTTAGCAACACCTCCTTGAGGTAGCTAATGTTGATCACGGATTGCTGTCGATTCACTGAATCGTTAGGTCCCCTGGAACAGGGATCTGAAGCTGTAAAGCTTGTTGACTCGTAAAGTCGTTAGTTCTTTTAGAACTAAGTTGCTCGTAGAGCGTTTAGTCTTCCTCTGACTTAAAGTGCTGTGTAGCTTCGCTACAGAAACAAACCCGAGGTACTGGAAATATACACCTGGAGACTCAAAAGTCCAGGGGTTGTACACGGGTGCCATCAAGCATGTACAGGGTACGGTTCGTCCGATATCGTACCCATATCAGGACAGCATTGGTATTCATTGGGTCACTGACGCCGTGCTCGACATGCCCCTAGATGATGAACGAGTGCAATTGGACATTAAAAACGAACACGCAACAAGGCGATCGTTTTCTCAGCGCATCCTCAGCTAAATGGTTGTCTTTGGTGTCTCAATCCCAAGTTCAAGAACGTGCACGTCTACGAGAATGTGCAACGGCAAAATTTTCATAGAGCTAACCCCGAACGGCTCCGGAACTTCCGTCGAGGGTGCGTGATGATATCGAACGCAGGCTTTCGGACATGTCGAACATTCTCGGTCGGGCCTGGAAGCGGATATGGTGAATAGCATGCGCACCCTGTGTAACAACGGCATGGACTCAGCAAAACAGGAGCGTCCATAAGCAGGAAAGAGAAACCGCCGCACAAGAGGCGGCGGAGATATATTAAATCCTGATCGACCCCTTCAAGTGATCGTAATCAAGAAACGGCGGCATGAAAGAAATCGAAACAATAGCGTCTACCTGTCGCTGGTAACAGAAATGTTACGGGGATTTGCATTTCACCGGCAGTCGGGCCAATATGGTCCCCTAGGCGACACGAAACATCTCCCGGAGTCCGTGGGTGGATTACGACATTTCAAAAATCTTGTAACCGGACATGGTAATATACAGCCTGCTGCTCTCTATGTAACCTCAGCGCATATGGAGGCGATCATGTGTATGCAGATCTGGTCGCTACGAAATATTTGTAGGGTAAAATGTTCAATAATCTCGTCCCACGTTAATTTTGCGTCCCATACCAGGCATGACGGGCAGGGATGCGGGATGGACCATCCCCGCCCCATCCTGCGCGGGATGGAGCCCTAATCACATTGATATTGAACAGAAGAAAAAATGTCGTCGTGATGTGTCACTACTGGGCACTAGTTGACTGCAAAAGTTAGCACCACCATGATGGCGTTATCAATGAAAGCATAGCGCCTCATGCAACAAGCTACGAGGCGCAATGTCTTCATGCATTCATAGGAGATGTGTTTTCATTCATATCCCATAAAGTGGTGCAGATTTCTGCAGTCGATAATAGTAACTAAACTTCCTTGATCAATATACAACATTGCGAACTAACACAAGTGTCGGGGAAATGCATTTGTTATGATACGCTGATGTAGGGTACTCGTAAGAAACGATTTTGGCTGAAACCAAATTGTGGTAGTCAAGCGTATCGGACCCTTCGACGACACTGACCTGTTTTGTCGTGTGTTACGCTGGATCAGGAGCCTTGAGCCGGCTTAGTAGTCGCGAATGCGCAACACTCGTCGAAAGAGCTGAACTACAAGGTTCGTACTCCCAGAAAATCTGTGTGTCCAACATCATCAAGGCGCCAAAAGATGGAGTGAATTTATCGGGGTTTGCATTGCCAACATATGCGCTCTCTTGCAAGTGCTGTAACGGGGAACCCTTTGTCTAGGTGCCCGAAACTTCACGTACACGAGTACGTGCAGAGGAAGCTAATTTTCTTAAACGACTCGTTCAAGTAAAGGTAAAAAGAGAACTGCATTTAATTTAGTTAAGCAGCTATCAATATAACTTTAATCTTTATCTAACTATAGTAAACTACGTCGTCGTATGACAACAACCTGCACACCACTCATTGCGCGCGTCTAGCAGCGATTGGTGGCAACCTATGGTTGAAATGTTTTACATCAACCAATCTTGGAGCAGCGCATGAATATTATCCAAAAGGGGATAATATTCCTTCAATATTATCCACCTCGGATAATATTGGTAGAATTTTGTCATGCTAGACAATATTCCTATTGACACCGTTTGGTGTCAATATCATGTAACGGGCTACCCCGTTACAAGTGCTGCACCTGCAAAAACTTGTCAGTGCGGCACATTTCGAGCAAAATCAAAAGTTATCGTGGAGGTCTTGCAGAAGGTTGTCGGCATTCTTGAAGCTGTCGTACGATAAATTATGCTTGTACAGTAGATAATGTATACGCCATATACAAATGTACATGATGGGGGCCCTTGAGTGCCTCATGCACTAACACTTTGTCGATGCTCGTACGGGTCAAAGGCTGTGATCGCTACTAAGAAGATGTCGAGAAGTCAAAACAGATTACAGATCTCGTCAGCAGTTTAGGACCAACTACAGCACGGAAAAGCTCATCGTTCCCTAGATCCAACCACGAATCCAAACACCCAAATACGAGCTGACACGAGCACTGGTGTCTAACAGTTGTCGGCAGCGTACCCTTGGATGACTACAAGAATTCAACATCAAACTCAATATCGGATCGCATAGAAGGAGAGCGTATGCATGTTTAGCCTTCCACGATGGGTCCAGGATCTGTACTTCGATCTTGATTTTAGCTTGCGATTGCGACTTCAACTTTAGTTGTCGGGGTCATACGCAGTAGCTGGCGCCGATGAAAGGGTATGCCATCTGCGAGAAGGGCTTTTGGAGTAACGATGGTGTGCGACCAAGGTTGGGTCAAAATGATGGATGGCGAGGTCAAACGATAACGTCATGTCTGGTATTTGCATGTGCTTGAACACACCCGACTCCACAGGCCGGATTTGTTCTGGACCAAAAGGACGGATGGTCGACTAGACCGACACTGTTCAGCCACACGTGGCGGTATTTGGCTTATCTACTTTCATCTGAAAGCCAGTGAACCTCGTTAGCTTCACCAAACTCTGCACTACTCGAACGAACTTGTGATTTCTGGAAAGAACGCAAGTACATGGTCCCTGTGATCGAGGGTTTTGTTGCTTGAAGAAATTCTTAGCAAGTAGCTAAGGACAGAACGACGTAAACCTACTAAAGTGCTTGGTCAAACTCTCCTCCGAAAGCGACAATCGTCAAGCAAGAAGACTATACAGCACTGTGTTGAGAATCGTGTGAATCGTACAAGCTGACGGGAAACACTAGCTGATGGAATTTGTACGGCGATCGATGCATGCAGCTTCTTGCGAAAAAGATAACGCGTTCATGCAAAAAAGTTGGGTCAGAATGTTAATGGTCTACAACCTCACGCTCAACAAAGCACTACGATTCCTTCTTTGCTTTACCCGGTGTCTCAAGTTTTCCGCGCGTTTCTCATCATAGTTGCGCACCTTCACTATAACAGCAGGACATACGGCTTCGATACCTTCAGTCTGACAACAAAGTCACGATGACGTCGGCCAAGTGTTGTCCGCACGTGACCGCAGAAAAGCATCATGAAGCACTACCACTGACTTTATCATGGAAGAGCTAAAACTTTCGTTAAAACGTACGACACAACCAAGTTTATTGTTGAACGGACAAGCTCCACGAATAGCCGGCAGTGCAGAGTGCAGTGTGTGACAAGCGCTTGCCTATGCATGCTCGCTAAACGGTTTTCCTTGAAAGCTTACAAAATGGCTTGGTAGCTGCATTGCAGGCCAAATAGGCTTAGACGAAATCAGTGCAGTGGACGGTGTTTCGATGGCCTACGCCTCACTACCTAAGCCGGCAACGCGTCATTGTCTTACCAAGTATTTTCGATACGGTTGAGTTAAAGTGGTGATGGGTAAGCAGGTGCTGTCGCTCGTTCTGCATCATCTGATGTACGAACAATGTCAAGTCTGACTGGGTAAGGTTTATGATCGCGTAGGCAGCCTTAACAATTGTACAGACTTGACCCCATGTCCGATATAGTATAGTTTGTCTGAGGATGCCTATGCGCGCACTATCGACTCAGTTTAGCTCCACCTTACATAGTATGCAGCCCATCGGCTCATTGCGATCGGCCCGCAAAGTCAACATGAAATATAACTGCTGGCACGAAGGTTACCACAATCGTCGATCGCGATACTACGTGGAGAAGGACAGTACACGACCCGCGAGTGCACATCGCTATTTGTTGAATGAATCTTGTCAATCGAAACGGGTTCATCGTCGTACGCGCGCCATCACCAGCCAAGGAACGACACAGTCATTCGTCGACAATTGAAGCGGTACAAGCTCCGTAGTCGGTGAAAAGATGTTGGAGCACAACTAGGAGTTGGATACCTGAAGGATTCTCCCTAACCTGCTGCTCGTCGATTAACAACGGATTGTGTCCTGGTCCAAATTAACACTTACTTTTCTACCTCACAACATGGGCTATATGGAGAGAGCAGAAGGAAAACAGACCGCCTATGATATGCGCACACTATTGTCTTGTTAGCAACGCTTCTGTCCAGCTTAAGAGAAAAAAAGCGCAGCATTTATCGCGCATTCGCGACGTGGCCGATGCTCATCGTTTACACCGACTCCTCCTTATGGTTTGTCAGCATAATCAATCACCTCAAGCGGTTCATTCATCAATCCTCGTTGTCAACCTCAGAACGATGAAACTTTTGACTACAGTCGGAGTAGCTGCTAGTCTAGCTGGAGCTTTCGCTGAAGGGACGTGCGATGGACCGAATGCGCGTACTGAGCCTCCAGTGGGGGCTATCGTTGTTGACGTCACAGGCTCGTACGAGAATAGTGTCAAGACCTTGTCGGAGGGTGTAGCACTGTTGAAACCTCACACCGAATCGGTGCAAACCATTTTCGTGCGTCCAGGTGTATACAATGAGCAGGTTCTGGTCTCGCCACTGTCAGGGCCATTGGTGCTGCAAGGCTACACGTGTAACGCCATGTCTTACGCGTGCAACGAGGTGACGATCACCCAGGCCAAGGCACAGAAGGACATTCCCAAGGAAGTGAAAGGTGAAGCTAGAAACGACTTGACAAGCACGATTCGGTTCAGGTCGAACAGGGTGAAGGTGTACAACCTCAACGTTGCCAATACGGCCGGCAACGTCGGCCAGGCACTGGCTGTGAACGTCAATGCAACTGAATATGGCTTCTACGCTTGCAACCTCACGGGTTACCAGGATACGGTGCTGGCCGACAAGGGTCGCGAGCTTTACGCCCACACGTACATTAATGGAGCCATCGACTTTGTCTTTGGTCGCTACGCACAGGCGTGGTTTGAATTGTGCGACATCGAGACCATTGGCAAAGGTTACATTGCTGCCAATGGCCGCGATTCCGAGGCCAACCCGTCTTCGTTCGTCTTTAATCGTGCCCGCGTGTTCGGAAACAGCGGCGTCAACTCGAGTACTCTGGGTCGCCCGTGGTACCCGTACGCCCGTACCATTTGGCAGAACAGCGAACTCAGCGATGTGATTGCGCCCAAGGGCTGGGCGGCTTGGAACGATACTGCCAGCACGACGAACGTTGTGTTCAAGGAGTTCAATAACTCGGGTCCCGGGGCTGCCACGGACAAGCGAGTGGCGTTCAGCGGACAGCTGGATGCGCCGATTGCGATCACGGAGATTCTCGGTGAAGACTACGCGACACAGTGGTGGGTTGACACCGCTTACTTGTACTAGATGTTGCTGTTGGGTGCCCACAATGCTCCGGAATCACAGCTTGAGTGCGTTCGCATAGATGTACGAGTTTTGCTTCAAGAAACAATCGGATACTGCTCGCAGTAGATGCTGAAAAGCAAAACTTTGCTGCAGCTACTGAGCTTTTACATGCCTCTACATACCACGATATTGACCTGTGCTCGTGTCCTTGCACTCAAAGTAGGCATCGAGCTTGTCTTGCGCTACGTCCTTCTTCAATACAATGGATCATGGTTCGACTTACAGAAAGATTATTGCCTGAAAGTGCTACCCAGATGCATCTCGATGGAGTGGCACGTTTGCTCTGGGGAGAGTCAAATGTGTGTTTGCGTCGATGGGCTCAGAATGACTTTGCCATGTGCTATCATCCCGCAAAACGTACGCTGTCTGAACAATGTTAGGCAATATAGCAAAAGGCACCAGTGCTACCCAATGCACGCATCGTTGTTGTCGTCTGTTCGCAGTGTGGTACAAACTTTTGTTGCACGTCATTCTGGCCGTAGTGTCCGTACGACTTTGACTTCTACCTCCTCATCGCTCTTTGTTTCATTTCGTTCCTGTCATTGCCTCACTTTGTTTAGTTTTTTTCCACTATCACGACTTCTTGGCACTATAGTCTGTGCAGATCTATTCTAGTCGTCACTCGTGCAAGCTGGAAATCAGGAGCACAGGTACGAATAAATGCTGGTGACGCACATCATTTTTTGATGCAAGGATGCTAAAAGATCCGCGTAATGTCGTGATTCTTACGATGCATTCAACCGTTAACGTACTACTTCGCATGGGACCTGTCCTTAGTTGTGAACATCACTTCTTGCACTCAGACGACAAAACTTACGGATTGACATGACTTTATAAATGAAAAGAAACCAAGCTCTAGTAAGGATAATCTGATCTTTTCTTTACCGATGAACGATTCAGATGGGCTTTCTTCATTCGAACGTATACGCGCTTTCCTTGCTCACATCAGAAGATAGATACGTCAAAGATCCCCCATTTGTATCATCATACACTGTACGCCCATAAACTGCATTCGTATGCTTCTTTCGTCTACCTATCTATGGTAAGTAGTTCCAGCTGAGGCGAAGTTCAAGTGCCAAATAATTTATTCGATTGTAAGCATATCTGGTCGTTCAAGTCGAGTAGTAAGGTCTATCTGAAGATAGTGATCACGAAAAAAGCAGTGAAATTCAGCACAACATCCTGCAACATTTCTAGGAAGTCTTGACAAATGAGAGACACTGCATGTCTTAGAGAGCCAGTCGTACGCGTTGCATGTTTTCAAATAGTAGAGGACGAAATTTGAGCAATGTAGGACGCTCAAGAATTGTTTTGAGCGAGAATCTAGCTACGAACATGGCACTCAGTTAACACGCATAGCAAAAGTAGATCCCAATAATGTGATGTCAAACCCGCCCGAAGTCTTGATCGCTGCTGAGATATATCTTGATGCAGTGAAAATGTGGTTCAGGCCTTGTCAGCACTACAAATGTGCGGCCGCTATGACCGGCAACATTCGAGACCCAAATCTGTCTCGAGGCGCTGGACGATGTGATCCTGTAGTATGTGGCGCAGACATCGGACTGATGACAAAGTCAGGATGAGCGTTATGGTTGTCCACTTATCGCTTTTAGCACCGATCAAACGAGCCTCATAACCCACATGAACATATGCGCCCATGAATGACTTGATGTTTATTTTATTGGCTTTGGCTTCGATGCCCATACCGCCAAGACCTATCTGTACAAGGTGAATAACCACTGCAGTTGTGGATAAGAGACTTGCAAACACCTCGATCGGCTTGCTGTGGTAATGATGACTAAACTATAAAATGGCGTTACAAATCCTCCAGTCAAGGTGTCTTGTTCTAGCGCTCCGTCCCGCGCAGGATGGGATGGGACGCAGGATATTGCGGGACGAGATCATTGAACATTTTACGCTACATTTTACATTAAACGGTCAGATTCGCATACACGTAGACACGATCGGCTCTGTTTGTGCTGAAGGGTACTAAAGAATGAGAGGAATAGTGGAACGGTAAATACTCCACTACGTGATCCATGGTTACCTGCTACAAAACAGATTAGAAGCGAAATGCCTGATCTACTCGATCCTAATCGGTGCCGCAAAATGGCAGGCTCATGCAAGCAGGGCTCTTTTTAACCGTGGTGATAACAGAGTGCGATGACTTACAACACGTAAACACCAATGCAGTAGAGTTTTAGTGAGTAACAACGTCTTGAACATGGTCTTGGCCAAAAATCAAGCGACTGCGATCGCTCGAAAGTGATTTTGAAATTTGGTGGATTCGAACAACCTCTCATAGAGGCTTCTGAGCAATCGAGATACTACTAAAAGAAACTCACCTTTACCACATATAGAAGTCGCGATGCCCTAGCAGGCTAAGGATGTCCATCGGATCGTCGTTAGGGGCAACCAAATCATCTTGCAAGCATCGGTTATGCCAAGGCATGCATCCAGACATAATATGATCCTGGAATATCAATCGAATCTCGATGTTATATCGCAAGATGATTGTAGGATGCGGGATGTGACGTTGCGGGATGAGTCGTTGCGGAACAGCGCCCTATTCTATTCTTTTAGTAGACAAGATCGGACCCGTCCAAGACCGTACGTATAGTACTTACTTTTCACATGCGAATCAGGGGAGCGTGCTTTTGCTGCTATGCTGCTGTACACGCTGCATATATCGGCCTTTTTCACCACCGTAGATCATATCCAGCCTTTGACGATTTTCGTTTGGGTTATCAAAAACGACATTGCGCAGATACTAACAGTTAATGTATTTGTGAGTGTTTATATTCCTCTCCGCTGATGGTAGCACAGCAACGACTGTACCTGCAAGTACATCATGCAGTTTAATTTCAAATCTATTGACCGCGACTTGACCTGCGCCGGACAAAGCAAACCAAACTGCATCGATCTGGTGGAATAAGACCGTGCAAAAAGTTCAACATGCCCAACTCTCAGACACACTTTCTGGAGAAAGACTCCACCGTCTCATCACAACAACAGCAAGTGCACGAGGCTTCACGGTTTCGATACACTTATGTGTAACAATTGCCTGCTTGCCAAGTACCACATACCATGTTGCCCTGTTTATCGAGTGCAGATGAAAAGAGACGGTCAAGTTTGGCCAGATTTGGCAAAACACCAGCAGCACCTTTCCACGGTGCTATATGCTGGACGGCGAAAGACTGTACATTAGTTGTGCACAATTTGCAGTTGACTGCAATCCGTCCCGATATTAGCCGTTGCCCATTGCCAAAGCCAGCAAGTGTTCAATAACTCCATGCTCATTATATCAGCTGTAATACAGTGCGATCACTACAACGGGCTCCAGAAGCGGATCTTCTTTCAATTTCTTCCATCGCTCGTTCGCACATTGTTTGACCAGAACACAAGGACCAACCACGGCTCGACGTCTCCATGGAGTCTCGACAAACTCTCCGCTGTACCATGAAGATGCGGATTTGCAGGCTTTTCTGGTGAGTCCGAGTTGCTGAAAAATTGGTTACGCCACAGTATCGCACCGATCATGCTTAGCTACGCAATCCCTGCTGCTTTCGATTCCATGATCGTAGGTACAAGGTCATCGTCTCGCTCAAGTTTTTTTTTGCCAGGCAAAGACCAGGACTGCTGACTATCGTTCGCCCCATGGTCTTTGGCGGCAAACTTGAGATACATCTCAAGCACAACGTAAGCAGTCTCATTTCGATATCGGGAAAAGAGGCACGCCGGCATCAGCTCCGAATCCGCTACGGAACGTGGCACCAGAGCGTGACATTGCGTGCACCGACGAGCGCTATCTTCGAGACGTGGTGGGCGGCACTTGAGAACGCGCTTGCCTTGCCTTACTTTGTGTCGATCCCCATCGTTGACGCACGCGCACATCAAGTGACCGTCGCGCCAGTTATACCCGCAGGACGCAACACGGCACGACACAAGCAGACAGCCACGCTCGACATTGTGGTGGCACGAAAGACCAAAGATATAATACTTGACGATATGCCCATGCTGGAAGCCAAAGGTCCTTCATCTCCCACCGAAATTGACGTTCCGGCAAGCTGGAGGACGTGGTGCAGTCTGGACTCCTGTGCAAACGTACCAAATGCCCCCGGTTATCATACATTCAATGATGCTGTAGGCACAACCGGCGATAACGTATCCTCCAACGAAAGCGACAGCGACAAAAATTCACTGTACTCCCGTGACATTAGCGAGTTTTGGTCAAGACCATCGGAGTGGAAAGACGACGTACACGAACGACATCCTCATCTTGTCACGTTTAAGACGGAAAACGCTCACCACTGAAAGACACAAAACCACAAGGCAAGAAACAATCATCGATGCGTCCCAGCGGTAAACGTGCAACATATTTGCCGAGCGATTCGGTCAGTTCTGCAGACACGCCATGCTCTGACATCTACATGGAGTCGGGAACTTGCACAGTTTGTGGCAAGATCGAGGCCAGTGTCAAGGACGACTGCTGTACTCCTACAACCGCCAGTGCCCGAGCCAGTGCGAGCAAATCTCAGAGCACGAGCAACCATAAGCATCCACGCCAGGTCAAGCACATCTTGGGTCAGCATGAGCGTACTCTTGATAGCGTGCCATGGAACGCAAACCGGTAAACAGGTCTTTAAGCCATTTTCACACCAACCACGCAAAACTCTTTGTGGCAATCGAAAAACACATCTCCGAACGCGATTACAATACAGTCACGTAGCTACGTGAGTAGAAGAGCTCCATCAGAGTAGACAGCGTGTAGATCATCACATTGCCTCCTTTTGCGAATGCTATACAAACTGTGGATCACATTCGTCGACGCGTAGCCGACACAAGAAGACCATCCCACTCGATACACAAAACATGCACACTCGCACCACAAATGTCCAGACACATGGTTGACTTGAGTCGAGTTGCATTCTCATTCATTATCCTCGCTGTTCGAATATGTAAATCTTAAACCCCGTCAACTTCGCTTCGCGTCTCAATTCTTGCACACTCACACCGCACATTAGCATGATCAAGAACTTAGAAGTGATCCACATCATTACAGATATGCCGCAATTGCACTGGGGATCGCAGAAATGTTGCCATAGGCAATGAACGTCGCTGTATCCATTCCTTGCTCAGTCAAAACCGTCTGCCCGTCAGGTGACAGCAAGAACGTAACGAACGCTTCTGCTTCCGACAAGTGTGTTGCACTGTTCAGAATAGCCACAGTGTAGATAGTAGCCGATCCGTTGTAGACCGTCCCCGCCTCAGAGTTAGTATAGGACACAGTTGCGTACTTGCTGTCTAGAACTGGGTCGCCCATATTGATCTCCGACGGAAGCGCGATGAAGTTCACACTGCTCAAGCTACCTACCTCAACAGCGTAGAAGAATCCGACATCCAGATCGCCTGACATCACATATGTCTCCAGATGTTCCTCAGAGAAGATCTGAGCTCGATTCGTCGCTGAACCCAAGATATCCATCCCAAGACCGCTCGCGTTGTAGTACTGCTCAGCCAGCTCAAGCATCATGACAGTACGGTAGCCTTTGGGGTCAACTTCAGGGTCTGTCCGTCCAATCTTCATGTTTGGATTCTGCTGCAGAGCTTCGTACCACGAAAGCGATCCATTCTGCACTGCCGCAAACACATCAGCATAGGGAGACTCGAGGTAGTAGCCCAGACCGATGGACGTCGCACCAAAGGTGATGTACCACGAGATCATGTCCTTATTGTCCTTTCCCATGAGCAGTTCTGTGTTGACAGACGCGTCAGCGCTGATAAACACGTCGGATTGACTGCCATTGACAATGAGGTTGGCGAGCTTGACGGATCCCTTGGCCACGAGCGACGTCGTGACGCCTGTAGCGGCAGTAAAAGCTGGAGCTAGCTTGTCACTCATCAGTCCGACCAAAGAGCCAGCGTGGTAGACGATCACATGGTCAGAAGCGGCAGCAGACGAATCGTTGGACTGGGAGGAAGGGGAGAAGACGCCACAAAGCGCCAAGATGACCACTACGAGGAGCACCGCGAGCACGGCAAACAGGGCTAGGCGGTACCTGATGATCGCCGCCTTTACATTCCATACGGGTACGGAGTCACCCTTGTACGGCGTCTCGCTCTCGTTCAGATCGCATGTATTGGTAATGGTGTTGGTTACTGATACTAATGACCATATGTCATGGACGACACTGTGTGATAGTGTGTAACGATGGGATCGACTCATCGTTTTGTTACTAATATTATAGAGTCGATATCGATAGGCTTAGAGTAGTACAACGAGACGAACTAAGGACCTAGCTAGATGATAATTCACTTTCCATTTTACCTTCTTCTAAGCTCTCCCACCTCAACTCGCTCTTGACAGTTGCCAAAAGTCAAAAGGTTATGAGCCCAAGTACGCCGGATGCGGGCGACATACTCCGCGAAGATAACTACTTCGTGTGGGAGTTCAACGCAAGGATGAGGCTGGCAAAGAAGGGATTGCTAGAGCACCTAGACGCTATGAAGGCCCCAGAAGAAGGAGACGCAAGCGCGTCAACTTGGAAAGTCAACGACATGAAGGCCTTCGCGATTGTGTCCACAATGATCAGCACAAATCTTCAGTCAATGGTGCGCACGGCAGAGACAACGGCAAAAGCATGGGACATACTGAAGACTTTCTTCCTGCGGCAAAGTATGCACAATCGTGTGCAGTTGCGGCGGCAACTACATGAGTTCAAGTTGGCCAAGGGAGGAAGCATCATGGATCACTTCCTGAGATTTGACGAGCTGTGCATGACTATGCAAGCTGTGGGACAAGAGATCTCACAGGATGAGCATTTGGTCATCCTATTGGGTAGTCTAACGAGAGACTATGACCCCATCGTCAAGATAATTGAGAACATGCCCGGAATGACACTGTTTCACGCTAAGGAAATGCTGAGACGGGAGTACGATGGAATGGCGAGGACAGAACACCAAGAAATCGCACTGAAAAGTACGCACACTTCCAAGTACAAGAAAGGTCCGCGCAGACATATGGGGAGATCAAGTTCAAGAGGTGAAAAGTTCTCGGGAAGGTGTTACCGATGTAACAAATATGGGCACAAGCGTCAAGATTGCAAGGCTGAACAAGTGGAGACAGAGCGATCTGGAGAAGAGAGAGCATTTACTGCGTCAAGTCGGACGTCAGCTGGATGGTTATTGGACAGTGGGGCAAGCAGCCACATGTGTCCCGACAGAAATGAGTTTTCGAATTTAAACTCACTGACGGACCCGATCATGATCACCATAGCAGACGGCAGCGAAGTGGAAGCGCAAGGTGTTGGGACAGTGCGCGTGCAACTCAAGACTGGTGAAGTGATCAGGATCGAAGAAACGCTATGGGTGCCGGGCCTAGACCGAAGGCTACTGTCAATATCGGCATTGTCAAAGAGGGGTCTACAAGTGATCTTCTCAGATCTGAGCTGTCAGATCAGAAGTAACACGGAAGTCGTTGCCCAAATACCAAGACGAAACAAGATGTACGTCTTAGAGTGCAGTCCGGCTGAGGTAGCCAACGTTTGCGAAGAGACATCTCAAGAGCAAGAATCAGGTGACGGATCAGGAGCGGCTGATCTACAAGTGTGGCATGCAAGATTAGGTCACCTGTCAACGAAGATGCTCAAGGGTATGGCAGGTTGCGTCAATGGATTAAAGATCAAGAAGAATCAAGGCGTTGAAGATGATATCGAGATCTGCGAAGGGTGCATCATGGGTAAAGCAACCGTCAAGACGTTTCCGAAGTCACCATACGGACACGTGAAAACCAAGGAAGTGTTGCAGTTGGTCCACAGTGATGTCATGGGACCTATGGAATCGAAGTCTCGAGGAGGATCAAGATTTGTCGTGACTTTTATTGATGATTATTCGAGATATATAGTCGCATACTATATTGAGAACAAGTCGGAAGTGACGGATCGCTTTATAGAGTATAAGGCACTTATGGAGAATCAACTGTCCAAGAAGATCAAGTGTATCAGGACGGACAACGGGACGGAATACGTCAACAGACGTTTCTCCGGTGTATGTCGAAAATCTGGTATCATGCATCAGACGACGGTACCCTATTCGCCACAACAGAATGGGCTGGCCGAACGCATGAACAGGACACTGACAGAGCGGGCCAGAGCAATGCTCAGCCATATGCAAGTGGATAAAATTTGGTGGGCTGAGGCGATGAACACGGCAGTCTATGTGACAAACCGAGTTCCATGTGCTAGTCACCCGACTAAAACTCCATTTGAGTTCATCTTCGGGAAGAAGCCTGACCTCTCCGAGATGTGTGTATTTGGATCAAAGGGATATGCACATGTCGACAAGTCGAACAGGACCAAGATGACCAAGAAGGCGATTCGATGTATTTTTCTAGGTTACTCGGATCAAATCAAGGGGCTTCGAATATGGGATGAAGATGCCAAGAGGGTGACGCACACGAGATCGGCTAAATTCGATGAGAGACCACCACTTCAGTACGTGCAACATTACAGCAGATCAAGTGACCAAGAGTTTCGCGCTGTTCATGACGAAGACACTGTTTCTATCGATTTAGAACAGCCACGAGTCACGAAAGACATGGATATAGCAATGGAGGACAGTCACAGTGTTCAAGAAGAGAGTCACATGCAAGACAGGCGTACAACAACGATGGCTCTACCATCAAGATGCAGTAGCAAGATGCCTGAACACGTGGGTTCCAATGCTGACGATCCAATGTTTGAAATTGATGATGTGACGATGATTGAAGAAGATCAAGAATCGGCTGAAGAAGTGTCAAGACAAGGACAGATGGTGATACGACCAAGTCGACAGACAAGTATTCACGCATCGCAAGAAACCGCGATGGTTCCACTAGAATCGGTTCAACATGGACAATCTCAAGCGTTAATACCAGTGAATGGTGCTGATGAGGACTTTTATGACGGCTCAGAAGTGTGTCAAGAAAAAGGCACAAAGAGACTACGTATTGGGTATGAGCAAGCATGTGCAGCGTTCGAGACCCCAACGACATACGAAGAAGCTCTTAAGTCACCTCGTCGTGATAATTGGTACAAGGCCATTCAAGCTGAGCTCAAGGCATTAGAGAAAAAGGACACCTGGACTGTTCAAACACAGCGTCCAAACCAGAAAGTGATTGGAACCAAGTGGGTGTTCGCACTCAAACGAAACGAGCTGGGTGAGATTATTCGATACAAGGCACGTCTTGTAGCACTTGGCTACAGGCAGACGTATGGAGTTGACTACATGGAGACATATTCACCTGTGGCAAACCTCAACTCAATACGGGTGTTTTTGGCGGTGTGCTGTCAAAAGGGGATGTTGATTCATCAATATGATGTCGACACTGCTTTTCTGTATGGCGTTTTGGAAGAAGAGGTATACGTATACCCTCCTCTGGGTGTTCGTGCAGAACATAATCAAGTGCTTAAGCTGAATCGCAGTCTGTATGGGCTGAAACAAGCGGCCGCTACATGGTACAAGACAATTTCGTGTGTGTTTGTGGAGATGGGGTTCTCTTCATGCGTGGCAGACTCATGCATTTTCGTCAAAGAGACCAAGGGCTCGTGGATTTACGCTGCATTATATGTGGACGACCTTCTAATTGGGGCTGAATCTACTGGAGTGATGGAAGATGTGGCAGCTCAACTATCAAGTCGTTTCCAGTTGAAGATACTAGGGGGTGTTCGATACGTTCTTGGAATCGAAGTCAAGTACCTGCGCAACAATCGACGTCTGAAGATCAGTCAAGGATCGTGTATATCAAGAATGGTCGAGAAATTTAATCAAGTTGATGCGAAAGCAGTGTCAAATCCAAGTGTTGAAGGGCAAGCGATGGTCAAGATGGACAAAGCTGACACAAGAATGGAGAATCGACCGTATCGATCGTTAGTGGGGTCGTTGTTGTATGTGGCAACAGGCACACGACCAGATATTGCGTATACAGTATGTCAGCTGAGTCGTCATTTGGAATTTCCACATGAAGAGCACTGGAATGCAGCGATTCGAGTGTTGCGATATCTGAAGACGACGCAGAGCAAAGGAATTTGTTATGAAGGAGTTTCAGGCAATCTTCAGCTGAGCGCGTACACCGATGCAGACTGGGCAAGTAACAAGTGGAATCGCAGATCGATTTCGGGAGTTTTTGTCATGATTAATGGCGCACCTGTGATTTTCAAGTCGAAGATGCAGCAGAGCGTGGCACTGAGCACGGCAGAAGCAGAGTATATGGCTCTTTCTTTATGTGTGCAGGAGGTTCTGTGGACAAGAAGTCTACTCAAGGAGATGCAAGTGCAGATTAACTATGCTGTCAAGATTCACGAAGACAACCAGAGTGCAATCGCTATCGCTAAGAACGACGGCTATCAAAGTCGAGCGAAACATATCGACATCAGATACCATTTTGTGCGCGAACAGGTGAAAGACAAGATTATCGACCTGCAGTATACTGAAACCAAGTCACAGCTGGCAGATTTTCTGACCAAACCGATTTCGACAAAGAAGTTCGAGTCGCTGCTGGACAAGGCCAGGATCAGAGACTTCTAGTCGAGGGGGAGTATTGGTAATGGTGTTGGTTACTGATACTAATGACCATATGTCATGGACGACACTGTGTGATAGTGTGTAACGATGGGATCGACTCATCGTTTTGTTACTAATATTATAGAGTCGATATCGATAGGCTTAGAGTAGTACAACGAGACGAACTAAGGACCTAGCTAGATGATAATTCACTTTCCATTTTACCTTCTTCTAAGCTCTCCCACCTCAACTCGCTCTTGACAGTTGCCAAAAGTCAAAAGCATGCGGGCGGTGCCATGGCGGCCATGATGGACAAAGAGAGGAGAAAATGAATGGATGGGAATTGTCGTTATTTTGATTGGTGGAAAAGATGAGGCGGACGAGTCGATCGACATTGATTGGAGGTCGAGGTAGTGTATACAGAGGTAGACGTTTCGTGTATAGCTAGACTGTTCGGCCATTCACCTCACGCTGATGTACCCTGGTAGTCATTTTGGACCATGTCATTTATCGAGCCGCGAGAATTCGACTCGTCTGAGCTCCGCGTTAGGTACGGTATTATTTGTGATGGGTTCACGAGTCAGGAGATATTCGACAACGTCACAGATCCGTATCCGTACACGATACAAGGCACTAGATGCACTTACTTAGCGTTACCTTTCGATACCGGTTCGGTACACGTCGTGAAGAACCAGCTCCATAGTAACTAACTGCCTCCATAGACGAAGAGCGTTCATATATTTGTTAGCGGATGGGGCTGCTACTACCTACCGCTTACCTATCACCTGGTTCAAAGCGTCAATTGATGAAGACAAACTGGTGTACACTGAAGAGCTGGGGTGACCTACCATGTTCCAATCACTTCTAGAGCTTCTTCTTCTTCTTGGCTTCCTCCACGGCCGGTTGTTTCGTGGGGCCAAAGACATAGGCGCGAATGTAAAAGTTCATGAAGAGCCAGAAGAGCGACTGCACGTACACGAGGTACATGAGTGGCACCTTGGGTGGCATGCCTGGGCACTGACGCGAGTACGTGAGGTACCCCTGGACGTTCATCGTGACGAACTGGAACAGCTGGATCCGAGTGAGGTACTTTTTCCACCAAATGTCGCGCGTATGAGCGCTCACGAAGTAGTACGTGTACATGATCGTGTGGACAAAGCCGTTGAGCACGATGGTCGCGTACGAGTCGCCGTCTTGGGCCGCACGGAACGTGACGTAGTAGACAAAGAGCACGGTCAAGTGGTGATACACGTGCAAGATCGAGAGCTGTTTCCACTTCTTGCCGAGGATGATAAACACCGTGTCGCAGAGATCGAGCATCTTGGAGAGGTAGAAGAGGTACAGAACGTTGCCCATGACGGGGGCGTCGGCTTTAAAAGCGTTGCAAGGGGCAGGGGAGTAGCCGTTCCGGTACGCTTGGATCGCAGCCTCGACACACATGTAGGAGCACGCAATGACCTGCATGGGGTTGTACACGAACTGGAGGGGACTGGTCTTGAGTGCGGGGATGCCCATTTTCATAAGGGCCTAGTACCGGAAGTAGTAGAACAAACAGGAGAGGTTAGAAGGAGGGATGATTGATTGACGCGCGATGAGCTCTTTTACTGGTGGAAGCTAAAGAGATCTGTCCGAGATGGACGAAGATGGACGTACCGTGCCAATGATGACGAAGAGGAGGTACCCGATGCAAATGGCGTAGACGCTTGCAAAGTTCGCAAGGGGGTACGTGGCCATGGGGTGGACCTTCCAGCCACCTTCAGGGTCCACCCAGTCGAGGAGTTGGGTCTCGGTAGCGTTGGCCCAGTCATAGTAGCGCTCGAGGAGCTCAGTCGACATGGTGCCAATGGGTTCACGCGGTGGGTTGTTGTTCGCTAGTCACAAGTAGAAGAGAGAGAGAGACGATGGACGTGCGAAGTGGCAAAAGCGCGAATGATGTGGCGGCGGCTTCGCTTCCACCACCAGTTTCGTCGTTGAGTGGGGTGATAGGGCGCTTTTTTTTCTGCGTCAATTCGTCGAAGATGGGGGGCGAGGCACCAGTTTTCACCGAACCTGAAGGTCCGGGTGGGGACGAGGTATAGTGAAATCGAGTGAATTGGTTTCGAGAGGGCAGCTGATGCCTTTCGAGGACGAAAGATGATGTCATGTCGGAGATCCGACCTGACGTCGTCCCTGTCATCAGCGCCTTTGCCCCTTCCACCAAAAGCGAAAATGCCTTGCGATGACGCCGATGTTGAGGCAAGTCGAACCAGTCAAACGATAGACTGACGGATCGATAATGTAGAGAGGGAGTAGGCCTGTTGGAAAACCTCCTGTAGTAGCCTCGAACCCAGCTCTTAGATTTCGGGAAGGAAGACATCTACTAATAATGACACGAGGATACTCAATGAAGCGAGTGATAGCACGTATATCGATAGGTAACAACATGAACTGGTGTAATGACTGTACGGCGGTAGACAACTAGAAGCGCTTGCTCCAGCTACCGCATTTCCAAAGCTGGAGTGGTAGTCGGATCGGTCGTCAGCGGCAGCAGACACGGCACGTTTGACCCGGTTTTTGTCTCGGTCTTGAGCGGTTGTGGGACTTGAAGACGTAGCGAGAGCGGGACAGGAAGATGACGCGGACCTTTAATGCATCGACTTGGTTCTAAGACTTGAATGTGCTTTTTTATTGATCCTAGATGTCAACGCAGTCGAGCGGGTGCGACTGAGGATTCGCTCTCGTCCACCTCCATTCAGCTTGGCGCTTATTAGAGCCGTCAGCTGGATCCGCGCAATCGTCGGACTTGTACCGTGCCTAAGGTTGGACGAAGTCGACAGCGGCAGAAGGTCATGGAAAGAGCTGACAACAGCAATAGCAATAGCACCGAAGATCAGTATCAAAAGACTCGGGTGCACGCCTTTGCTGAATACCCTAACGGCAAAGGTCTTGTACTCCTACATCTCAATGGGCCATTGTCGTCAGAACGATTCCTTGCGCACGACCAGTCATTTCATGACTGCGAGACTGGAAACGTGTAACCCGAAAGGACTATCTATCACATTGCTGTGCTGATCACTCGGGCTTCAGGAATCCTTGCAAGTTCACTTGCATCACTTTCGAAGCAACCAGGATGCCTCTTCGGTCACAAACCCACTGCACGATGGGGCATCCATTGCCTGACTGGGTAAACCGCGACGATATATCCCCTCACTCACTATACCCCCTCTTGCCACTGGATTGCATCACATCCGCTTCAAAGTGAGCTTACGGTCGTCCATGCTTATCGGAAAGTCAGCAACCCAAGCGTTCGATCGTGAGAGACAGTGAACATGGCGTCGTACCGCGGGTGCCACGTCGCATGCAGCACCGTTTTGCCTGCAGACACATCAGTTTCCAACAGACAGACGTGAAAAACTGCATCCACGACCCATCAAGATCATCAGCAAGAAAACCAACAACACTTACGGTGGACACGAAGCGCTTGCTGCGGCTCCACTGTAGGGTACTTATTGCCCCGCATGCGCACGTCCCAGATGTTCACCACACCCGTCTTGCTGCCACACGAGACGTGATAACCCGCTGGTGACCAGCGCGGTACGACATACTGACTCATCGAGCTGCCCTCCCATGTCAACGACATCTCTCTACTGTCATATCGCTGGCGAAGGTCATGCAGCAACAAGTTGTGCTGAGCCTGCTCCACGCTGCTGACCAGAAGCAAATTCGGGTTGTGTGGATGCTCGAGGATCGAGTTGATCTTGCAGATGGTTGGCTTCCGGCGCTCCATCACTGTTTCCGTCCGTCCCTTGTTCACGTCGTATCGTATCACGAGGCCATCAAAGCCACCCGTGTACACACAGTCCCGCTTGGAATGGATACAAAGCGATTTCACTTCACTGCGATGGTCGCGGTGCAACACACTCCACTTTAGATCCATCGCACCGCTCTGTCTGTCCTCGTGCTCTTCCCACAACACAACGGCGTGGTCTGAATTGCCGGTAGAGATCACTTGACGGCTGGAGGTATCAGACCCATACCCACTTGGCAACCAGCCAATCGTCGAAATACCACGGGGATGTAACGTGGTGCACTTCGAAGTGATACGGTCGCGCGGAAGCGATTGTGGCGTGCCGCTATCTTCAAGCTTGAGCTGATGGAGCTGCACGATACAAAATTCCCCCTTCTCTTCCAGAGGATCACGAAATGCCATGGCCATGCGGTTTCCGTCTGGACTCCATGAAATAGCTTCTGCACACGAATTACTCCGCCGAAACGACGACGGTGTCAGCATCACTACCTTGGCGATATCTTGGTCTTGACGCTGGTAACTCCACAGAATAAGACCTCCCTCGTCAGGGCTGGTGGCGAAAATTTGAGGCTGGATCGGGTTGAACGCCAAGTGTCGGCCTTTGCGAGCGCTGCCGTCTGGAATCGCACGGAAGCGATGGTTTGCTAGTAGCTTTGGTGTGGATAACCGACCCCAGAAATGATCTGGCATCGACTCATCAACTGGAACCACCGTGCTCGTCGCCGCCGCATCATTCACCACTTCTTTCTTCACATCGTTGGGTTCAATGATCACAACGTCATCATCGTCATCAGTGCATTCCTCATCATTCTCTTCGTCAACAATGCAAGGACGCTTGCTCGGACGTGATCGACTACTTGCCTGCCAGCTGTCATGTTGCGTACTCCGCGGTCGCTTCACTAGCTTTTCCTTGCGGCTACTTTCGCTTTGACGTAAAGGTAAACGACGATCCCTGCGCTTCCGCAATGCATCCAAATCCACCTGAATGTCGTAGATCTCCAGCTCCTTGGCTTCAACACGCTTCCGAAACTTTTCCATCTCCTCACGCAAGTCGTCCAACTCCTTCTTCTTCGGCTTCAACTCCTCCTCGGCGTTCGCGATAGCATCTTCAATCTCGTCAAGACTACTACCACATCGACTACTCCGTCGGTCGACATGTGACGAAGACTTCGTCGATTTTTCTTCGCGGTCATCCGCATTACTAGTTTTCGACCGTCGAGAGTATCGACTGCTACTCACAGAACGTTCTCGCTCCCGCGCACGCCCCCTCTCCTTCTCATGTGCCTTGGATTTACCGCGTTCTCTTGCCTTCGATTTCGAGCGTTCCCTTGCCTTAGACTTCGAGCGTTCCTTTGCCTTGGACTTCGAGCGTTCCCGCTTGCTTCCCGTCACTCGACTGGTCCTGGATGCAGACATCTCCAGCTCTTTATGACGACTCATCGGTCCACCGCCACTTCGCATCGCTGATGATTGCGAGCGCTCTCTTTGACTTTGTTGCACTGCAACTGCTCCTGCTTCGTCTTGCTTCCCCCGCGTCTCGGATTTAGCCCGCGTGCGTGTTGCAACAGGCGACGGATTGTGTCGGGAACGAGCCGTCGACGGACGGCTGCCGTCCCATCTTCCTGTAGTCGAGGACTGAGCGGTAGCAACAGGTGATGGCAATACCGGGCGATAGGGTTCAGGGACTCGAGGATGGTAGTAGCTCGTCTTGTTGGTGTTCTGCGTCGACGCGCCACCCGCTCGATTGCTACCGAGAGCCACAAAGAGTTGGCCCGGGACCGTGTGCGAACTGAGGCGCGGGCGGGACTTGGACCGGGTATGGGACTTGGACCTGGTGCGTCCCGTGATCGGATTCTTAAAAGACGGGGCGACGGAACGGCGGGACGGAGTGGCAGTGGACTGCAGCGCCGGGAGCTTCCGCCGCCGCTTGAGCATCGTGTCCCCGCGCTGGAAATCAGCGTCCGAGATGGAGAAAGCGCGGGCGTGGCCGGTCGGCGCGTAGCGAGAGGACGTTGCATGGCTCATCTTGGGACAAAAGTGGCCGACTGCTTGACTGGAGATGCGGCGTGGGACGAGAGAGGGCTCGATGATTGGTCGAAATTGAGCATGGCTTCAGCCGATGCTACTTTAGGACGTGCGCTAATACCGGTATCAGCGACGGGGAAAAGGGGTGCTGCAAATGAGCCTTGGTTTGCTCAGATGGGGCGCGTCAATGGATGGTGAGCAGGTGTCCTCCGCGTATCTGTTCTTCGGTCTGTTGCAGCTTGCAGTGAAATGGTCTTTTTTTCATGTTTCTCAGTGCTTTTTGCCGTGACAAGTCAATGCAAATGTCAACACTATTCTCGCTACTTGATGCGCGTGTCGACGTAGCGATGCCATGGAGCTCTAGCGTAACGAACACACAACGCAATGGTGGACACTGGGGCGAGCGACACTACGACATGGGTGCAGTCGGTCGTAACGTCATACTCGACGGTCATTGGCTGGAGTCCGAATGTGGCCTGGCGCATGGCACATCGTCCAGAAGGCAGACCCTGAAGGGACAACTCGATGGATCGTGGAAATACTGTGCGCCACACAAAAAAGGGGATGGACGCAAGGTTGCGACGTGAGGGTCCTGACCGTCTCTTCTCTTGCACGCCCTAGTATCCAGTTTCTGACGTGTTTAAACAGATGGTCACGTAGAGCCCATTCTTTCCGTCTAAACTAAATCGTCGTTCCAGCCCCTAATTCGTCGCCTCGGCGTAAAACCCCCAACTACTGCTCCCAGAAGACCTCACTGTACACATACCCTGTCATAGCCGCTACACCCACCACCCACTCGAGCACGTCAACAGCAGCTTGAAACCTCATAACCCCCCCAATCGCTCACACCTCTCACTGACTCGTTTTGACAGGGCCATTCTGCGCTGAAATTCCGCAAGTCAGTTCCCATACAAAAACCAAGTCACAAGTCCGTTCGCGTAACATTCCTCCATTCGCTCGCTCGCACGTGCCTGCGTCGATTGTAGTCCCTCTCTCTCTCTCTCTCTTCATTCCTCTCTCTCTCGCTCTCTCTCTGTCTGACTCTCGCTGTCGCTCCTTAGCGCATGCAGCACGAGGCCACGGCCTTTGAGTCGACTCCCGTTCACTCCACACTAGACATGAGCAGTAGCGAGACGACCGACTTTGAGCGCGGGCCGCCCGAGAGCAGCGGCGGGTTCGTCAAGATTGGCGGCCCCTTGCCCGACTCGTCCGACCCGCGCGCGATCAAAGGCGCTGCCAGTTCTCCTGGGAATGGCCACCGCCTCTTTTACTTGCGGGTGATTGATTCGCGCAAATGGCACTATTCCGAGACGTTTGCGCTCTTTTTGGACTTTTTTGCCCAAGTGTTAGCGGTCTCGTTTACCCAAAAGTCGTCGTTCCACGATGAAGTCGCGGCAAAAGCATCGCGTTACTTCTCCGCCGTCCTCATGTTGTGTTACTTTATCGACATGATTATCCGTGTGTTGGGCCTGCGCCTTGCACTCTTTCGGTCCCACTCGAACATTGCGGACCTTTTGTGTCTCGTGGCTATGGTCGTGCTCCTGGGCTCGAGGTTTGCCATGGATGATACGGAATACATGCTCTGTCTCGGCTACTTGACGCTCGTAGCGCTCCGACTGATTCTCAAGCCCCGAGCACGCACGTTTTCCAAGAAACTGCACAAGTTCCGCACGAATGGCGACCATATTCGAGTCAGTATCGAGTCGTTACGGGCCTCTCTTGCTCGGATCCCCGGCATTTCGGCCATGTCAATTGAGATGATGGAGACGGATCTCGTGATTATTTGTGGACGAGACGAAGGCGACATGACGCGCGACGAGCTCATGAACTTCCTCGAACGGGCTTTGCACTATCGTCCGCCAAATCTGTCAGCGACCGAGTTCCTGTCCCATCTGCGTGACATTGACGCGTCGTCGTCTACGCTCGCTTACGGCATCACGGACGTTGTTCGAAGCACGTTGTGGCACTGGTCCACGCAGATGGCAGACCTCATCTTTTGCTTTTTTGTCGTGTGCATCAATGCCTCGGTGAGTCCGGCACTGGCCATTTTTCTGGCCAAGCTGTCGGACGCTTTCGATACGCTGGATACGGGCAGCCCGAACGAGTCGACGCTCAGGTTTGGTGTCGTGGGCGTGCTGGCACTGTGTGTGCCGTTTGTACTTGGCGACTACGCTGTCGGCTACTTTCAATCCAAGATGATCGCGAAAGCGACCGAGTCGATGCAATCGGCATTGCTGAACATCATTCTGCGTCAGAACACGCAATTTTTTGCCGAGCGATCAGAAGGTGACTTGAACAATCTCTTCTCGAGTGATGTGGCGCGTGTGAACGCGCTGTGGCAGGCTGTATTTTGGAATTTGCTGAACCCGCTGCTGGCTGTGATTTTTGGGTTCGGATACGCCTTGTATATGGACGTCAGCATTGGCATCATGTCGTTCGCTTTTACTGCCGTATTGCTTTCAAGTGGTCCGCAGGGCTTTGCAGCTCAACGATCGAAGGAGTTTGGATCTAGAAACGCGTACGTTGCTGCTGAGTTCCAGAATGCAGTGGGCTGTGAAAAGGTTGTACGTGCGTATGCTATCCAGGATCCGCTCATTGCTCGTTTCAAGAAAACGTGCGCGTTGCTGCGTAAGAGTCAGTTTTCGAAAGACTTTTGGTCGAGTATCGTGCAGATCTACATCGAGTCGGCCATGTACATCTTTGTAGCCATTATGACCGCCTCGTTGGCTATGAAAGTGTGGCACAAGGAACTGTCATCAGGCGAATTTTTCGGATTCATTACGCTATTGAGCCGAGTCTCGAATCCTGTGACAGTGCTTGGTGGTTTCATGCGTGTGGCTATTGGTAATGCTAGTAGTTTGCAGCGGGTTGACGACATCATTGTAGGCCTCGGATCGGTCACTGGCGATGACAATGGTGACAACGATATGCCACCACTGCCAAAGATGCAGCATGATCTCGTAATTGAGAAACTCGTATTCAAATACGACAAGGCTTCGGAGAATTACATTTTGAACGAACTGACTGCGGCGATTCCTCGTGGATCCTACACGTGTATTGTTGGGCCGTCTGGTTGCGGTAAGAGTACGCTGTTAGCATGTTTGATGCAGTTTCAGGAAGCTGATGGCGGTTGCATCCGTCTCGACGGCCACGACATTTTCAACTTTTCGAAGAAATCGTTTATGGATCAGACCGCGGTTGTGTTCCAGGACGGTGGAATCCTCAACGGAACTATCTACGACAACATTCGCTACGGCAACACTAGTGCTTCTAACGCTGACTGTGAAGAGGCTGCCCGGCTCGCGGAGTGCCACTTCATTCGGGACCTCAAAGACGGATTCGAGACGGTGGTGGGTCAGCATGCAACATGCAACTTGAGTGGCGGCCAGGCGCAACGTATCTGCTTAGCGCGTTCTCTTTGCCGTCGGCCGAGTCTATTGCTGCTCGATGAAGCCACGAGCGCTTTGGATCCTGAGACTGAGGCATCGATTGTATCTACGCTGGAGCGCCTCTCGGGCAAGATGAACATGACAATCATCTCGGTTACACATCGCTTGTCCACGTCTCTTAACGCAGACCAGATTCTGGTCCTCAATGGAGGACGTGTTGCAGAAGAGGGTCGTTACGATGACTTGGTGCAGCAGGGTGGTCTGTTTTACGAGATGGTGCACAAGGTGGATAAACCAGAAGAGGACGAAGGTGCTGTCCCCATGGAGAAGATTGACATGGTTTCCATGGCCAAGGGCCGTGGTCGTGTCACCGCGCCACGTAGAAACACAGACAAGATCAGCGCTACTGGGGAGAAACCGAAGCAGTTGCACGAAAGTGCGCTGGCATTGCAGCAGTTTACAAAGACTCTGAGCTCGCGCGTGGCGCATGAGGTTGGCGACAGCAATCGTCCTGCCGGCACGACCTCATGGTACCGCTATGGTAATCGCAACTCGCATCGCAGTCGCAAGGCAAGTGAAGAAGGGATGACAGCACGCCGCTCAGGAAACAACAGCGTGGAGGGTGGCCAGTGGTATCCTAGCCATGACAACCGGGGTGCGGCCTCGTCAGCAGCCAGCGAGGAAGATCGCAACAAGTACTTTGTGCTATAGTCAGCATCGTCTTGTTTTTTTTGCTTATGTTGAAGCAGCTACTGACGCCGTGATGTGGTGTCAATGTTCGTCCGTTTACAGATAGGTTAACTGCATAATTGCTACAAGACCAACCTGTTCCAGAATCGCTCGTATGATGTTCTCAATTGACCGAGCAATGACCGCTTCTCCATGTTGCAGGAAGAAGTGTACAGCTGACGGTGCAGGCCCGGAAGACCCGGCGGACGCGATGCTTTTTATTTTTGATTCGAGAGACTGGGGGAACTGTAAACAGCATCAATCGACATAACACCCAGTGATTACATTTGAAGCATCTGTACGAATCGGCCACGGCTGCCATTGCTTAGAAACCCAGAGTAGCACGTCCATAAAACTCTTCATCCTCTTCGGGCAGAGAGTCTTCGAGCCCATCAAGATTGAACTCCTGTGTCTGTTTGCTATCATGTCGAGCAAGCGCTTGTTCGTCACTAGTACCACGCTTTGCCTTTGCCGGTGGCAATGGCGGAGCAGCAGCGTTGAGTAAATATGCGTTCGCAGCACGGAGGGTCTTCACCCAATTGTTCAGCTCCTGTGAGTTCTTTGCAAAGAAATGCGACTGCTGCTCATCTGTGCTCAGCACGAACTCCTTGCCGTGTCCAGGATCGTCTGCGAGAACCTCAAAACTCTTCTCAGCGAGGTTGATCTCGCCGCGCACGACTGAGTCACCACGGCGCTTGTAATATTTGAGGAATCCATCGGCTGTGATGACACACCAACGCTCGCGGGCGCCCCGCATGGCTTTCATGCCGCCAATGAGGCCGCGATCTGCCCACTCTGTTGGCCCTTTTTCCAAGAAACCACTCATCATTGGCATCTTTCCTGCATGTGAACTGCCCGTGGTAAATGTAGTGTCAGCGCTCGTATCAGAAGTCGACGGACTCAAGTTGTCCTTGGTAATCGATCCCAATTGCTTGGATTTCTTCGAGTCCGACGGCGAGGGCTGACGGTTTGACGTGTTTGCTGCTTCAACCGGAACCTTCTCTTTGCGAGATCGCTCACTCCGTGTAGGTGGTGCTCCTGATTTACCGTGATTTTTAAGCCGATGAAGCTCGTCTTGTGCGTCCTTTAGCTCCTCCTTGATCTTTTGGCGCCGCCGCTGACACTCCTTTGCTAGCTTCTGATCACCCGATTGAGCAGCCTTCGATAACGTGTCCACCACGGACCTCTGCTTCTTCCGCAGTTCCAAAATCTTCGCTTCAAGGTCAGCAAACTCTGACTTGGGCTTGGTCACGCTCTTGCTGCCACCACCCGTGTCATCGTGCTGGCCGCTCGAGGCAGACGCATTCTTGTCTTTGCCTTCCTTTTTCGATCGATGAGAAGATGGCGAGGATGTTGAGGAGGTATGTCCTCGCTCCTCGTTTTCGAGACTAGCGTAATGCTTAGTAAGTTGCTCCATCTCTTTTTGCACCTTGTTGGCTTTGCGCTGTTCTTTACTCAGTTCGTCATCAAGCCCGCGTCTTTTCTTTTTTAGTGCTGACAGCTGCTCCTTGGGTGGTGCAGTAGGCTCGATACCGAAAATGTCTTCCTCCTGCACACGATCCTCTTCTTCTGGTTTGTCTTTCTGCTTCGCTTTTGCAAGCTGCTTTTCTAGCTCATCTAGCTGGGCCTGCAGTGTATCCCTCTCCTTTCGTAACCGCTTATTGCCAGAACTCATCTTAGAAATATCATCATTCAGCTCTGTATTTCGCTTGGCCAGCTCATTGGCCCGCACAAGCTCAGGATTTTCCATAGCGTAAGTCGCCTGCAGCTTCAGGTTTTTCAACATCATTTCATACTTTTCTTTGTCACTTTTCATTTCGTCGTTCTCTTTTCGCAACTCCATTCGTCTCGCATTAAGGATATCAAACTCACTCGACACAGTACTCCACTTGTGCTGCATGCATGTCAGCGAACGCAGCAACTTTTTGTTTTCAATTGTCCACATCTCGGTATAGAGCTCTCCTGTCACAAGCACGCGCGTGTACTCCTGTCTTTGCTGCATGTAAGCAGTCGAGTGTCCGTATCCCGAAGCGACTAAGTCAGTGCTGGCGGTACCATTATTAGCGCTGCCTCCATCCGACTTACGACCGCCATTTTCCTCTACAGTTCCTTTTTTCACGTCAGCAAACTTGATACGTACTGGCCGAGATGCTGTCTTCAGTTTTGCCACCACCTCCTTATACGTCAATCCTGCCAACGACGCGTCTTCAATGCTGATGACACGCATACCAATCGTCAGACGTTTGTTCGCCTTAACACTCCAATTGTGCAGCTCGGCGGGACCTGCTTTCCCATTGACTTTTGGCAGATCATCCACTTCAGCTTGGAATTGCGGGTACAAAATAGTCTCCATCTGATGAACCTCCCTTAGACTCACGCCCAGTCGACCTTCCTGAAAACAGATCTCCACCTCACTCAGCCAGTTGTATGTTTTCTTTATCTTCACACTCGGAGTTTTAGCGGAGGGTGGAGCAACCCACTGCGTCTTGCCCGCAGGCGAGATATAGTAATACCGACCTTTCTGCGACTTGCTCTCCTTCCGTGTCCATCCAGGCGGCAATTTGTCTTCTCCATCGGCCGTTGTACTGCCGCTACTGCGTCTTTTGTCGGTACCGAGACTCCCTCGATTGCTGTTCTGCGGCGCAGCAGTCGAAGATTGGCTGCTGCTGTTCTTTGTCTTTGATGCTGCTGCTTTTGTACCAGAAGCAGCACCAGCAGTAGCACCAGCAGTAGCAGCAGAAGTTGCAGTCACGTTATTAGTACTGCTGCTCTTGTCACTCTGGCCAGCTGCAGCATTATTGTTCCTATTGTTCAGAACAAATTGACGGAAAAAAAGAACGATACCAATCACACCACAATAACAACAATAACAACCACAAGACACGACAGGAACAATCACTTAGCTCGCTTTTCCTCCAATCAAATCGCATCGTCTCAGCTCGAAGAACCAAGCGAGAATCCGATCAAGAACGCAATACAACAATCAAGTGAGACGCGCTACCTCCATAACGTCGTCTTCTTCATCGCCAACCGCCGGCGCTCTCCAGTCACACCCCACGACGTTGCCGTGCGTCCGCGTCGCTGTCGTCTGCGTGCGTCCTCCCAATTGGAAGAGAGAGACAGAGAGGGGGAGAGAGAGAGAGAGAAACGCGCCGTCGCCCGGTCGCAGACCGCTCCGTTCCTTCTACCGGATTACACTAACACGCCCCCCTGGGTGCACCGAGTTCTCAGCTAAGTACGGATCGCAGCAGCCAATCACAAGACGAACAGATCACAGAACCCAACACAAATGTCATTTTTTCCGCAAAAGTCGCCGCAGGAGCCAGCAGCTCATTTACCAGTCAGTCGTCCGAGGCGGACAGCGACTTGAAGTTCCCGGGCGGCCGCGAGCGTTTACGGGGCGAGAGCGCTTCGACTCCAGTGTCTCCTGATCGGTGCGATGGACCGGGACACGGGTCTTGAGAACATGACGCGCTGCTGCCGTCCGTCTTGGCGTGGAACGCACTGCGCGAGCGCTTGCGTCGGTCCGAGGTTTCGCTATGCGAGCGCTTTCGATAGTCCGACGGTTCGGCCCCGCCAGAAGGTTCCTGCTGCTGCTGTTGTTGCTGCTGCTGCTGATGGAGCGCGTTGGCTGGCGGCTGGCCGGGAGGAGGCGGCGGTACCGATTCCTGCTCCTGCTGCTGATGTTGTTGCTGCTGCTGTTGCTGCTGGTGGTGGTGGTGATGCTGGTGGTGCTGGGAATGGTAATCACGCCCCATGCCCTCCATGGCTCGGGATTCGTAGCCGCCGCCGTGGTTGCGTGGCCCTGCCATTGACGCCGACATTTCGTAGATCGCGCGCTCTCGGTTCACTTCGTCAATGTAAGCTTCGAGGCAGTTGACCATGAACCGCGTCCTCTCGGGGGTCAGCGCGCACGAGAACTTCTTGTGCGGATCGTGCGTCGTGCCGTTCTCAATGTCAGCTTCGAGGTACCAGCACCGCTTCATGTGGTGACCCAACTTGAGACAGTAGAAGCACGACACGAAGCCATTTTTGCCGTCGTAGCGATCGTAGCTCTCGTACTTCTTCTCGCATCGACTACGAGACTTCAGTGGAGACCTGTCGTATCGACTATTGGAGACGTACTTGTCATAGCGACTGTTGAACTCATACTCGTCATAGCCTGGCGCTAAGTCGTACTTCTCGTAGCGCTCGCGTGGCTCGTATCCATCGTTCTTCTCATGTCTGCTGTCGGGCTTTTGAGATTTAGACGATCGGGATGCAGTCGGCCGCTCGGCTGGCGCTTTCCTCACGCTGTCCGCCGATCGTGTTCTACTCAACGTCTTGCTCTTTCCTGAAACTGTCGCTGACGAGGTGCCACCGCTAGTAGGTTCCACGTTATCACTTGCTCCGCTCGTCGCCTCAGTCGGCGATGGAGCGGCCTTACTGGGCCTTGCAGCTTTTTCTGCCGATACGGATGTTCCACGAGAGTGCTTAGCTGGCTTCTCAATCGCATTCTCAGAAAACTCGCTCGCTGACTTGGCTCTTCGATCGTCCCCTGATTCGTATACTGTCTTTTGTAGTGCCCTGGTGACGGGCGTAGTGACCGGTTCAACCGCAGCGGACTTGTCAACTGATTGTCTCGGCGACTGTGCGATTCGCAACGTGAGTGAACTATCGGTCGGCCCGCGAGTCGGTTTTGCCAGTAACGAGTTCGTCGCGCTTGCGGTCTCCATCTGTGCTTGCATCTTGTCGCGCGTTGCAATGACTTTCTCGACAAGTTCAGAATATGGCACAAAAGGTCGGACACCTCGCCATGATGTGACCATAGCTCTCCACGCACTTGGCAGCGTCTGCACGAACGAGACCGAGCGGAAGCCGTCCGTGAGCTCAATCCCTGTCGCCAGTGCATACTGCTGCATGAGCATCTCCCACCGTGTGACAAACTCACGCACGGGCTCGCCCTTCTTGTCGCCCAATCGAATATGATGCAGCACTCGATGCATCTCGTTCACGTCATGAGCACCGTGACTGCTCCGATTGCCATACAAGGCACAGAGCATTTTCCAGCTGTCGTAGATGTTCTTGTTCAGAATCGCGCCTTCCACGTCCGGATGCAGACAGCGCTGGAGAATGCTCTTGGCCTCGGCACTTTCGCCAAGCACGTCCCATCGACTGAGTTTTGTCGGTGGCGGGACCGGCGCCGCGTCCCCACGTGGCGCTTCTTCCTTCACCATCTGCAATTGCTGCTGTTGCTGTTCTTGCTGCTGCAGTTGCTCGTTTTCCGCTTGAATCATCAGCGTCCGGGGCGGTACTTCCTCCCCATTGTACACGAACGCCTGACTCCCATCGTACCCACGCACCATAACGTAACCCAGCAGATGGTACCGCATCAGCTCGTTCTCCACCCGCGCCCGCCACACGCGGAAGTCGGTCGTGCCGTCAAAGACACGGACGCTGCCGCTCGCCTCCATCTCCTCGCTCGCTTCTCCTTCTTGCAGCGGAACTTCTTGTGGATTTGCGGCCACGAGCGCCAAGCGTGATGGACGACGGGGTCAGGAGATGAATGGCCCGAGATGATTGGCTCAAATCAGGTCAGGGGATGCTGGCCTTGTCCTGATTGGCACATGTCACGACGAGGAAATGGCACGAATCCACACGAACAGTTGCGTGTCGCTCGCCACGTGTCGCATATTTCTCTCATGGAATAATCAGACATAATCAGGGCGACGCTGGGCACAGATTCGACAGTCAGTCACGTGGTCTGCTGCTACTTTTTGTTGTTGCAAGCAGCTTGGGCTACTTCACGTAAGCGATTGCTGGAAGGCGTTGGGGTTACAAGTGGATGGTCTCGGTTGAACTCGTTTTTTTGGAGTTGCACAAGCTGGCGATGTGGGCACCACCTGGTGGTCATGAACTTTAATCCCACCGAAATACCTGCCTCTGTCCACTGCGATTACCACGCAGAGTTGAAGAGGTGCTGTGATGCAGACTTGTTTACGACGAGCTCAGTAAAAGTCCGTGTAGACGTGTCGTTAGTTCGTGCGATTGACTTAATCGAGTGAGACCGACGGACGTGAAGTAGTGGCGTTTCACCTGCCTTTTACGACCCCAGGCGCATGTACGTGATGCATACGGCCACGATCTCGGTAGTAGACTACCGCTGTATAAACAGCTGAAACATACCATAGTTCTCTTGCACGTCAACCTTATCGATGGATTTTGAATGGTCGATTGCGTAGAAGCGTGACATGGTAGTTCCTGTGACACGGAGCTTTGCCATCTCTTCTGTTTCAACCATTTGACGAGTTCAGACGGCAAACGAGCGCGTGGCTTTGCTCTTGAACTGATTGGACATCGCCAGCAGCATGCATCGCGTAAGTGGTGATCATCATCTTCTCGTATGTGCTGATAAGCTGGATGCTGGAGTATGGTATTACTCCAGTCCGACTACGCTGCCCGCTCCCACATACAGAAAATCAGCACCACCCGGGCTGCAGCGTCGAGCGTAGGGAAGGATGCATGTACTCGTGCGGATCAATACGTAGCACGAATCATCGCCGTTTCTAGCGGCTTTTAACCTGCTCACAAGCTGGTTTCTCACGCAGAACTGATGGACCGACTGAAGGCACTTCGTAGCTATGCATACTCGCTTCTTCGATGGACTTAATGGATCCCGTCATCCGATCAATGTGTTGTCGACTGCAGAACGCACGGCGACATGTCTACGTGTCGGGATACAGCGTGGAACTCAACACGACGTGCCGCGTGTATTCAGAAGGTGGACACCATCGTGGCAGCAACAGTTGCACGGTCGCCCGCAAGCCCATCATCGGTGCTTCAGTGATGTGTCGCACGTCCTACGACAGTGTTGGCTTCTGAGCTCGCATGAGAGAAGATCGATTGCTCATGCGTATTGCAACGAACGAGGTACCTCCAACGTGTGAACATTCTACGATGTGCTCACGAGTTCAACTCCGTGGCACCGTTTTCGGATCCTAGCACGCTGCTTCGATTGGTGCATGGACTGAAGTTGTCACGGCGGTTGATGGGATGTTCTGCTCGATATCATGAACCCGTTCTTGTGATCTTCTCGGTCAAACAACTCCGTGCTACAGGTCTTTCCATTGTAGACATCAATTGCTTCCACTATCGACTGGTGTACGCTGCTTCGTCTACCGACGGTCTCTCTATCTGGCGTTGCATCACCATTGTCAATGCAATAAACATGCGCGCAATAAGCCCATCAAGCAGTCAATGTTCCGAAACAGTTCAAGCTCGAAGTGTTCCTTAACTTCAACATCAATACCTCGAGACAGTCTCATTTACCAGCATCGTGGTCCAATCGTCGAGGCCCATGACCATAGTAAGTACAGAACCCTCGACACATTGCACACCACAAAGATTGTACACTACACAATGCATTTACTGCTATCGTGTCCCGGCTCGCACTCAATCGAGTCGTTCTGCTCTGTTTTAGGTCCTTCTAGCTCAGCCTCTGAACGACGTCGTGTCACTAAAGTCCACCATCACGTGGTCCAGCAGCAGGCGACGAGGGACTCGCAGCTGCCTGTTTTTTACGCACTTGGCTTCAGCTCACCATTTCAGCCAATCATCAAGCAGCAGCTCAATATCTTGACTCGATGGCCGAAGCTGAGCCTGATGGCGATGGAAGACGTGAAGTGGGGGACGACGCGGTCTGGTCCCTGTCTTCTGCCAAGCCTGGCAACGGCATCGATCAGCTGCGTGACAGTGTGAACTTGCTCGCTTTTGTATGTGGTCTGCTGGCGGTACTCACGGATTTTTTGCGTGTCAATTGCAGATAATATGGACACTTATTGGCAGTCAGACGGCATGCAGCCACACGTCATCAACCTTCAGTTCCCCCGCAAGACGACAGTCCACGAGTTGATGCTGTATCTGGACTACAAGCTGGATGAGAGCTACACGCCCAAGAAGATCGCTATTCGCAGCGGCAATACAGTGCACGACCTCAAGGAGATCCACGTCCAGCATCTTGCCGAGCCCGACGGGTGGATCTCGATGCCGCTGTACACCGACGGCAGCTCCGAGCAGGTCCGTTTCATGTGACTGATTAGCAACATGACATTGCTGCTGAAGCGACACGCGCGTGGATGCTGCTGCTTGCAGGTTCCACTGCGCACGTTCTTCTTGCAGATCGCCATCCTCGCAATGCACCAGAACGGGCGTGACACTCACGTCCGCCAAGTCAAGATCTATGCACCGCGCGAAGCCAGTAGTATAAACTGGACAGTCGTGGAAGCTGTCACGCCGCAATTTACGGCATATTCCTGCATCCGCTAGCAGTACTAGCAATGCAAGTACGTCATGAACTCCATCCACTGCAAACGCCTTATTAACGCTGTCGATTCTTCCTAAACCCCGCAGATCCATCTACCAAGCGGCTAAACGACACACACACACACTCCATCTCTCTTCGAGTTATGCAGAAGGTGACGGATCCCGAAAGTTCGTCTGCTGTGCTGCGTTCTTGAACCTGCAGGACATCATCATCATCATCACCATCACGATTGTCAGTTCCTCTGTCTTCCACGCCTCGCTGCCCCTCGCTCCATTACCGTACACGCCATTGAAGATACACGTCATCTTCGTCACCTCCTCGTCCGTCTTCGCCATCTTTTCCACGTTCTGCGCCAGGAGTGCGATCGACGTGTGCAGCTCCATCATCTGCGCTGCCAAGTCCGCGTACGCCTGGGCTTTTTGGCGATCCATGATTGGCCCTCCCAAAAAATGGGTCCAAATGTCACGAGGTGAAAAAATGGTGCTATTTTTGCAATGAAGCCATCGGACTTAGAGGGGTACAAGGGCTCAATTTGTGTACCCATGTCGTCTCACGTCGTGGAGACATTGGGTGGCTGTGGTTGATGCAGCATTAATTGTGCTGCGGCTTTCCAGCCCCATGAAGAACGACGACGACGAGTTCTGTCTGTCCAAGACAGCGGAGAACCAGCTGACGCGGTCACTGCGCAATGAAGAGAGCGGCCGCACGCGCCACACGGGCCGAGACGACCGCGCTACGACGGAGCAAGTGCTGGACCCGCGGACGCGCATGATTCTGTACAAGATGTTGAACCACCGCATTGTGACGGAGATCAATGGCTGCTTGAGCACGGGCAAAGAGGCAAATGTGTACCACGCACGCCTCCCGGACGGTCGGGAAGGGGCTATCAAAGTCTACAAGACGTCCATTCTGGTCTTTAAAGACCGGGAAAAGTACGTCTCGGGCGAGTTCCGCTTTCGTCATGGCTACTCGAAGAGCAATCCGCGCAAGATGGTCAAGTTATGGGCCGAGAAGGAGATGCGCAATTTGCGACGTCTGCGTGATGCTGGGATCTACTGTCCAGCGCCTATTTTGCTGCGCTCTCACGTGCTCCTGATGGACTTTATCGGTCGCGATGGATGGGCAGCTCCACGTCTGAAAGATGCTAAGATCAGTGACAACCGATACCGAGAGTGTTATATCTACTGCATCAAGATGATGCGCACGATGTATCAGAAGTGCCGCCTGGTGCACGGAGACTTGAGCGAGTACAACATTCTGTACTACCAGACAAAGCTCTACTTTATTGACGTGTCGCAGTCCGTCGAGCACGAGCATCCGAGCGCCAATGACTTTCTGCGCAAAGATTGTCGCAACATTGCCGACTACTTTCGCAAGACTGGTGCGCTGAATCCCATGACGACACAGGAGCTGTTTGACTTTGTCACGGACCCATGCCTTGCGGATAAGGACGTGGACGACCGTCTGGATGAGATCCAGCGCATGATTGCCGATCGACCTGAGGAACGCACGAATCAAGAGCAGGTGGATGAAGCTGTGTTTATGAGCACGTTTATTCCTCGCTCACTGGGCGAGGTGCTGCACTCGGAGCGAGAGCAGCTGGCGTACCAGCAAGGAACAATGGAAAAAGCATTAGTGACGGCGATCTCGCGCCTCGAAGTGGATCAGCAAGTAAGTGTACCCCCTTCATCTATGCCAGGCACACGGATCATGGACCTTTTGAACGAAGACGATGACCAAGGGCTTGATTCTAGCGGCGATGACAGCGGCGATGATGATGACAATGATGATGACAATGATGATGACGATAGTGACGATGGCACGGACGACAGTGATGGCAACAAGTGTGACAATGACAGCGATGCAAACAACAGCGATGATGGTGAAAACGATAGTGACGAAGAATTGGCGCAGTGTGAAGAGGTCTTGCTAACAGACGACCAGCGAGCCGAGTTTCGGCAGCAAAAACGTGAGGAACGTGAGAAGCAAAAGGAGCTTGATAAAGTGAACAAGAAGATACGAAAGCAGGAAACTAAGGAGGAGAAGAAGGTGAAGCGACAGACGAAGATCCCGAAGCATGTCAAGAAGCGCCACAAGAAACTATCTCACCAGAAGAACAAAAAGTAATAGAGCAGCAACATCCTGTGATGTACGTGGACAGCTCATTACAAAGGTGCTGTCGACCTGATGTCAGTGGCATGGTAAGGGCTTGCATTTGCCAGCGACGTGTTTCATCGACAAAGATGATGTGAACCTACGGGGATGGCGTCTTGAAGCGTGTTAGTAAAGTCGCGACAATGACCAAAGCTAGGGCAAAAGACAAGAAGAAAACGTTTTGGACAAGCATCCGCAGTTGATTAGTCTTCACTTCTTACCCGTACACCAGAAGCTCACGGGCTGTCGAGAATCTAGTCACTCGAACGGATTCCCGGCAGTCTATTTGTCTTTGATGCTCGATTGTGCACTGGATTACCCCGTCTTCTTCGTGTTACTGGCTCTGTGGTGATGGGGACTGCTGCAAAAGGTCGGTACGTGTCGACCGACCACCTCGCAGCATTTGAGCAGCCCAGCGGCCAATGTTGCGTCGGCGCTGGTTGCGTCACAAAAGAGACCAAAGCATAAGCACGCGCTGTACTGAAATTTCTTCTCTTTCCATCAATCCTTCGGGTGAGCACGTACATGGATATAAGCAGTTGCAGTTCCCCAGCTCATCGTGAGCTGAACACTCTTGACCACTTCAAACAGCCCTGTACGCAATACCTGCGTCGTCGAGATAAAAAATGCGCCTTGTTTGAGCTTCTCTGCTGCCAAAGAAATCTGCGCCCACTCCCTGCAAAAAGCACAAGCACGTTGGTAGCATCAGCGTCACTTGATGCGTTGCAGCAAGCCTTTTGAATTCGTACTTGTCATCGAAACACGTGCCGTGACAAAACACGACATCTCCGTCCTCCCACTTGGATGTCACCAGGTCGCCAGCAATGTAGTCAATGTCCGTCTTTAGCAGTGGAGTCTTGAGCTTCTCCAACGCAACTTTGCGCTTCTCAGCACAACGAACCAGAGGCTGCATGTAACACTACGCTCAGTCGCACTTGCTCTCAGGATGAATCAAATCTAGCTGCAGATGTCCATTTCACCTCAAGGAACTCGATTCCGATGGCCTGATCAAACGGGTGCACCAAACTAGCCGCAACTACTGCTTTGCCGGTGCCAGATCCCTGAATTCGACACCAAAAACAACAGGATGGACGTGGATTCAATAGGACAACAACGATAAATTCGCTCCTTCTTCTTGCACCGACGCACCAGGTCGTAGAAAACAGCAAAATTGGGCAGGAAAGGAGCTACCCAGCGGATTATCTCAGCAAACGGGAAGAACAGAATTTCACCATAAATCTACAGCACAGACAAGTCATTCCACGTGACAATGACGACCAACGAATCATTTCGGTGTCCAAGTAAACGCCACTCCACTCACATATGAAGACTTGATGTATTTCAAGCTTTTTCTTGCCTCGCTTGATAATTCCTTAGCGTACTGTGCATGCCAACACACGTTTCCACAAGTTTTTTACGATACTGAATAGAAATGACCGATAGAAAAAAGCAGAATAAAGAAAAGTGCACTGACCTCTGCGCCAAAGCCACGATAGACGGTTTCAAAAGCGACAAAAGGTGCTTCGAAAATCATGCCCAGCACAAAATCCGATACTTTCAGCTCAGCGATCGCTTCCCGAGTATCCTATTTCAGTACAATAGAAGGACACACCGTACACAAGACATTAAGACCTCGTCGTCCCTGTTGCTATAGCCACTCTCACATCTGGCACCAGCCGCTTCATCTCCTGCAAAGCGCCACTTCCACGTAGCTCTGCCACTCCCTCAGGTGAGCACAGTAGCGCTTCCACTTGGTTGCGCGAATCAAGTGCTTTTTTCTCGGCCTGTAGCCAAAATGTGTACGACCAAAAAAGCGGTTGCGTGAGTACAAATTCGCGCAAGGCACACGCGCTGATGCTGTTGATGCAGCGTTTTTAATGGCTGATACAAAGATGATCATGTGCAAGTATCGGACCTGCTGCCAGAGTTCTGTAGTCGGTTCATAGTCGCGCAGTCGCGGGGCCAACTGCTTTAGCTCCGTCACGATCGTCTCCAAGTTCGTCGTCATGGATGACTTGTTGCTTGATGGTCATCAAATTATCCACTTTTTAGATCGGCCACAAAAAAGCGCTTTCAAAATTGTGCGACGTGATGTAGTTTAGCAAACGAACTTATAAAGTTGTCCGCTTCCTATAGAATTTTATGGGTACTGGGAGAATGTAACGACTTAGAACTCGCGAACGGAATAATGGCCGTCCAGAGCGAGCATTTTGACGTGCGAAATGGACACTTTTACCAGTCATGGCTTTCAACAACTTCAAGCATGACGTGGGTTTCAACCACTAGATCATAGCTACAGCGGAGCTACTTAGCGCTCCTTAACAGAGGAAGTCTTTAGACTTAAAGAGTCCCTTAGTCGTAACAAACTAACATCGACGTACAGTCGTTCAAGCGTACAAGCTTAACAATCCCGGTTCCAAAGGGATTACGATTCACAGAATCACACACTAACTAGTCACCACTAGTTAAACAAGAGTAAACGCATTGACAAGGCTAATTCTCTTAACAACACACTACGCCTCGACTAGGCACTTGTGTCCAAGGATTCAAAAAGAGAACTGGACTTTATTTATTCTTTTACTACGGTAATAAGACCTTGTCCGATTGACTTCTACATTGCGTTCCTATGACAGAAGTCTTATCCCTTTCCTTACCCGATAAGGTTCGATATTACCGTAAGTACACGATACCAAGATCGTACCACTCAGATCCACCAATCTTTACTTGGTGTGGACACACAGCACGACCGGTTCAAAAACCGCGTTTTGACCCGTTACATGGTTTATCGACTGGTTTTGGTGGCAAGACATCGCACCAGTCGTTGCTCGCATTGGTTTGTACTTGTGGTTTATAAGGGTGCTATAACGATTGTTTATAAACTCAGTCTGACGGGATTTCGGTAGTCACCCCATGGTAACTGTAAGAGTCGAAGCTCGATATAACTGAAGTTGTGCTGCGTAGGTGATTATGGTGGCAATAAAGGACAATGAGAAAGTAAAACAAAGAATCGTTTGCTCACGATTATTACGAGATAGCGCTACAGTCGTCACCAAATCTGTTGACTTTGCTTAGCTCTCCGCAACTGAGCAGTTGTTCTACAGTGCATCGCCCTGCACACAGCATAACGAATGTAAGTACCGCATTGTCTCAAAGGCGGTCATGGTGACAGCTAAAGTGCGTGCAAGTGAACGAGTCGATCATAAAACACGACATCAAAACACACTTCCCTCACTCGCAGCTGGCATACCAAAGCAAAAGTGACAGGCTTTCGTATCTCGCCCTGTCGCTAAACTTGACCGCCCTTATATCCATAGCATTCGCTTGATTAAATGTATACTAGCCAAGAGTTGACGACCACTGCCGCGATACCGGATACGATCTATTTGTAAACTCACGTGCATGACTGGTAACGCTTTGGCTCGATCAAGTCAGCAATAAAGACGGACGCATCGAAGATTGCGGTGACGTCGAAGGATTGAGAGATCAACGTGCTGTTTGTGAAAGTAGACTCGTGAGTTCACTAAGCCTGTCAGCCCTGTCCCGGCATCTTTAATTTACAGGAACCACTTTGGCCCGAGACCTTCATGTTCCCAGCTACCACCACGACTACTGTATCTATCTCGATTATTATCACCCCAGCCTCGCTTCTCCTGTCTACCATCTTCGTTTGGCGCATCCGTATCGGGCTTCAATTCCATCTCGTCGGTGTCGACTGTTGTGGTTGCAACGTCAGACCAAGGTCCCAGGGCGGGTAGTTAGCGCCCGTGATGCTCTTTATTTTGAGGGTCCCAGCAGATGGGAGTGAACTTGCCTGGCATGAACCGCCCGTCTGTTGGAATCGAGTCGCAGTGTGAGTACTGCTCGACTTAACACGATGTGGATGTCAGGATGTAATGGACGAAATGATGAGCTGGTTAGGAGTTCGAGCAGAGGTGCGATGGACGGCTGGACCCACCGCATCGGGCCTGGTTCTTCCGTTGGAGCAGGCGGGTATAACTAATGTTCAAGTTGAAGCCGGTAGATTCAACGAATTACAACCTGGTTGATGACGGCGTTAATGGTCAATGTCATGAGACCTAAGACGTCTCTTTCGGAATAGTCCATTTGTTCATCGGCCGTGATTCAACTGTCTGCACGATAGAAGGGCTCCATTCGCCAATGATACCCGATTGCTGATAGTTCTGGTTCCTTCTACGTGTGAGAGTCGAAGGATAGCGTCTTTACCAGTGCAGCCCCTGACTTCTTCACTACGGTTGTGATGCAACAACAGAGACCATATCTACAACAGACATACACTCAAGAAACAGCGATAAAACATTGCAGTTGTACGCAAGAGTCAGGAAAGTGAGTGCAATGTAAAGACTTGACTTCGTCAAATGTGGTAACGAATCCACAGGGTCTGGGTGCAAATAGTATGAGTGTGCCAGATTAGCCTCATACGCCTGGCAAGAACGAAGTTCGATCTGTACAGGCTGTGTACCTCAATCATATCGTTGTGTAGACAAAGCCTTCTCGTGCTGGCAACTACATGAACAACATGTATTTTGTTAATGTGTGCTTCACTCTGCTACTTCTGAGTCGTGGTCGTGACGCCCTCATCCCATAGACCACGCGATAACCGTTGTTGACCCTTCCTTTATATTGTAGTAGAAAATCAGTCCAACCAACAGCGGCATACCGTCAGTCTCTCTTTGGATCCAACGCAACCTTCTCAGCTTTTCAAAGATACAAACCGACTTACCTACTTTTTCTTGCCGCGCAGTACCTATACATCCAAATACTCTCCAGTCTTTAGCTGCCAGCGGGCGCTTCGCATGTAAGCATTGCGAGGTTGCGTCTGCCCACCAAGACCTTCACTTCTGGCGCTATTCCTCCTTCAGCACCTCCTTGTATCGCGCCAACGTCTTCATGTCGACACTAGAAAGGTGACCATTACGAGGACTGAGCTCTATGGTCACGTGTTTGGCAGTTATTTTTCTCTCCTTCCAGTTCGCCATCATCTCGTCCTGCAGCTCCGTTGCAATGTCGTGACAGAACGCATGTTCGGTGCCATCCATCAAGATCGACGACAGTAGCCCGTCGCCAAACTTCCTTATCAGCGTCTGAATGACCGTCTGTTTGTGGTTTTTCACACTGGTGTCGAACCTGGCATAGGCTTCCAGTGCCTTCAGTTTCGGCATATTGTCGTGAAAGAGGCGGCCGTCGTGCAGCTTCAGCACATCGAAGACACGGTCAAGCGATCTCTTCGTCCTCCACCAACGCTCCGATAGGTTATTGAACATTTTCGCAGCAAGTTCGTGATCGTCTGAGTCAGGCTCGAGCGAGAGACGTCCTGCCACGTGAGCCACGACGTCATCCTTGTAACCCCTCACGCAGTCCAAAAGTGATTCCGGCGTGGTCAATTGATCCTTGGACCTCAACGTTTGCAGCTTGTCCCAAAGCTCGTCTTGTTTCGCCAGAAATGTCGCTTTCTCGATCGGTGAAAGCTCGGTACGGCCATGTGTCCCCACAACAAACCGGCCTGTTTTCTTGGAAAGTTGGATCACGGGAGTTGCGTTTCTTGTCGGTCGAAGATGGGTTGGCATAACCGATGATGCTTTCAGCTCGTCAGGGATGAAACCAGCTATACCCCACCCGATCCAAGTCCCTAGCCACCAAAACCTCTCTTCAGCGGTCTGTTCTGGGGACTTCTTTTCAGTGACGTCGGTGCTCAGACCGGCAGCAGGATGCGACGCTGTGGAGGCGACATCTTTGGTGGAGGAAACAGACTCGCCTGAAGAGCTCTTGACGCACGCCAGGATCGCTGCAATAGCCGTGAGGTTGATGGCGAAGATGCGCATCGTTTTTTAGAGCAGTGCTGGAGTGGACTGGCCGGAGGTGATGCGTATCGTGGAGTGGCCAAACGCTCGAGTCTGGCCGGAACTCAGGGTGAGGCTTTGTTGGACAAATCAATCTGCTGGCTCTATTCAAAGCTAGTCCATGTCTCGCAGGAAGCGACAAACGCAGGTGTCCATCGCATCGTTTGTGTGCACGATGACGCCCAAGGCAGCCACTAATAAACCTATGCAGCACCAAGTGCGAGTTTTATGCCACCCAGCTGCTCTTCTGGTTGTGCTGCGTGGAGTGGTATAGGAAGGAGAAGGTCGATGAACAAGGCTGCTTGGGAAATTCATGTCGTTCAATATGAGCGAGCTGGCTTCAATGATCAGGGAGATGTGATGTGCTGCTTACGTTATGGAAGGCCAACGGACTCCATCTCGAGGTACGTGTCAGCAGACTGGGTACATCAAGGCAAGCGAGCAAGTCGCACAGAGAAGCTTTGAAGCTTCTTCAAAGGTCAAAGCTTCTCTGTTAGTGGAAGGACCCGGTCGCGACGTCGCGGCAGGTGTTGCTTGATAAGCAACTGGTGCTAATCCTCATGAAACCGCAGGCATCGCCTTTAACGCATTCGTCAAACTGACGTACGACGCCCGACTACTTCCGGAAGCTACGATTGGCAGAGCAAGCAGCTATCCGAGATGGATGGTAAGTAAACCCTGCTCAAGTGAACCCCTGCAGATGAGGAAACCGTTACTTTTCCTCGATAGGAGGCTGGCATGTCGATTCATTGAAATAGTCCAGGCATAGAGCTCGAACATCCCGTACATCTTGGGTTGAGGAACGTAGTGGGGGTGCGCAGCTATTGTGTAGATTCATCTTCGTGACCTCGCACATGCGAGGGTGTCGCATGTCAAATACTGAATGCTTCAAGCACAGGATCACAGCACGGCATAGATATTTGATCGAGTTGAGCTTCTCAGTTGCTAGCGTCTCTGCTGTTCTCTTGCCTGTTTACTACCCGCTGCAGTTGGAGCAACGAGATCAGCGGAGATGTTCGAGCCAGCGCGTTGGACGCGATGGTCATTTTCTGAAGAGCTCGTAGACTGTTCTACAGAGAGCTCCTGTACCATGTAATGCATTGCACGGTCCAGGCATTTACGCTGCCATGAGATGATGTCTCCCTCATTGGCGCTGAGAAGAGCTCGTAGTTGATGCTATGCGTGGCAAATCGTGATGTATCGTATACTGTCACACGGTGAACCGGTGCATAGCTTTTTACAAGCACACGAAGCGTACCAATATGGTATTAACGGGATGATGCACCGACGATTGTGTTGCCACATCGCAACTCGAGCCTCGCCGAGCACTCGACACTGCTTTCCAGAGTATAAGCGCTGCTCAATTGACGACGCGGGTTGAGAGCTCACTGTCAATCTAAAAGGCACGATTCGTTGAGCATAGTGCCCACAGGTCCGAGCAGACGTTGAATGCTCGACCGACTAGTTGCTTGTTAGTGCTCGATCATAAGAGCCGAGAAAGAGAGAGAGAGAGAGAGTAGATCTAGCCGCGCCAGATCCGAGCGTTGTGTATGATGCATCGATATCATTTAAACACCTGCGCAACAAAGCGCCACAACCCCCCCCCCCCCCATCACGCTTCTGCATCTGAAACAGCCAACGCGCTGTATTGGTCTCTCTGTCTGCAGTAGTCAAGTTACCTACAATGCAGCAAGTGTGGCTTCATGCAAAAGTACACGACACTGCTCCGATGTCCAAGCTATACACGTGGGTAAGATAAATCGCGTGCAAAAACCTTTGCGGCCAGGCTATCCGCCAAAGTGTTTGGACGGCAAGAATTGCGACTTCTCGTGCATCCAGTTTTCGAGTATCTGCTGGAGAGCTTTGAGCTACGGCTTGTGTTCGTTTTGGACATCGGATGCACCTTCTCCGGCATGGACCGGATGGAATACGGCGTCACTACATTAAGCCCACAGTGTTGACGTGTCAGCATGTTTGCGAACAGAACCGAAAAAAGGAGACTACCATGTGAACGAACGCACTTGTAAGCACCGAAATGCTCACGGATGAACTATCTTCAGCTTTTGCGCATAGACTTGCTTCTTGCATAGCAGGCGAGCAGTGCAGACTGACTATCTCCACTTGTCGAAGCCAATCAGTTTGATGGTTGCCTAGTCTCAACAAAACGGATAAGCTACGATGTTAGTAAGTATTCAACCGTGCAATCCTGGCAACCAAATGAAAACTGAGTCTACTGCAAAGTGATCAAACATGTACGATGTATCTACCCAACAGGATAACAAGCGTGCAACGCGTGGTCTTCTCATCGCTCGCTCACTGTCTGGCCGTTTATCAAAAGGGAGACAATACTCAGCCATCCACGTCGTAGAGAAATGCAGCTCCTCAACACGGATCGCGAGCCACTCGACAGTGTGCGACGACTGATGTACTCACAGCCTCTCACTCGACAACGATACTTTTCCTCAAGACTTGTCAGGCCTGTTCAATCTTCCTCGCTCCCGAAAACCGGTCCAAAAGCTGCTTAATCCACGAGGACTGTACTCATCTCGCCATGTGCCTAAGGACCTGCGATACACAATCACCTCCATTTATTCTTGTACGAAGCGATCCAAACGAGAGGCTACTGCCCTTGTTCAGATCGCCGCAGAGCCGCCAAGCGGACCTTCTCGCGTCGGTCAGCCAGGGCCGACGACTCTGTCGATGACGATGTGTCCTTGGCACCACCTACACTTTTGCCAGACCCTGTTTTTACGTGGCATCATTACTTGCGAGTCCAAGCAAAAGAAGAAGAAGCAAGAACGCACCGGCAAATGGAGTGTAAACACGCTGCGGGGTTCCATTTGTGATGCGCGAGGACGTGCTCGCGTCGTCGCCCACTGGTGCTCGAGCGGTCATGCCCACCGGGATGAGGCAGCTGAGGAACGATCCTAAGTAGGCCATGCGATTCACGTAGGCAGGAATAGGTTTTCCTAGTAGCAGTTGACATGCTGCGTCTGCGTACGTGTTGCAGTTTCTACACAATCGACCACCAAGTGTCAGTCAAGTCAGCCGCCCCCCTCACTCTTTTTCCCCAGCACACGTTTACACCGGACTATACCTATTCAATAGATTGTAGACGTCTCCCGTATAATCAGAGCTCAACGAATAGGCCAGTCGATGGGCCTCCTGGAAGCTTCCATCGAAGAACCCCATGTCAATGGACTCTCGAAACTTGGCACCTACGTACCAGAAGGTGGAAACGTGAGCCCACACCTTCATAATCCAACAACATTAATCGCCAGAAGCAATTCAAAGTCACGCACCAGGCGCTTGTTTAGAACTCGAAGAGAAGACGCCAGTACCGCTCGCGTACGAAAATTCCTTCCCAGCGATCTCGACGCCGCTGTGGAAAATGCCGAGACCGAGCGCTATAGAGCCGTTCACGCAGCAACAAATTAACAAGAGGACAGAGATACACGTGCAGTGAGAATCACGTACGTGCCATGTACTCGTTGGCTTCCACGAGGTCGTAGACGTTGAGCGTGACGGCGGTGCGGACGGGCATCGCGAGCGTCGAGCACGAGCGAAAAATAACGAGAGTATCGCAAATATCACAATAGAAACCGCTCGCACACGCGATCGTCCCGTCTCTCGTCCCGTCTCTCGTCCCGTTTCTCGCCCCGTCTCTCGTCACAATCAGGAGATGTCGAGCGTTTCAAGTGTAGCCATGTCAGCTGTAGCCACTTGAACCCATCCGACAACCTAACAGCATCATGCCCCAAGACGACTCGTGGAGCGAGGAAGCTTTGCGGCGTCTACGTCGCCACTTCGCCAGCGATCGCTCCGTCGCTGTGTACGAGGCAATAACCGCTCATGCCCTGGACGCAGCCACAGGTGGATCGCTGTTCTTCTGCGGCGTCTCGGCAGCTCAAGTGGCTCAGAAGCTTCTGCGCATCGGCTCAGCCTCGAGGTTCTTGCTGCCTCAGGCAATCGGCGCTGCTGCCGTCGCGTCGTCTTCTGTCCTTTCGATGCACTTTGCTTCTATACCGAGGGATATCTACCAGGAAGTGGCAGCACAGAGCCGTCAAGCCAAGGAGCACCGGGGCTGGAGCTGGCTCGTGCTTGGCGCCAAGAACATGCAGCCGCCGACGGCGTGGAGACTGGCCCGAAGCAAGTTCATGGAGCGCTGGAAGGATTTGGACCAAGCACCATACCCGGTGTACATGGTCATGGGACTTCTGTGCTTCAAGCTCTTGGGAGGCCGCACGAGTGCCTTGGCGCCTTCGCCCTTTGCCGATCTTGGGGCTTTCCACCTGAAGAAAGCGTCGCTCCCGGCGACGGCTGACTATGCTACTACTGTAGAAAGAGGCATTATCCAGGAGTTTGGAAGGCTCTATGGATGCCACACGTGCGGAGTCAAGCGTGGTGTACGTTATCATGCAGACCACATGCCACCCAAACTGTAGGCAGCATTGAGATCGTGGTGTGAAAGTGTTGATTGGATCCCAACGTCCTATGCTGGTTGTTGCCTTGATGAGGTGTAGGGTGGCCAAGCGAGCTGATGCGACGTTAGTCCGGAGGATACTGGGCTGGAAGACGACCTTTCGTTTTTACCCACAGTGCGAGCAATGCTCGAACCAGCAGAGCAGCGTCGTGAAGCAGTGGAAATCGACACTCAAGGCGCACTTGCGGTCGTTCCGAGCGTACCATTTTACAGGTCTGTGGCTTGTACTGCTGTGCACTGGTGGTCTCTATGTTGGTGGCTCAAACTTCCACGAAACATCTGAGGTGTCAGCTTCAACGAATCGTGCTGACGAACATTCCGGCTCACTCACGTCGTCAGATTTTAACTTGCTCGTGTTGCTACGCGAGCGAGAGCGTAAATTGCGTCGAGAACGAGAAAGACAGAGAGATTTGAAGCAGATTGCTGCAACTGATAACGAGCTGGAAGCAGTAGCGAGGTGCAAGAAGGCCGTGAAAGCCGACATTAGACGGCACGAGGTCAACCAGTGGGCGCGCTGAACTATTTGCGGGTGGAGACTGAGGACTGTCGATCTATCTCCATTACGGTGCGCCACATGACAAGGCAGAGTCACGGTCTCGTTTCTCTTGTTCCCAAGACCATTTTGGTAACAAAGCAGAGTCGATATGATGATGACTTGAGGCTGCCCGAGAAATCACGTTGCACGTACATCATTGTTTGTGATGTCATCACCGCCCCTCCTTGCGTGCTTGAGATGAAAACGGACTTGACAAAAGCACGGCTGAAACGACTACTTTCGCGTACTTGCCCCGAAGCCCGACCATGCAGCCGTTGTTTGGAAGTAAAGTACTGTGCCGGTACCGTTTGCAAGTGAAATTAAGAATCAGTACGTTGAGGCTTGTCGTATGGCGTGGACACCAGACCAATCAAAGTCAGCGGAAAGCTAGCGTGCGTGACTAGACCGCCAAAGTTTTCTACGGTGAGCTGCCTCGACATCTTTTTTACAAAGTCAGTGAGTGAAATGAAGACACGGATGCACGTGCATTACTTGTAAATAAGTGCAAGGGCATACACAACTGCAGCCGCGGGACGAGAGAACCAAGAAACGCTTTACACAAGGTCCAGTTCCAAGATCAGGCGCTGCGCTCGAAGCGGTTAGTGACAGCTACATCACAATGCTACCAGATTTCAAACAGCGTGAACCAACTGCCACACGGAATCTCTAGGAACAGCGATCTGTGGCAGCAGGCCTTGCCCAATGAAGCAGTGTATAGCTTGAACTCGAGAGATGAGGCGAGGGTGCAAACGAAGTGCTACACGAGATCTACTGTACGCTTGTGTTCCTGTCCCCTGAAGCTCCGTGAGGTGTTGACTGGTGCCCGTCGACTAAGGTCGAGCTGTTGGTGGATTGATGTTGAAGAAAGTTTGAGACGAAACACGAAGCCAAGCACCACGGCGAACATGTCTTAGACCACGATTACGAAGTTGACGTATCAGTTACAGCGGCTAGAAGGATGGCAGTGTACGTCGTGTCCAACGAAGTGCAGAACGACGAAAATCAGCGCCCTCATTCATTAGTGCCACGTCAATGAGGTCTACACGAACGATGAGAGCCACGATCAAAGCCTTCTCACGTCCTCGATTCCAACAGCACATTGCAGCTCACGACTGGACTCGAAACAGGCTTTAGCAAAGATCGGTTGCATGATCCACGTGAGTTAACAGTCTTGCATGGAATAGCTGTCAATGCGTGAGAAGAATGATAGCGCCTGCTGTCTGTCTGCACACGTGTACATCGAACACTTGATCCTTCTCCACAGTGAGAACGCACACCTGACCACACCAGCACAAATGTGCTGCATGACCTACTTCCGAATACCTCATGTAACTCGTACATTCCTCTTTTACTGGGCAAGTGCGTTCCGTAATGACGTCTCTACTCGGTAGTCATCGATGGGATGCTTTCATCCTGGAATCACTGGACAGGGTCACGCCATTCAGCGTCAATTCCACGCTCACCACCGACTGGTTTATTTTTTTGGCCGGTAGTAGGCAGTCAACCTGAAGCCAAAGTCGAGCATGGCACGAACGGTGTATGGCATCGGCGTGGACGTGGCGCTTATCGCGCGCTTTGAACGGAGTTACGCGCGTTTTGGGAAGCGGTTGCTCACCCGAGCGTTCCACCCGATCGAGATCAGCGAGTTTTACGCACGAGCCGGAACTGATCGTGCGACGTATTTGGCTTCTCGATGGGCCCTCAAGGAGGCGACGTTCAAGGCTTTTCAGCGCTACCGGGTGCAATTCCCTGACATCTACGCGGTCCAAAGGGGCCTCGACAGTTGTGCTGCAGTTCCCACGGCTCTACCAGTGACGGAGAAGTCCAAGGCACTGCGGATCGAGTTCGCCGGGGAGACAAAGGGACTTGCCAAGCAGCTGCGACTAGTGGTACGACTGGGACCGTGACCGATGAAGAGGGAGGTGTCAACCTGGCTCACCCATTCTGTCGTGACAGGAGCCGCTGGTGTCGATCTCACATGATGGAAACTATGCTGTAGCTTACGTGCTACTGCAGCAGGAGGTCGACGAGGTGATGGGGGAAGGACATCCACGACTGCTGGAAGATGGTGGAGCTCAGCAACCGCCTGGCACCACCTAGGAAAGCTCAAGCTGGTCACCCTTGGAGCTGTCTGGTCTACCTTCTAATCCACTCGAGCTCCGTACACTGATCAGCTTTCGCCGTTCATCTATTGAGTTTGTTTCCTCGATACATGGTCTTCTCTACAGGTTGTCAAGATGGCCTTCCGTGTCACGAGGCCCAACGTCGTTGCGTGCAGAGCCTCGTGCATAGCAGCCACCCTCTTTCTAAAAGGATTCCTTACGGACACCACGGCTGTGGTCCCCGTAGATCTCACGGATGAGGCCGATCACGCGTTCCACCGCTGGCAATGAGAATGTGGCTGCAGCTCCCGAATCCCGTCGAGCTTCCTGAAGCAACTGGTCCCATTTGTCAGCTGCTAATGCGTCGGTAACACGACGGAATGCACGTGCGTACTGCTTGCTTTCCGAATGCGGGATGCCGCGCTGAGAAAGCCAAAAGAGGAACGCGTTCGGCACTCGTTCAGTTGCGTCGCGCTGGTACCGTGCCACGTCGTGCGCGATCGAGCCTTCCCATTCCATGTACTCGCCAATGCGAGTAAGAAAGTCCAAGCGCGCAGGTGTCACCAGCTCTGACGCCAGCGCCAGCAAGTCGATCAGCAGAAGCAACGTCGCTTGCCAGCGCGTGGCTTGCACGGCTACATACTCGAGAAATTCCTCCTCAAGCGGTTGACCTGCAGCGGTCGTCGAATTGGCATTGTTGTTGGATGGCGTGACGAGCTCATAGCTCCTGACGATATTGTTCAGCAGTTCCGCCTGCTTCTTCACTAGACGGGTCCGGAGCAGCTCGTGCGGCACTTCCTGTTCGATATGGTAGTGCAGAACTTGCCATAGAGCGAGGAATAGCGGCAAGCCCGTGGAAAGTATCTCGTCGCGTGGCTCTACATTCTCCACCATCAAATCGCGAAAAGACTTGGCACCCGATTCGTGCATCTCGCCAGCATGGACGCCGCTTTTTGCAGAGCCGTTGCTCGCCTCCAGGAGCTTCCGTATAAACATACGCACCTTTTGTGGGCGCACCTCCATGAGTCGGTACGAAATGATGTTGATAAGAATGGATAGTAGTTGGAGCTTGTTCTGCAGTCCCGTGTTCGAGCGGGACACCAGCAGTCCACTATCGGTGTTGGTTGTGGGGATAACGATGGAGCGCATCGAGGCCAAAAACGTGAACATCTTTTCGAGCTGGTTGTAGCCTTTGTCGCCCAGCAACTGTCGCTGTAGCGTCGTCAGCGCCTTGTCACCCTTCTTAGCGCTGTTCGGGGCCATAATGGCAATGTACTGTGGGTGCTTGTTAATTGCCTCGAATGCAAGGTTCAAGCTGACCGTGCTCTCCAGCTCCGGGACAGGGATTTCCACGTAAAACATGGACGGCAGCGTCACTGAAACAGGAGATGATGGCGGCGAGTTGCTCTGAATCTCAGAATACACCGCATGAGCGTGCAAGTACTCTTTCGCCGTCTCCACATTTATCGACTTTCGCCGCAACATGTAGTTGCACACTTCCGACACGAGCTCGCTAGGCGCGCCAGCAGCGACGGCGATGTTTCGTGCATGGAGAGCCATGTGACCCTTCTGTATGCCTGTGACCGCGACAGCGCGAATTGCCGCAAAGTTTTGCGCTAGCCCGACACTCATGATGATGCCGCTCAGGTTGCGTGCCGTCGGCTGCTGCAGAATCGCGTGAGTCGCAATGTAACCAGGGTGAGTCATCAACGCACCGCCTTTTGAGCCCACTGCGATGGGCATTTCTAAGCTGCCTCGAAGGACGCGCTCCCCGGTGCCGTCGCGAGCCATGTCGATTTCATAATGTGACAACGACGCGTATTGCCCCGAGCGACTAGCGTAGCAATGTGCAGCTGACTCGATCGCACGCCAATCCTGGCCGGTAGCCACAGCCACAGCATCGACGCCATTCATGATTCCCTTGTTGTTCGTTACTGCACGGTACGGGTCGATTGCAGCAAAATTGTAAGCTTCAATGATGCGATTTGCCACATCACTGCCGTCAACTCCTTTCCAGCCCAGCTTTTGCAAAGGAATCTCAAACTCAGCTCGCGCACGGCGTTGCATGCATAGGTTAGTGAGAATTCGTAAGCCAGCACGACTTTGCGTAATCTCCGAGACTTCTTCCGACAACCCCTCCGCGACTGTGTTGACAACATTGGCACCCATAGCTTCACACACGTCCACATCTACATGCACGACCAGAAACTGCGTCTGCGGCTCAGAAGCGTTCACCACAAGCTCATCATCACACGGAGTGTACCACGTGCTGCCAGCAGCGGCAGTCGCAGCACTGCGCGCAGCCTGACTAACTACACGGCAGTAAATGTCCACAGCACCACCACCACGTTTCTTCATGTTGGGACAAAGGGTGCGGTTAGCAATCGACAGCAGTCGCTCCCGATTGCATTTGATAGCGTCAATAGCAGCTGGAATGTCCTTTGTATCCACGAGCTGGATCTGAGACGTCATGACATTTCCCGATGTCGACGTGTGGAAGCCGCCACCAGCATTGGCCACGAGCTTTGCGGCACTTGAGGCTGCGGCCACAACCGACGGCTCTTCAACAGCCATAGGGATCGACAAACTCTTGCCGTCAATGACAAAATTAAGCCCAAGCCTGTCAGCAAGCAGACAAGAAACACGCTACCCATCAGTACCAACAACCAACGACCGACAACAAGGACCTTTGCCCATCTCCTCACCCAAGAGGAACACCCAGCACGCCAATACAGTTCTCAATCATGAGATTCGCCGTACGCAGCGGCAGTTCACCGAGTTTGGCTGCTGGTTCCGATAGCAGCAGCATGTCCACACCAGTCTCCGTGCCATTTGCTTGCTGTAACTTAAGACTCTTCAGCCGCGGGTACATGAGCGCCAACACGTCCAGACGCTCCCGCAACGTCTTGTTGTAGAACCCGGACCAGACCGAAGGCTGCGACGTCGCGTCTGCTTGCTGCTTGGTAGTAGTGACCCAATCTTCCGCAGCGTCGTGGCTAGGCTGCAGCAAGTCAAAGGGCCTGCAAGTCCTGGACGCCGAGCAGCGCTTTTGTACCTGAATAGCCAGTGTAGCCACTTGCGCTGCTTTGATCTGGAGAGCCTCGTCTAGCGCTCCACTGCTCGCCATCTTGAGCGCTCGCTGCAGCATCACGAGCGTCTGGTCCAGAGTCACGTCCAGCTCCGTCCTGCCGGTCGGTAACGACACGAGGGCGTCACAATCCGGCGGCTGGTTCGTCATCTCCCTCGTGCTCGGCAGCAAACGCAAGTGCTCAGGGGCTCGACAGCAGCAACATCAAGTGGAGCAACATTAGCGCAACATTAGCACCACCAACCATCCCATCATCGGTCGAAACGCAATGTCCGTTGCAACAGATGGTGGTCACTGCGTTTTGTGTTTTTTTCTATCGCAAAAGCGAGGTGGATCGATTTAGAAACGCACGAGGCGGATCGATTTAGAAACGTTGACGTCTCCTTCGCAGTATGGACCGCATCGACCGCATCCGCTCGCACGTGAGTCAGCCGCCTCTCCCCTCGGCTGCCTCACGTCCGAATTCAGACGAGAACAAGGACGAGGACGTCGTCATCGTGTCGGCCTTGCGCACGCCCATCACCAAAGCGCGTCGAGGGGCGTTCAAAGACACGACGCCCGATGTCTTGCTCAGTCACGTCTTCCAGGCGGTTCTGAACCAGGCAAACGTCTCTCCGCATCTCGTAGGAGACGTCGTCGTAGGGAACGTTTTGCAGCCAGGAGCAGGTGCAGCGATGGCTCGGATGGCCCAATTAGCGGCCGGGATGCCGTACACTGTACCACTCCATGTCCTGAATCGCCAGTGCAGTTCAGGGCTCCAAGCGGTGGCTACAGTCGTCGCTGCTATTAAAGCCAATTACTATGACATTGGCATTGCTGCAGGGGTCGAGTGCATGTCACTAGCTGGCAAGAGTGACGCCAAAGACGTCTTTGCAGCAAGCATCAATTGGACCCATGTTGGGGCTGTACAGGATGCGATGGACTGCACGGTGCCCATGGGCATGACGAGCGAGAACGTGGCCGAAACGTACGGTATCACGCGCGCTCAACAGGACGAGCTTGCTGCTCTGTCGCACGCTAAAGCAGCATTGGCGCAGGCTAATGGCTGGTTTGACAATGAGATCACGTCCGTGACGACGAGTGTCAAGGACAAGGACGGCCAGGACCAGCCGATTGTTGTGTCGCAGGACGATGGCGTTCGTGCCGATACGACGAGAGAAAATCTGGCGAAGCTCCGTCCAGTGTTCAAGGAAGGAGGGTCCACGACCGCCGGCAATTCGAGCCAAGTGAGCGACGGTGCTGCTGCCGTGCTTCTTGTACGTCGCTCGGTGGCCAAGAAAATGGGGCTGCCGATCCTTGGTCGCTTTGTCTCGTACGCTGTGGCAGGTGTGCCGCCTGCTTTAATGGGCATTGGACCGGCTGTTGCTATTCCAGAAGCTCTGCAGAAGGCGGGCTTGACGCAAGACGAGATCGATGTCTTTGAGATCAATGAAGCGTTTGCGAGCCAGACGGCCTACTGCATTGAGAAACTTGGCATTCCGATCGACAAAGTGAATCCCAAGGGGGGCGCGATTGCGCTTGGTCACCCTCTGGGCTGCACTGGCGCCCGCCAGGTCTCGACGCTACTGTATGAGCTCAAGCGGAAGAATCAGCGCTACGGAGTCATCTCCATGTGTATCGGCACGGGTATGGGTGCTGCTGCGGTCTTTGAGCGCGAGGTGTAGACTGATGATCATCTGGGACGAAAGTGAAGACGGAATAGTGATTTCAGCAGAATGTGGGGTCAACGTTTCGTGGCTTCAGATGCAAGGAGTGAGTTACCTGAGGACATGAAAGTTTGGCAGTGTTTACGATCGAAATGTCACGTGTTCGAGTTTATGGGCGCTGGAGACGTTATGGAAGTGTCTTTGTCTCCTATTCAGCTGCGAGTTTGCAGTCTGCCGACTGAAACTGAGCAAAGTAGAGGAGGGTGGATGCTAAACCTTGCATTGGGGAACTTACTGCATGCAGAACTTGTAGAGCACAGCATGGGTAAGGCAAGCCGCAACTGTAGAAGACAGCGGCTCGGTACAAATTTTGGACTCGCGCTTGGCCGCTAGGTGCTTTGTCTTACTTTTGTTCAGCACTTGACGTGCAGTTCAGTAGATTGTCACCCTTGACAAGCGTGTTACGGAGCAACTGTAGCGGCTTCATCGTTCTGATCCTGACGTGTACTTCACGGTGGCATGTTGCAGGTGAAAGACCAGCACGTAGTGTCATGAAACATTTGGATCCGCTGAGACGTCAGGATTCTTCCTTGCAGTGAAGAAGGAGCGATGGATAGCGGCTGACATGTAAGCAAAGTGCGGATACCTGCTGTGGCCGTGGATTATTCGCAAGTCTTCGGTGATGATCGTCCTTGTAGTCTCGCTATTCCACCAACGCCTCGAACTGCATCACGTTGGACACAACGTGCACAATTCGGGGACATGGTCCTCTCTGGAGTCTTCGCACACTCTTTAGTCGGTTCAGCATGGACCACGTTGTTAGTCAAATCCTGCGGAACAGAGAAGCGAAACTACATCCATTCGTGCCAACATCCACTGGCTACGATAGCTCCAAGAAACTATCGCGACGCACGATGTCGTTCTTCTCTGTTGCTACGGATATACCCTTCTTCGGTACACCGCTTGATCATGAGCTCGTGCGCTTTTTTGCCCACCACTCAGTCATGAAGAGATCGTGGATTTCCTCGTCAGTGTAACTCATTGTAGTCTGCCAACGAAGATTGATGCGTGTGCTACGTCTTGAAACGCAATTACTATCGTAAACACTGCGCATCGCAGTCATTTTCAAATCATTCACGCGTAACAGTCTTCGCTGGCGGACCCAATGCCTCGTTCCCCAACAAAAAGACGTGTGTACTGCCGGCTTGATCATCCAGATAGTGCAGAAGCAATGACGTGGCAAATACTTTGCAGGTGTGACTAAAACGTTGACAGGAAATATTGACTATACGTCCACAGATCCGCAGATCTGCATGCAGACGTGAGAGTGTAGTCAAACCGGCAAAGGCCACGAAATAGTCGGTCCGTTCGTGACGATGTTCTTCTACTTTCCAGCAACTAGTCTGCATCACCACATCATATCTGATTACAAACGTGAATGGTAGCTACGTTGCTCTGCACTTACGTCGAGGTCTTCAGGCGGCCCGGTGCAATGGATGGAAGAGTTGTCAACGTGATGATATGATGCAACGTCCGTGGTAGCGAGGACCAGGTCCGTCGCGCCACATATTGAAGAGCGACAAAGACGTAATGGGGAATTGCACTAGAACGAGTGTTACAATGATGTAGGATATCAACACTGGTGCTGGCAAGCAGCACAACACAGCTAGAATAAGGATAAGGACGACGACTTCTCATGCTGTCGCCATTCGCAGCAACCACCGTCACTTAAATGACCGAGCACCAGCACTCGGTCGATGACGTACAGCACGTACTGCTCACGTCGGACCTTGTCCCTGGTCCATGTTCAAGTACCTGCTCATGACTGCGCTTACACATTGATCCACAAGGACATTGACCCCAACTACGAAAGCATAATGTAGACAACCATTGCCGCATGAACTCAGTTTTGCGTCCATGAACCAGTGCACGCCCTAGCTGAGCTGCTCGTCAAGTCGTGCTCAAGAGGTCCGTAGCTTTACAAGACCAATTGTGTGTCGTATCTTCGACTTGTCACACGCAACTCAAAAGCCTCTTCTTTTGCCCGAGATTATTGGTTCGTGCTCGATCCGGTACGTAGTACCATCGACAGCGGTATCTTGTTCCCTCTCGAATCGAATACATCCAACGCCCCACTGGATATCGACGCGAGCACGAACCCGTGGGTTCAAACGGAGCGCCTGATTTCTCATCGAAAGACTCAGTCAGTCAGTCAGTCACTATCAGAATAGGTGGCTCCTGACCACATCATGGTGTTGTCTGTTCAGCGCATGTTGGCCCTGACGCTGTGCGTGTCAACACTCACCGCCTCGGAAGTCGCACCGACCTCCGCGCTGCGCACGCACCCGCGTCGTAACCTCGTGGGGATTCACCACACGACAAAGTACGCTCCTCAGGTAGTGAAGCAGACGGAAGGACAGGAGGAAGAGGAGACGGAAGCGGAGGTCAAGGCAAAGGAGAAGGAAGAGGAGGAGAAGGTCAAGGCCACGGAGAAGGAGCAGGAGGGCAAGGAGAAGGAAAAGGAGCAGGAGCAGGAAGAGAAGGAGAAACAAAAGGAAGAAGAAGAGGAGGAGAAGGGGTCCCATGATTCGTATGACTCTATTGAGTCGGGCTCTAAGGAACTGGAGCTGAAGGAGAACGAGGAGCTCGAGCTTCATAGCTCCAAAGACATTGATGTAGAGCTTGGGGACGGACCTGTCGACGTGGACGTGGATCTCCAGGCCAATGAGGTGCTGGACTTCGACGGAGATGGCGACCAGGACATTGACCTCAAGGCGTCTGATGATCTGGACGTTTCGGCCGATGTGAAGCTGGAAGGCGACGAGCAAATGGAAACGGAGCTGGAGTTGCGAGACGGCACGGTGGACTTGAAGCTAGCCGACGACGAGGACTATACTCAGGATCTCGAGATTCAAGACGACGAGGAACTGGACCAGACCTTTGACGTGCCGGAAGGAGCCAGGTCCATTCGGCTTCGAGTGCGCAAGGGCCACGTGGATCTGGACGTTCTCAAGGCTGCCCCGACACACGTCAAGGAGCCGGAGGTGGAGACGAAGAAGGAGCAGGTGTCGCAGGTGAAAGAACCAGAGCCAGAGAAAGAGCAGGAGCAGGAGAAGACAGAGGTTGTTGCCATGGCTACTACCGAGAAGGCTGTTTCGTACGCTGCTGAAGCCAAGGACTGGTTCAAGGAAAACGGCAGTAAGCCTATCTTCCTCGGCGGTGTGATTGGCGCTGCGGTGGGCTTGGTCGGTGTCGCTGGAGTGGCCGTCGCCAAGGGCCGGAAGCGCACCCCGGAGAAGTCGGTCTTGGCAGAGGACGTTATCGCTGATGCTGATGCCGAAGCGAAGGCCGAGGCGGACGATGATGCCGAAGCCGAGTCGGACAGTGACGAGGACAGCGACGAGGACGTCGAGGCTGGCGTTACAGCACTTACGGAGGAGGAGGACGCTGTTGCAGAGGAGAAGGAGACGAGCGTCGTGGAGGAGAAGAAGACGAGCGTCGTGGAAGGGTCGGTGTAAGCGGATGTTACGCTTTGTGAGCCGCAGCAGACAGGATGTCATGCCAAGCGAGTAGTATATTCTATAAGCAGCGTCGTCGCCTTCGAGCGCGCCGTCGAGGATCGTGATTGCGGCCTTTTATAGCTTTATTTTACAAAAAGATGACCTCGGAATTGCTCTTGCCGTCCATTTGCCGACCTTTTTCAACCGTGACAGGCTCCGCGACGAAGTGTCTACTTCCTTAAATGCTACCAGGTTTTGTCACAGACCTGTACGCGAGGGGGTCCACAATGCAATTACGCAGATGAGGGGTACACACAAATAGGTGGAGAGATCCATCCTTGTCATTGTCGATGTTCCTGTCGTCACTCTTGCATGCTTTTAAAAGACCTCCAACTTGTTGACAAGTACAGAAGTGCCACCGAAAAGAGTCCAGGCGTCCGATCCAGTTTCATCACGTGCACGTGCTTCTGACGCAGCAACGTTGGCACCGTTAAACGAGTTTGTCGACGCATATCCGTCAGCGACGCTTCTTTCTATCCATTGAGATCACGCTCGCAACGTACCAAAGGCTACTGTCGGAATGATAAATCGGACGTTGGCTTTGTCCTCGCTGTTCCCGTGTAATGATCCGCTTTGTCGCTTGGAGTGAGGTACAAGCTGACAATGGAGATCCTATTGTCAACTCATAGACAGACGCCATGAACGACTTCGATCGTCATGGAGAGTACAGGCATTGCCTCAACAGCTCTGCGGCCAGCACGTCCTGGAGATCGTCCGATCGAGCCTTGACGATCATGTAGCTACATGTTCACTGTTTGCAGCAATTGATCTCTTCACTCGAACGACAAGGCTCCTCCCTCTTCTTCATCAACCACCGACTCGCTTGACTTCAGAGGATCATGTTTCTTGCGTTTCTCGCGCTTCCGGCGCTTGCGGTTCTGCTTTTGAGCTGCTGACAGCATCTTCCGCTTCTTACAACTAATTGAAGCTTCAGCTTGTGTACATACAGAAGTCAATGCAACTTCAGTACTTGCGTCGGTCAATGTGGTCGTTGTTTCCCTGTTCTCCTGATCCACTGCGCCCTCGGCAGTGTCGATACGTTCAAAATACGCTACAAAGAATCCATTGGTCGAGTCTTTGAGACCGTCTGCACGCACAAGTGCTGCGGCCTGCTCAGCTGACAGACCCGCGACCTCGAGACCTCGACGTGGCCATGGTGTTAAGGCTGGTCTCAGCACAAAAGGACGAGCAGCACAAACGTTTTCGTCAGATTTCAATGCAGCCGCCACTACTTCCTCGTCCTCCTTCTCGAATATCGAGCACGTGGAATACACCACACGCTCCACCTGCGGAAACGAAAACGCCTTTCGTAGCGCTTCAAGCTGAAAGTCAGCGAGTGACTGGAGACGCTTCGTGGTCTTTTCATCTTCATCCTCTGCGTTATCACCCGACTCCAGAGTCGAATCACGGGCACCTGCAATATCCAGCAAATGATCTAGACGGTTTGTCATCCCCGAACCAGAGCAAGAAGGGTCCAGGAGAATACTGCGCACGTTACGATACATTTCATCGTCCACAGAGACATCCAAAAAGCTCTGCAGCTCAGTCTGCACTCGATCAGCAGCTCCTGCAAGCTGCATGCGTCGCTTCAGTAGCTCAAGTCGATTAGGCGACCGATCGAAAGCAAACACTCGCCGTTGTGCACGACTACTACCTTCTCCTTCCTTGCCTTCTTCTTGCTGCTGCAACAGCATTGCTACATGACTCGTCTTGTTACCCGGCGCAGCGCACGCATCGATCACGTCGCCCTGCATATCCTTTGCATCACTGTGCTCTCCATGTAAAACAAAGGCCGGGAAACAACTGGCTTTATCCTGCAGCACCAGCTTTCCACTCCTGACCATCTCATGCTCGTGCAGCTCTGTGCCGGAGGGCAGCACAAGCACATCCCGCACATGTCCGTCTTGTTTCGCGTCATACTCGCGCGTAAATGCCTCTATCTCCTCACGAGAAGCCAGTAGTGTATTCACACGCACATACCGAGGCAGTGCAAGGTGTTGCTGGCGGTTCTCAGGCGGCAAAAGCGCCTCGTTGGTTGCTACTTTGTGTCGGATCTTGAGTCTCGCGAGAACCGCCCGGAACGCCGTTTGGTGCTGCACGAGCGCTTTCTTCACGTACCCTCCACCCTGGACCTTCTGACGACCAAATAGGAGGTCATAGAGCGCCACCAGCACGAGTGCAGGCGGGTCTTTGGCGTCTTTGCGCATCTTAAGTGCCTTATGACACGCAGGTACAGCGGCCAGCAGCTCCCGTATTAATGGCGTGTAGCGCAGCGTCTCGCACACGAGTGCAAAGGAGCTTCGCTTGTGCATAGTGGACTCTGCGTACGCCAAGCTCTTGAGTCCCCCTTGCCGCTGCTGTAGCTTGTGTAGCAGCAAAGCCGCTTCCTTGTAGAGCTCACTCATGGATGACTGGTCCACCGGCTACGGCGATGACGTTATGGCTACAGTTTTGACAGATGGCTACAATTACACTTAGCCGACCCGATCAAGTGTACAGCGCTACTTAATCAAGGAAGTGCAAGCGCGCATTCCGGCCGACACGACATGTTGCTGGAAAAACCCGACGACGTCAAGCACGAGAACGCGTCCGGCACTGGTACGTGGAGATCCGCGTCTGATCGAGTGTCTTCCTTTGTCTTTTATCTATTGCTACTGACGTTTTGGCTGCCTGTTTTACAGTGTGTGCGATCTACAGCGTCGACGCGCACCCCACGCTGGAGCTGTTCGCTACAGCCGGAGGAGACAATAGCGTCAAGATCTGGTCGCTAGAGCCACTGGATGAAGGATGCATCGCCTCATTTAAGCTCCTGGCTACATTAGTGAACCACCAACAGGCGGTCAATTGCGTGCGGTGGGCGGGTCATGGTCGATACTTGGCCTCGGGTGCAGACGATCAGCTGGTACTGCTCTATGAACTACAGCAAGGCGCTCCATCTCCGGTGCCTTTTGGCTCGAACGCGAGGCTCAATGAGCAGAATTGGACGCGGTGTGCCACGCTCGAGAGACATACTATGGGTAGGTCTTGGCTATTGTCATTTCCTGAATCTACTTTGCTGTATTTGTGCGTCTGTGATGGCTGTAAAAGCTAAAAAGAGATCGAATGAAGCTGATCTAGTGTCTTTGTTCTTGATGCGTTGATGTGTTTATACTGCAGACGTGGCAGACGTGGCGTGGTCGCCGGACGACCGGATGTTGGCGACCTGCAGCATTGATAATACCATTTTGATCTGGGATGTGGGTGTTGTTGGGGGACTCAGCGATATCACGATACAGCCGATTCAGACGCTTACGGGGCACAATGGATGGGTCAAGGGCGTCGCGTGGGATCCTGTCGGTAAAGTACGTGTACTTGCTCGTAATTTTTACCAATAAACAAGAATGACGTGACGATGTTGACAGACGCTTGGTGCTTTGTAATCTAGTACCTGTCGAGTGCTGGAGAAGACAAGACAGTCCGAATGTGGAATGTGGCCGATTGGCAAGAGTCCGACGTTGTCACAGAGCCGTTTGAGGGATGCGCTTCCACGTCGCACTTTCGTCGCCTGTCCTGGTCGCCTGACGGCTCAGTCTTGTGTGCAACCCACGCTTTTAGTTCCAAGAAAAACATTGCTGCTCTCCTCAATCGCGGATCCTGGACGAATGAATTGAAATTTGTCGGCCACCAGGGTGTCGTGACCAGTGCACGGTTCAACCCCAAACTACTTGGTACGTACACGAGGCGGTGTGGCGATTTACGCTGACAGTATGTGTTTTGTATCTACTTGGTCTGCAGTGACAGCATCAGATCCTGATAAGGAGTTTGCCTGCTGTGCTGTGGGTGGTGAGGACGCGACTGTTAGTATCTGGCTAGCACATCTAGCACGTCCGCTGGCCGTCATCAAGGATTGTTTCGATTCGTCCGTGACAGACCTGACATGGTCAAGCTCGAAGTCGCTCCTCCTTGCCTGCTCGCTGGATGGCTCCGTGTGCTGTTTTCAGTTCGGGAGAGACGAGATTGGCACTCCCATTTCCGATGCTCAGCAGAGTAAGCTTCTTCAGGCAAAGGTCAGTGATTGATATCTACTTCTGGAGGCGGCTTGGTCAGTGAGTGCTGATGTTTGACACGTTTTGTGTGCGTGTGAAAAGTATGGAAATCGAGCTGGTATTACACTTGCATCGACACTGGCGGAAAATCCACTCCAGTTACAGGTACCTGCTCGTTGACCAGTTGGTAGTGGGGGTTCGACTACTTACTACTGAAAATACTCGATGGAAGTTTAGCTTGAAGAGAAGTCGGTGACTTTATCACGAGCGACCCACACAACGACTACATTGGTTCCTAAGAAGAGGGAGAAGATTGGCGGGGTTCAGGTACCCAGCATACCACAAAGCAGGTCACTGGGTGGAGCATGCAAAACCAAAAAAAAGCGGATCACTCCCGTACTGCTTCAAGCAGATGGTCAGCTCTCAGTGAACAATCCAGCCTCGTCACAGAACAACATCCGCAACATCTTAGGTCCGACAATTATATCACCGAAGGCGTCGAACGAGGTCCGCGTTGTTCCTGAGACCAATGGTGCTGCTAGTGCGAGCGAGTTGGAGTCTACACCAGACCAGGGCGAGAAGACTGCGCCTATTTCTCAGGAGACACTTTCAGCAGCGACGACAAGTGGCGCATCGTCCAAATTACTAAAGACCGAGAAGAAACAAGTGAGCGATGAAACGTTGGCAAAGAGGAAACGAGAAAGTGAACGGTCTTCTACTCAAGCTGCCACTGTGGTAGCGAAGTCGAGAGAAGTCACTTCACGAGCACCGAAAATACTGATTCAGAGGTTTGTTCGCCATACTCGCATCACACACGGTATAACGTTTGCTGACTGGCGTGGGTTGTCTGTGGCATTCACAGCCCCAATGCTGGTCCACCTAGCAGGGAACGCTTACTGCCTGAATTTCCAGTGCGGCTACTGTTTTCCGTACAAATAGACAAGAAGACACAGTACGGCAGTTTGGGCTTGCGGTTGGACAGCGCGTTAGACGGCAACACGGGAAGCAGACCTGTGTCGTCTAAATTGGTGATAGAAGTGACCGTTCACAACGTGAAGAAATCCCATTCAGAAGAGATCATAGGTTTGTCGGGACGCAGTTGGCTTGTTCACCTGATGTGATTGATTACTGACACTTTTGCGCAATGGATGCTATAGAGTCAGGCCCAGTGTTTTCGACGATCGTATGTTCCGAGGAAAGCCAGACAAAGTGGATCGATCGTGTTCCTGGTCGTGTCGTTTGCGTCGTGGGGAATGAAAGCTACTGCGCTGTTGGTGTACACAACGGTGACCTGCTGATTCTTAGTGGCAATGGTCGTCGCTTGTTTCCATGCCTTGGTATGTATTGGAGCCTGCCCCGATTTAGTTGAACTTGGATTGACGTTTGCTTTATTGTGTTTGGTAGCCTTGGGTAGTCCGATTTCGGTGATGGAGTGCAGTGTGTGCGATTCACCCTATTTGTTGGTGATACTGACTACCGGCGAATTGAAAGTGTGGAATCTGGCTGAACGTCAGCTCGTTCTCTTGAGCTCGATCGAGGCAATAGCGAATGTAAGTTCCAAAATTGCGTGCTTTCACCGGTGGCGCTGTTTATCGTAGGTCTTCTCATGCTGCACAGGTTACTCCTGAAGAAGACCGAAAGCTGACTTTTCTTCGATGCCAAGTCACAACAAAGGGAATGCCGCTAATCACTTTTGCCGAGTCAACGTCCACAACGAAAGGCAACTCCAAGCTGCTGTCATATGCGTTCGATTCAGCAATGTCATCGTGGTATGTTTCCGTCAACAAATGTGAAGGTGCGAGTGCGAGGTACTTATCTCATTGGTGTGACATTCATCTTCGTAAAGGATGCGCGTGGCGGACGACAGCTTTGTGTACTCGGACTTTGCATCCGCACTCCCGACAGATGCAGTGGCAGTCAAAAGCATTCCTGTAATGCATTTCTATGCGGTTTATCGTTGGGGGCCAGATACTGAATACTGTGCGATTGCATTGTGATCGATAGATTGGTCCACTGCGGCGGCTACAAAATGCATCTGGGTACGGTCGGGCTCAGAAAGGAATTGCTTCAGCCATGCTCTTTGGAATGTCCGACGTGTTAGTGCAGCGCAATGTGACGCGCTCGCACCTCGAGCACCAGGCTGCTGCGGCGATGGTACTGAAGAGCCCGACCGAATATCGCTATTGGTACGTTTCGATTACCATGATCCCAGATGTGCGCTGCCACGATTTACGGTTCCATGTTACTATGATCAACAGGATTGAAGCATACGTGCGGTTTTTGACGGTCGACGAAGACGCAGTCCGTCTGGACGAGCTATGTGCTGAGATGATGGGTCCTTTCCATGCGTACGTTTTGTTGTAGGCTACTATGATTGACATGGGAAATCTCATGCGTGGTCTCTTGTCTCCTGCAGGCTGTCTACCGCAAGCCCAGATAACGGTATAACTCCCACACGACGTGTTAGCGAGAGTAGCAAGTGGGACCCCATGGTGTTGGTATGCAACCCTGTACATCTGCTTCATTGCAGTATCAACTCGCCACCATGGTCTTTTTTGCACTGACGTCCTGGATTTGTCACAGAATGTTGGCAAACGGAACTTGTTGAAGACATCCATTCTACCGACAATTGCGGCGAACCGCGCGCTGCAGCGCGTAGTGACGAAGTACCAGACGATGTTGAGTGACATCGAGTCCCGTGAAAAAAGCGACGAAGACGAGGACGAACAGTAGGAACTATCAAGTGATACGCACGATCTACGACAAGGCTTGTGAGACTCATCTAGGACCAGCGCATGTTCTCAACTGCATAGCGCTTTTGACTAGTAGCTTCGTGCTGCCCTGGCGACTTTTCTGTCCAGCAGTTGCTGTTCGTCTAAAAATTGCATCGAAAGGTGTTTTGAAGCAACGGCAAGCCCTAGAGCCCATGTTCGATCAGGCACGCTTGCATCTCGAGGCTATGGAACCATAAAGTTTCTTTTCCGCGCCTCAATCCGCGTGGGCTCCTACCTCATTGTCATCGTGGTGCCAAGTGGGACTGTCTTGCAATTGATTATTGCGAGCCCGAAGAGTGAAGCTATTAGTGAGTGTGTACAAGGTTGAATGCAGAGCTTTCAAAATCGTACTTGTCTGTGTGTGTCTGTGTTTGTAAATGACGCGGCTTAGGTGCAATCCCACGTCCCAAGTACGATCTGGCTTGCCCCCTCCCTCATTTAGACATATCCGAAGTCTCTCCATGGCGAGGTCAATATTGTGATCCATGCACGTGATTGGTTTATATTCGATCAACGATAAATATGATCACATGAGCAAATGCGATACACTCATAAGCAAAGGCTGATCGCGTGGCCCAAGAATACTGTAGATTATACATCCACACATTAACAGCGTCATACTCCTTCTTCAGTGACTGCTGCTGTTGCGTAGTGTTTTGTAACTTGATTCCGTTCTCCGAACTGAATCGCTTATATCAAGGGGCGACCTCCAGAGCTTGCTTCCCTATCTTTATTATAAAGGATCGAGACCAGCAAAATATCCGGTTCGCGTCGTAAAAAGATTCCGGGGTCCAAGCATTTACCAACATCCACTCTCACGCATTTGGTAGCTGGTATGGTACAGTGCATAGCACAGCGTACAGTTTTGTAAAACTTTTGAGCTGGCGCTACACCTGTGTGCGCTTTCCTACCATGGCTGGCCATCGTCGGTGATTCAGTCAATAACGTAGATGACATCGTTGCCTTTCGAGGTCGGACGATGCAGGGTCTTTACGATGATAAATCCGTTCCGTCTGACTTGTGTAGATGTTGCGTCTTTGACTTTAATGTAGCAGTGCGATACATACGTTTCAAGTGTGTTCGTACCTTGTCAACACCCGGATCAGCAAAACGTCGTTCTCCGCATGCACTCACTTAAACTTGCCCTTGCAACGCGCTACGTTTGATTAAACTTGTGAAAAAGCGTTCTTCACTGTCGCTGTGAAGCCTGAGCGTACACGCTGTTCCTTGTCCATGCTTCCATTTTGATTGCTCTACAAGCATGTTTTCTTCCTCATGAGGACCATCGCCACATTTGCCACACACGTCACGTTATTATTCAGATATGACATCGCATTCCTTTGCCTGTGGAATCAAAGTCCGCGAATGTTCGAGGTTTGCATGAATTTCATTGCAGGCGTTACGCAATCTCGAAAATGGTCATCAGCAAGCGGCAAAGGATGTTCGTCGATGTCAAAACTTCGTGTCCGGTCTACGAGCAAGAGGGCGGAGCTCTAACAGCCGACACAGCCTTGTGATGGGCCTTGAATTGTAGTCAGCCGGGTTGACAGGTTGCGGTCTCCGAAGACCACTTAGGTACTCGGAGGTGAAAGCAAAAGTAAGGATGTGCTATGTGTAGAACCCGACAGCTAGTTGCCGCAGGACGTCAAAGGAAAAAGAATGAAGGTCGACAAGTTTCCTTTGCAGTTGTTGCTGCAACATTCGCGGTCATCGGAATATGGCGGCGCTTCGATAAATGGCGGCATCACCGGATGTGTCACCATCAACCGGCAGCCAATCAGACGATACGTATTTTTGTGCCTTTCCCACTCGCTGTAATTTTCTGGGAGTGTACAGAGCTACCAATATAGAACGTATAATCCACAAATATCAACCAAGATGTCTCGTAAAAAGCAAATGAGCCATTCCGGTGGGCAGCGAAAGAACAGTACACAAGGTCAGGCTGTGTTCATCAAACGAGCCCCTGCACAAATGCTCTATCAACGCTATCTCCTTCGTGTGGCCAAACAGCAAGTCATTATCTTGGCAAGAAGCTTTGTGCTATATGTACCCATGAGGCCCTGCTGTACTTGGGCATATCGCTGAATCAAAGAGTCCAAACACTGGTTTAGAAATCACGCGCTGCTTCAAAGCGTACGTGCTTTGCATCATAAAGGTCCACCCCCACGGGATTCAGCTGCGTTACGCAAAAAGGGCAGCGGTGGTCGATGTCGACGTTAAATCACCAACATCACAAAAGAGCCAAAGCATTCCTGCTCTACGAGCTCTTGAGAGAAGCAGAGGCCTCCCACTTGCAGGTTTAAGACACTTGCACCGCGTAAATTCCAGGAGACAGCCTAGCATGACTAGCGGATGACCCCCTGTATCTGGCGGTAGCTTATGCAATCCCTAGGTTCTGCCCTCATTCTACGAAGCTGCAGTGTGCTGAGCGCTGATCTGATGATGGAATATGTTCGTGACGCCACCATCGAGACTCCAATCATTATTATTGCTTCCCCTTTCTCGACGTCCGTGAACAACAAACGCAGCCTTTTCTCTTTGCCTTGCGTTGTAGCAAACAATCGTCAGCTGTCAATTGGTAGTTGCGTAAGCACCACCTAGTCGCACGTGGCATCGACGAGTCGCCGATTGCGAGCATTATAGTACTACTGTGCTGCACACACGCTTGATCGCGGGTAATTTGCCGTAAACGGGAGGTTTGATCTGGAGCGAAGTCTGAGTTTGTGGCAAGTTCGTTCGTTGTATTGGTGTCGTTTGGAATAAATTATCGGGACATGCAAAAGGAAGCGTGCAAACAAAACGAAGCGGAGTGCGAGCTAAACATCATCTATGTGGCTGCCACTTACACGAGGCAACCGTATTCGGGCGAGATGTGGCGGAAAATGTCGTCGTCAAGACCCTCGAGTCCACGCGGAGCGATAGTTACCGTGGATGCTTTCTCCGGCATCAGCGAACCTGCACCCGCGGTCAACTGAGAACTGGCAGCTGATCTTCGCATGGCCATAGTTGGTGATGGTTGTAGCGCAAAGAAGTCGTACGAGATCGTATCGAGAGAGTAGCCGCACGAGGGATGGTCGTTCTCTCCATATGGATCCATTGTCACGCTGGTGAGGTCACAAAACGGATCGTACAACGTGTCAAAGACGAGCCCCGACTGCGTCGACAGCACCCCAGCGTTAAACTGGCTGTTGTACTGTGCACGGACATAGTGACCACTTACTGGGTTCATGGCCATGGGCTCACCAGCAAACAGATTGTCAGAAAGTGGGGCAGACGTCGACGACGGCGAGTCCGTATAGAGGTGCTTGGTCGCTTTGTTTCGACTCTGCACAAAGTGCTCGACGACTGGCTGTGGGCTTTGGGACCCGCACGAGTCCTCGTCCGAGTCGTGGTCGTCCAGGACGTTACTGCCGTCCGTGTCACCGTGGAAAAAGTGGCTCGAAAGGAGCTGTCCATGTGGATCGATGCCATAAGTCTCAGGCGACAAGAGCCGCTTGAGCTGGCTCTGGTAGCCTGCGAACTGCCGCAGCTGTTTGTCCGAGAGCGGCGGACCCGAGCCGTCCTGGGTCTGCTGCTGACACTGCTCGAGCTCCTGCAGGGAGCGCTTGAGACTGCGTACTTTGCGGTACGGCCAGTGACGGATGCCAATAGCTCGACACCGTTTCTTGAAGGCCGTGGCGCGCACGCCAAACTGCTCGGCCGCAACTTTAAGCGGCAAGTGGAAGTGGCGACTAAGCGCGACAAAATTGCACGTGGCGACCGGAAGAGACGGCGAGAGAGATCCGTCCGGAGACGTCATGGGGGAGTCGTACGCCGCGCGTTTCTTAAAATTGTGTGCGACCACTTGCATGCGCAAGGACTGTTGCGCCTTGTCTGCCGTGGGCGACTGGAAGGTCACGTGCATGTTCCGCGAGTCCGTGGGTGTAGGTGTCGCAGGCAGCTCCATTTCCATTCTGTGCGACTCGGGTTTAGCTTTTTTGGTTACGCGTGGGTGCGTAAATCTGGAAATGATCGAGTCCAGTGCCGCTGCAGTCCGGATGTACCCAAGCAAAACGGAGCTGTTCGTGTCGGAAACGGCGCGGCGTTTCTATTTCTAAACCAGGATCTTCCACGTCAGCTGCCCATCACCATGTTATGCCCTTTCAGGATCGCAATCACATTTCCGAATCTTACGACTTGCACAGGTTGAGAAGAGTCGGTGCATAAACGCTACATGTTTGCGAGATAGTTTAGGTCATTCGAAGCACCTTTGGAGACGTTGCCTCCGATCTTTTCTTCGGATAGCGCTGGATTTCTGCTTGAACTGACTCTCTCGTTTGTGGTCTACGATCACGAGCTTGACAGAGACCCGTGAACGCACGAGCGTCTATCCAGCTTCATATGGCGGATCGCACCGACTGCTTCTACAGCACCTCGCACTTCGATGATGCATCCGTGCAACTTCAACTTCATTTGGTTTACGAAGCAAGAAAAAGCGCGCGGAACAAGTACCTGCTCGACGCAAGACATCGATAGAAACGACGGGAAAAAGAGGCTGTTACGGCCATCAACTTGACGTCTGGAGGTACAATAATAGAAGGAAGAATGATTTGAAACCGATATGACAGCCGAGGCGTTACGTCTTGTCGGTCTTCCCGTCATGCCCAATCAGCAGCCGCAACGGCGAGTGCTTGCCGTTACAAAAGAACGCAATGGCGTGCGTGCTTCCGCTCACCTTCGTCTCCTTTACTTGGAACTCGGGCGAAATCACGACAGCAGGCGCGACCGACGCAGAGTCGAATGCGTGGCGAACGTCGATAGAAACGTGGAAAATTTGCTGCAGAAAAAACATGATGAAAAAATCATGCGGGACATGTCGGGACAAAATCGCAACAGTACCTGCTGTTCCATCTGCCGTTACGACTCGTGATTTATGTGAGTGGGTCGGTATGTTCATTCTATAGAGACTTTGGCTGCAAAAGCTTCGGCCAACGAGCCCCACATGATCTGGCTGTCGTTCTCTGCTGAATAGTCCAGCGCGTCGGCATTCCACATGCCCACGCCGCGCAGTCCGAGCTCGCGAGCAAGTGCGTACTTGCTTCGTAAACTGTTTGGGTTGTCAAACCAAAGCTGCAGCTGTTGTCCCGCTGACGAGTACGAGACAAAAGGGGTCTGTGTCATGGCGTCCCATTGTAGGACAAGCCCTCGGCTCTTCATCAGTCGTCGAATATCGCCGTAGTCAACTTGTCGACCAGTTGCGTCGCTGCAAGGGGCACCAAAGAAAGGCACGGGCTGGATCTGACACCTCGGGGCGTTGTCACGTGCTCCTCTCGTTCGTTCCAGGCACTGGTAGAGGTAGCCGTACCAGGGCACTCCAAGTACCAGCTTATCCGGTGCGACGTCGTTCGCGAGAAGAAACTCTTGCAGACCTTGCTTCACGAGTGCCAACGGCGCGTTGGCGCCAGCAATGCACGCATCGTACACTTGACTGCGCATATCGTACGACATAACAAACAGAAAATCAGCGGCGAGACTGAGCTCTCGCCAGGGGTAATAGCGACCGTCCACACCTCGAGGAGCCCAAGGCACGTCGAATGTAATCTATAGCCGTGCGTCAGACAACAGTCCATGAGTCCGTCACGTAGGCTTACAAGTTGGCCATGCACCAAGTGTCAGACAAACCTGTGCGTTCTTCGTGAGCGCATGCTGCTCTAGCTCGACGCGCAGCTCTTTTACAAGCGAGCCAAGACAACGTGAGATGGCCCCATGCATGGGCTTTTCCGTGTCAATGTTGACTCCGTCAGCGTAGTTGAGCACAATCTTCGAGTATGCCGCCTAGATGACCAAATGTAGTGCAAGTAACTGCATCAATGACGTCTACCATCCCATCCAGTCCACACCGATTGCGACTGCTGTACCTCGATCCAGTCCTGGCGTGCAGTCCCGTTGCACAGTTGAGCCACATCCTCAAAATTGTGCTTCACTACCACCTTCACGCCCTTACTGTGTGCATGACAAAGCAGCTGCTTGTCTTCATTCCAAGCCACGGTCGTGAGCTACACCGTCCATTCCACCAACTGGCTGTCAGTCATAGCACCCCAAGTACGTGGCAAAAGGCACATCAATTGTATGCAGAGACGTACCTGGTCCCAGTCATAGTGTTTCCAGCGGTCATCGGTCGCTACCGAAAAGGCGAACACCTCTTTCCGAGGCCTTTTGCCAGTAAAATCGATAGGGAGACACAATGACAAGGGGCTGAGCTCACTTGTGTTGCTGCTGTTTGGACATGGGCAGTCGCGCAGACGAGCGCGGTCCTCGTGCGTCAGGAGGTTGTCAAAGACGGGGCTCTCCAGTTCATAGACTAAGACAGCGTGAGGGATACACGCATCTCGCGCGAGCAGGAGCAGCAATGCAACTAGGCGTTGTACCGGTCGCAGCATGATGGGTACAACCTTGCGAGGAACGACGTAGATTGGGAATGCTCGCGGTTCGAGTGGGGTACACGGTACCACTGGGAACCTGATTTGATTACGCACGGTGCGTGTGATTGGGTTGCAAACGTCTTTTTCGGTGGTCGAATTTTACATGAATGCACGGGCCAAAACAAGCATGAATGCCGTGTCACATATGGGGATAGGGGCGAAACGGTATTGCGAGCGGTTGAACGCTATCGATCTTGACTCGTGGAATCGTTGGAATGGACGACACTGGAAAGGGCACACTTTTTTTACCTTTTTTCAGAGCCATGGAGACAATCACTTGAGACTTGATGTTGTTCTTTCGTGTTGCACTTTAGGTCGGTCTGCGGGAGTATAGAAAGAGAAATGGTGTGTTTCACTGTCCGGTTTCATCCTTCTGCTTGGAATGTGCGAGGAGTGCTACATGAATCCTATATTAGAGCTGGCAAGGCTTTGACTGGCTGGTGTTAGACTTCAGAGTGAAGAAGATCCGAGAAACATAACGAAGAGACCGAATGCAGTAGCGTAGATGCGGTGCAGTGTGACCAGAGTACAGCATTGTCTTAGTGATCATTTCATCTAATGGTCGCAATGTTAGGCGTATGAAGCAGGCTATGCAAAAAAAGTCTATTCGCTCATGACTCGTGCAGGCCAAACAAAATACTCAGCGGAACTCGTGCTATCTCGACACTCCCGAAAAGACACGCCTTCACGATAGCGGCCAGCGAGTACCGCTCTCTCACGGCTTGCCTGTACGCGCGAAACCTTCACCAGCAATACAAATTAGACCAGAACCTTCACTACGCCAGTAACGGCAAACAAACCTTGTAAATTGCGACATGAGACTGGACGCGACCGGCACGAGCTCGAAAACGGTCCGCTGACTAACGCAACGATCACTTGTATCCCATGATGTAAGTGCTTGTCGTAATTTGTGACGGTGATGAGCTTCCAGCTGTGGCGATCGATGACATACGCCGTCGATTTCTACAATCGTGTGATTGACTGCCGGGTCGTTGTTTTCTAGTAGCTGCATTCCAACAACGAAAGAGCGCGGGCTCCGCATGCGATACGAGAGTGAAGCCAGTGGTAACGAACTCACTGCCACGACTGGCAGCCAAAGCAACATTGACACGAGTAGGATGCTACCGCGTACACCGGCGAAGAAAGCAAAGAACACCAGGTTGGTAGTCACGAGGAAAACCAAGATGGTGAATAGCAGCGTACCCAGCAGGAGCTGACCGACGTCGTATTCGCACGAGTCTACGCGGTGACGCAACACATTTACCTTTTTGCCCAAGAAGAGCTTTGACAGCGACGAAAAGAGTCCGAACTGCAGATTGTTCAGCTTCGCGAAGTAGAGATAGATCCAACGCGAGTGCCACGTAGTCAGGTTCAAAAGATCCAACATCAATACCAACTGCAATGTCAAGCTCATGTGCCCGGATGCTAGCAAGAGGCGCTGACATAGGCCTGCACCGTTCACCAGCGGAAGAAGTTCTTCGAAGACAAAACTCCAGAAGTCCAGCCACAGGAGGATACCATTGCCCAGTATGGAAGCGAGCGGTTTGTTTAGCTTAAACCCCGCAGGTGCGCCCATTAGCCACTCCACGTTGCCTCGTAAAACCCCCACGATTGTCGATGGAAAGCTGTCGAGCAATCGACGCCCACATTACGTACATTAGACAGAAGATAGACATAGCTGTAGTATTGCCGACTTCACTCACATGTTCATAGTGCAAGAGGTTGGAGCGATGAGTCGGTCCAAGTATGTCAATGCTACGTGTCCAAGCAACGCATCGAGAAGCACAAAACATATCCAGTTGAGCACTTCCAGTAGCTCCAATCCTGCATTATACATCATAACACTATTTTTCAGGCGAGAACCAGCACAAAGAGCAGCGCTTTACAAACCTACGTTCTCGGCGGGACAGCCCGCGCTGCTTGCGTAATCGGTATAGCCGCCGCAGACGTGTTGGTAAGCTCGCTGCATTCTGTGCTTGTTGGGTCAGTACCGCCATGTACATTGACATGTCCTAGAACCACACACAGGATGCAAAAAACCTTCCATCAGACATTCTCGCACCCTGCATCCTTCGTTAGCACAGGTCCAGCTCTCACCGTCACGCTCTTTCCACCGCCAATAAGAAGCCATAAAGGGAAATGCACGTCGTGTACGAGTCGATAAACAGTAGTTGTCACAACCATCAGCGCTGCAAAAGGCACGTAGAGTGCATAGTATCCCACAGTCTCCAAGAGCCACGTGATTGTTCGAATCGTTCCTCTACGATCTGCATCCACTCGTTTCTCAAGCTTGTAACGAGCAGCGAATTGTTCGCCAATTTGCTGCAACAGCTGCGGCGAGTGGAGCGTCTCAAAGTCCCCGAGAGCCGCGACTTGAGCATCAAATAGCACAATGTGACGGAATCTATGTGCGTTCTTGGTAGACAGGAGCACCTCCAGCCCATCAGGGACCTGTTCCAGCTCCAGCTCCAGCGCCACAACGCACAGGACGTCACGTGACCATCTTTTGCATACTGCCGGTGGTAAATGCGCAGCAGAAGAGCCAGTTGGTGTCCACAGGTGCCGCGGCCAATACACGACCTCGCCTTCCTTCATTTTGATCAGCTACGTTACGACTGCCGTAGATACCCAAATCAGCCTATAAAATAGTCCCTTTTGACTCACAAAGGGCCCGTTTCAGGTCTATATTCCTATCACGAGGTCCAATTGGTCCGCAGTGCAGGTTCAAGTCGGGCTCTCTCTGTTCGCGTCCGCGCGCGTGGGCATGTCAGCCGTTACATTGTTGGAGTCGTTCTTACTGCTGATTGGATGAAACTAGCTAAACCTCTCATCTGTCATTTCGCCAGCAGCTCCATTGTTGCGCACAGACTGTTCATTTGCGATTTGTCTCCCCATCCAGCCAGCTCCCAATGGACTTGGAAGGCTTCACGTCGCGCGCGTGGCTCGGCCACTGGGTCTCAGGTGAAGACGAGCCTGTGAACAATTACTACGAAGACCACAAGCTCATGGAAGGCGCGCTCATTAAACTCGGGGATTACGCGCACTTTCGCTACTTTCTGCTGTTCCGCAACGGCCGCTTTTGCTACTACGAACTGCCAATGCCCGCAGCTGCGCCAATGGGAGGAGGCGGAGGAGCTGAAGGAATCAAGTGCGTGCACCTCACGATCACGTCCAAGCACCTTCGTGGAGTCATGATGCTCAATGCGTCCGTGAACGCCAAGGACCAGGCCAAGAGCGAAGACGAGTACGATGCGGACCTTGTCAAGCGCGGTCTCGTGTTTAATAGGAAGAAGCTCGAGATGCAACTCACTGGCTACTCACCCACGGGGCAGCTCATGTGCTGGAAACTACGGGCTGGTAAAGACGCGGTGTACGTCAAGTGGGAGCGCGCATTTCGACTGGCCCTGCGTCCTATTTGGGTCCAGAATTCCAAGTGCTGTATGGTTTGCAAGAAGGAGTTTGGCTTTTTCATCCGACCACATCATTGTCGGTACGTTGTGACAATGCCATTGTTTTGAGGTTTGCTGCTTTTGGTTAGTTGCGTGGTTGAATTGACGGAGCGGGTCTTGTCGATCTTTTTTGTAGTAAGTGTGGCACGTGCATGTGTGACGAGTGCTCTGTGTTTGTCCCGCGGCTGCCGATGCAGGGATATTATGAAGAAGTCAGGATTTGTAGGGACTGTTCTCCTGTCAAGATTCAGCGATCGGCGCTGAAATTGGGCACGCTTGTACTCGTGTATGGCATTTTGGTCGGCAGGGTTGTGCAGGTTGATGCTGCCGATGACTCGGAAGACGGACGTGCGTTTGTCAATGTGGAGCTCGTAAAGAAGGGCAATCAGCTGCAGCGGTTTCCACTAGAGCGCGTCGAGCTATATTCTGATGCAGTGTTATCAGCCAACCGTATCAAGAATGCGATCCGTCAGCACCTCTCGTACGCTGTCTTTCGAACACAGCTTAACTTTAACACGTGGAATTTGCTGGAAACTGTACAAGAGCAGCGCACGGTGCAGATGGTACGAATACTCAACAAGTCAACAAGTGTCAACGAGCTACACTCGATGGTGCCAATGCTTGGCACGCTAGACATGATGCAGTTCCCTGACGATGACGTTTCCGAAAAAAGCCGTGTAAAGAAGTCGCTATCGCATTACCGAGGTGTCCATGTTTCGTTTCCATTGCGCTTGGACACGGCAAAGAGGTTGATTAATCAGTTTCGCAATGGCATTTTGCTACATCGCGTTTTCGTGCGGCAGATTTTGGATGAATCCGAAAGCTTGTTCCGGACCATGCACCAGTCACCTATGAATGAGATCGAGATACCGATGGGTGTGCAGCTGGTTGTAGTAGGTGATTTGCACGGACAGCTGGAGGATTTGCTTACAATTTTGGACAAGAACGGTGTACCAAGCAGCAAGACATGGTATCTTTTTAACGGCGATTTTGTGGATCGCGGATCGCATGGAGTCGAGGTTATCTTGCTTTTGCTGATTTTCAAGCTGTTGTATCCCAACTTCGTCTTCTTGAATCGTGGAAACCACGAAGAACAGATGATCAATGAGGCTTTTGGGTTTGAAGATGAAGTACACATGAAGTACGGCACCGACAACGATGAAGTCGCAGGGTGGTCTGGCTTGGGCACATCACTCAACTACTCGCCAATGAAGCTCTTTCATATGTTCGAGACAGTATTTGATTTGTTCCCAATCTTCGCTATGCTGAACAAGCGCATCTTTATTGTGCATGGTGGTCTAAGCAACCACGAGAACGTCACGATTGATGAGCTACTTCAGCTCGACCACAGGCGTAAGATTCCGACACAAGGCACGAGCCGTTCGGACGAGATCTTTACGCACTTGATGTGGAGTGATCCGGGTGACGAGGACGGGTGGAGACCGTCAAGCCGAGGGGCGGGTGTCGAGTTTGGTCCCGACATCACGAAAGCGTTTTGTGCACAGAATGGATTGAGTCTCATCATTCGGTCGCACGAGTGTCGCGCAGAAGGATTTGACATTGTTCACGACGGCCTGCTTCTGACTGTGTTTTCAGCGTCAAGCTACTGTGGTTCGCAGACGAACAAAGGTGCCTATGTCCAGCTGGAATTGGGAGAGGACGACGAAATCGAGCCTCACGTGGTGCAGTATTCTTCGCAGCCACTCCAGCAATTGAGAGATGCGGGAAGAAACGAATGGCGAAAAAAAGCGCAGCGATTAGAACGAAGAACATTGATGTCTTTCGTCGAGATCATTTGCGAAAAGAAGAACGCGCTGCTCGCTGCTTTCATCGAGCTAGACTCGACCGGTTCCGGGCGCGTGACTAAACTAGAGTGGAAAGCAGTTTTGCAGAAGGTCATGGGCATTCAAGCAAGCTTTCTATCATATTTCCATCAATTGGCAGAAGAAGATAAGCAAGGTGGCGTCGATTACCAGAAATTTCTTAACCGCTACACTGTTGAGCTTGACGGTGGCAATGTAGAGTGGAGGCGTAACCTGATCCGCAAGGTCTGGACGGGGTTTTGCCAAGCGCTCCCTCATCCGTTTGCCGAAAAGACGACGTTGCAAGACAAGCTTCACTTTGCCTTTCATCTTTTTCAGTCGCCTGGAACCGCCAACCAGGAACTTACAGCAAGGCTCAATTCGAAGGCCGACGAGTTCGGACTACCTGGTAGTCCATTCTCTCATGGCGATAAGCCAAAGGAAAGTCACTCGCGCAACGGTCTTGTCACGTACGATGTGTTCCGGAACACCATCCAAGGCACGTTGCAGCTGAACGACACCCTGTCAGAGCAACAGATATTTGAGCTCATGCAACACCTCGACCAGAACCGTGACGGTGTGATTGACTATCACGAGTTTTGCTCATTCTTTGCCGAGTTCAGTCGCGCCGATTATTTGCAGGAGATTTTCGAGGTGGACGATACAAATGCTATCTCCCTTCTGAACCGCTGTGCCACGCTTTTGCAGAAATCAAACCAGTTTGCATCGCTGCGGGAAGCATTTGAAGCGTTTGATAACAGTAAATCAGGCAAGTTGACGGTGGACGATATTCTGAAAGGAACGCAGGAGCTCGGCATGGTGCCCGAGCTGGACAAAGATGAAGCACCGCTTTTGTTTAACTCGATTATGCTCAGCTACTACGGCATCAACGAGCGTCATCAGTGGGACAAGCGGGGCTTGAATTGGACGGTATTTGAAGACACGTTTTCACCCGATAGCACCTTCCAGCGCCGTCTGTGGCTAACAACTCTTGGTACGTCCAACACCAATTTGGCTGGCCTGGATGTGCCAGAGTCCGAGCCTTTGGACGAAGAACCCGCTGGTGACGAGCAGCAGCAGCAGCCTTCGACATGGGTCGATACTTTTGTCGATGGTGTCAAGCAGTCGCTGCACGAGCAACGACTGTACATTAAGTTTTTGTTCCGTATCCTGGACCGCAAGCGGCATGGCTACGTGACCAAGCAGCAGTTTATTGCGACGATGCAGGCGATCAACGAGGAGCATGGGGCGCCACTGAAGCTGGTGCAGCTCGAGCAATTGGCTGACGCTTTCGCTTGTCGCAAGACTGTTCGACACATGTCAAATGCTGGGGAAGAGAGCGAGGAGACGCGCACGTACGTTTCGTATCCGGAGTTTCTTCGCAGTTTGCGTATCATTGACACAGGGCCGTCGGATCTGCACACACATGTCGCAGATGTGGATAATCATGTCGCAGGCACGAGCTGACGTTTTGTAACAGTCTTTGCGATCCCGTGCGAGATGTGGCGTTTTTATGTGCACAGGGCACATGAGGGGTTGGTTGTTTCCATCGTGCCACCTTCGTGCAACCTACTCCCGTGCTCGCTTCTCCACCAGTCAAAAGCTTTTGCCGCGCCAGCAGCTCTTTTCGACTCATTCGCCAATCTCTTTCCAAGTCAAGTCCACCCCCCACTAGCAAGTACGTACATGTGACTGAATGGCGCATGTATTATCAGAGAAGCCGCGCGATAGCTTCCTCGAGAGAGCAGGCTACCGCGCGGCTTTGGAGGCTCCGTCCGTCTATCGCTGGCACCTCAATCGCTCGCCCTGTCTGTAAAAGGGCTTTTTGAGTGAGGAGAGTGCTGGTGTAGACGGCGGCTGTCCTTGGCTTCTGGCAGTAGGCATTAATGCGCTCTGTGTCGTCTGTGTTTCGTCTCGCTAGCCATGGTTCGTATGAGCGTGCTGGCTGACTGCCTCAAGACGATGTACAACGCTGAGAAGCGTGGAAAGCGCCAGGTACTGATCCGCCCGAGCTCCAAGGTGATCGTCAAGTTCTTGCAGGTCATGCAGAAGAATGGCTACATTGGCGAGTTTGAGATCATCGATGACCACCGCGCCGGCAAGATCGTGGTGGAGCTGAAGGGTCGCATCAACAAGTGTGGCGTCATCTCGCCTCGCTTTGATGTGAAGCTGGCCGACTATGAGAAGTGGATCAACAACCTGCTGCCCTCGCGCCAGTTCGGTCACATTGTGGTGAGTACGACGTACGGCATCATGGACCACCACGAGGCTCGCCGCAAACACACGGGTGGCAAGATCATCGGCTTCTTCTACTAAGCGGACAGCAGACTTGATTATGACTCGAGGTACCTAGTGCGACGCTAAAGGTTGTGTCTGGAGAAAGGAGAGCGATAGCGTATAGGCTTGGCTAATGTGATGTAGCTTCCATCGCCATGCTTTGTGTTCCACATGCCTTTCTTTGTCTGAATCGAAGGGAACTGCATCGGATACCCGTCGTTTGTAGCGTTTTTCGTCCAAATGGTCTGCTCTACTTTCTTGCCGCCAGGAGCTTGTCACTACTTCTTCAATAGAATTGATATGGACTGATTCTTCAGCAAGAAACCCATGTAGCGTCCTTGTATCACATTTCTTCGACATCGCTTTGGATATCTCATGCAGCCAACAAGACGCTTGTCGTCACCTGAAATGTTACACAATACCATTAGATGTTGACCTCTTTAACCCGAAGGTACTAAAGTGTCCGTAGGTACCCATGTCGACACAGCGATCACTTCGCAACATCCTCCCGCTTTGGGCTCAAATGGCTTCATTCATAATAATCAGATCTGCGTGGTTAGCACTCGAGACCACAAGTGCAGGTCCACCACAACCACAGATATGCTACTACATCCTTATTCGTCCAAAGATGCCACCACAGCACCAATCGCAGCAGTAGACGCACGATACGTCGTCATGATCGTTGCTTTCGTAGCAACCAATGCCGGGCCACTAAACGCACGAGCGACATTCATATACGGCCGCAGCATTTCCTTGGCTGACTGGCCGATGGGCGTGTTCGCTGCAAACTCCAGCGGCTCGACCACACACATCTCGTAGAAGCGGTCAAACATGCTACCGCGATGTGCAACAAACACCGTGTTGCGGTGCACACGCAGCGTCGCGTCATATCCCGACGGAGTGGCGTAGCTGCACAGTAAATAGCTGCCACTTGTTTTTTTCACGTGAAGCTCCAGCTCTTCCACAGGCCCAAGCACAGCCGAGGGATACGAGCCAAAGCCTTCCATCTTGACGACATCACCTACAAGTGGCTCCATTCCATGTGGTTCATACTGCAACACAACGCGCACTTCACCCAAGTTCAGCTCCGCTTCCGGGTGCTGTTTCTTGCCACCCTTAGGGCTATAGCCACTGCCTGCTACCGACAGCGCTCCACTGAGCGGAATCCACTGGTCCAGCACGTCTTCCTTGCCTTCCACCAGCGGCGTCACGTCCGCGAGTGCAGTGCCAATGACAGAGCCATTAACGATCCCCACCGCTTCCGTCGCTTTGCCTGTAAGCGAGTCCTCGTTCATCACGTCGACAATGAGCTCCAGTCGCACGTCCGAGTGCTCCTTGAGCAGCTGCCGCTTCACGTCCAGTTTCGGCACCTTCACCTCCAGCAGCTCCCGACGCCACGAGGGATTCGAGTTGCGCGGGATCGTCGAGCTGCGGACGCTCTGTCTGCCCACGCGGAAGATCACGTAGGGACTGCACGGGCGCACCCAGAACATGGACGCGGCAGCGTGGAGGTTACGCGCAGCGACGAGACGGATGCTGAGCGTCCCGGCCACGCCGTCCTGGTGGTGCAGGTGCTTTTCGAATAAGTACGACGCCATCTCCGCGCGCTCGAGCGGCGGCGGCATCGGCTGAGCTTTCATGACGGTTAGAAACGACGGGATCAGAAGAACGTGGGAAAATGGTATCAGAAGAAGAACGTGGTGTGCTCGTTTTTTTTCGTGTACAAAGTGCTTTATTCACTGGAGAGAGATGGATTTGTAGAGGTGGCACAAAAAAGCAAAGACATGATGATGATGGCTGGAGATAAGTGGGACAGTGTACCCCCCGCTTGGAACCTGACGGAACCACGAGATGCGGATGCTTGATTGGCTGAAACTCGGCACTCGACACGGCCAACCAACCACTCGCTCGCCAGAGGTCCGTCCGCGACGAGCTCGCCCGCGCCCACCACAGCTGAAGCAGCAGTAGAAGCACGAGCGCCTTTGGCCGGTAGCCGCCATGCCCAAGGGGATCAACACGACGAAAGCGTCGGGCGACAACCCGAACCGCAAGGTCCCGACGCGGCAGAAAGCGGCCAACATGCGGGACAAGAGCACGATCAAGCGGCTCAATATGTACCGCAATAGTGGACCCATCCGGAACAAGGGGGGCAAGATCGTGGGCGGGACGCTCATGATGAAGAACAAGGTGGGCGGACAAGAGATCACTAGTGCGAGTGGACGCGTGCAGCCGGACCGTCGCTGGTTTGGCAACACGCGCGTCGTGGGGCAGAAGGAGCTGGACAAGTTTCGCAACGAAATGTCGCTGAAGACAGCCGATCCCTACTCGGTTGTGTTGCGGACGCGGAAACTGCCCATGGGGCTCTTGCAAGAGAGCGACAAGACGTCGCACATGAAGCTCCTGGAGACGGAGAGCTACGACGACGTGTTTAACGGGAAGCGAGGCCGGAAACGGGCCAAAGTTGCGGCGACGGATTACGCGTCGCTGCTCTCGAAAGCGCAGGAGAGTGCAGAGAAGTACGAGACAAAAGGGAACGATCGCAACATTGTGGTGGAGCAGGAGTTCAAGGACGAGGTCTCTCACGACGTGTTTAACAAGGGCCAGTCGAAACGCATTTGGGGTGAACTGTATAAAGTACTGGACTGCTCAGACGTGGTGATCCAGGTGCTGGATGCGCGAAATGTGCCAGGCACGCGCTGTGAACACGTAGAGAAACATATCCGCAAGAATGCGTCGCACAAACACTTGATCTTTGTCATTAACAAGTGTGATCTCGTGCCGAATTGGGTCACCAAACGATGGGTGCAAAAGCTCAGTGAGACGACGCCGACGCTGGCTTTTCACGCCTCGATGAGTAATCCGTTTGGCAAAGGTGCACTGATCAACTTGCTGCGTCAGTTTGCCAAGCTGCACCAGGAGAAGAAGCAGATCTCGGTTGGCTTGATTGGCTACCCTAACGTCGGAAAAAGCTCGGTGATTAATGCGCTGCGCAAGAAGAAGGTGTGCAAGGTCGCCCCAATCCCAGGCGAGACCAAGGTGTGGCAGTACATTACGCTCATGCGTCGCATCTTTCTCATTGACTGTCCCGGTATCGTGTACGACACGGGTGACGACGAGATCGAGACAGTGCTCAAGGGTGTTGTTCGCGCAGAGCGTCTACCTCAGCCGACGGACTTTATCCTCACTATCTTGGAGCGGGTCAAGAAGGAGTTTCTCGTCAAGGTGTACGGCATCGAGGAGTGGAAGGACGAGTGGGACTTTCTCGAGAAACTTGCAAACAAATGTGGCAAGCTGCTTCCGAAGGGCGAGCCTGACTACAACAACGTCGCTGTGCACATGATTAACGATTACCAACGCGGCAAGCTGCCGTGGTTTATTGCCCCGCCCATGCGTGCCGAAGAGCTCGCTGCTCTTGAGCAAAAGGGCGACGATGCCCCGCTAAACGAAGCAGAAGCTGACAAAGATGAGCCCGTGGTGCTGGACGAGGAGGAGATCGACGAGGGCGAGGCGAAGGTGGAAATAGGGACAGAAGACCCGAAGTAGTGATGGTATGTGTCGTTACAGTCGGCCAAGCGCCGTTGTTGCAAAGGTCGATGATAGATGGACTTACATAGTCAGCTCACCCACCACCTTAAGACCACCAACAACTCCAGTATCCCTGATATCGTCCGCATTTCTTCAACCGACATCCGATGTCAACCTCCCACCTCGACAGTCTTCACCCAGGATGGGCCCAGCTCAATGCACCAGCAAGAGCTTCACCCGCACAACCCCTTCCTTGTATCAGTGCCCCCTTGTCGTCGTCGTCGTCGTTGTCGTTACCTTCAGTCTCCCCATGTCTTTGCTTGCTTGCAGCACGTCCTCCCTCCTCGCCACTGCCTGACAACAGCCTTTGTGTCGACTCTTCCAGTCTTGCCGCTGGCACGTCTTACTGCAGTAAAACACGCACTTGCAGCGACTACAGGCCTGCAGCGTCTCCTCTTGATACTCGAGCGCCTTGCACGCCTCATTGCTGCAAAGGGGCGTGCCTCCTTCCCGTCGCACAACCAACGCTCGTCCGCACTCGCCCTTGGCCTCGTACACCTTGGCCACCTCTTCGCGCGTGAGGTTCCCGTCCCTCCACGCGCTTCCGATCCCTGCACTTGCATCCCATCGATCCCGCACGTCCAGCGCTGCCTTCAGGACTTCGAGCGCGTCGTCCAGCGCCCCCAAGAGCCGCAACGTCTTCCCCAAGTCATGTCGTGTCTGGGCCATTGCTACCGCATCAAAACCCGCAAGCGGTTGGCGCTGGAGGACGTCCCGGAGCAACCCTTCAGCTTCGCGCAGTTGTTTAGCCTGAAGCAGCTTCGTTGCTCTCGTACTGCATCGCACTAGCTCCATATACATCGCTGCTTGACTTGCCCCGACATCCTCGACAGCTATCATTTTCTGCTCCGTCGCATATACCCCCCCACACAGCGAGGGAAATAATCGTCTTGCTTTCAGTATACCATCGTCTCTCCCTCGCTCGATTTTACCCACCTCGCTCGGCGGAAGAGGAGGAGGAAGCCAATCACCAGAAGCGATGGAGGGTGCCAAGTCGTCTCCGTCTTACCCCGCGAAGCTCGAGGCACCGACCATTGTCCATCCCCCACGAGCCCATCAAGACCACAACCACGTTGCCACTGGCCGTCAACCGCCTCTGCAGCCGTCGTGTTCCCTCTCCGCCATGTTCTTGTGCCCGTCCCAATCCCTCGCTGACGTCTCAAGCGCTTCGGAGCAGACAACCGAAGCCAACAGGACGAAGCCTTCAAGTCCAGTCTTAGCTGCACCGATTATCCCGGCTGTACTGCAAGGGGAGACTGGTCGGTTGACTTGTTCGACCTTAGGTGTTCCAGGCTCCAGGCTCTCGGACTTGACCCAGAGGATGAAGCCCAAGCTTGCCGTGTCGGAGAGCGGCCACTTTGAAGACCAGTTCTACCACGCTCATGATGGTAGCAAAGCTATGGCGAGACTCCGGCAACGGGCCTTCCAGAACAAGACTGTGCACACAAGTGGCGACGACGTGGAGCAGTTTTCTGACGCCGATATCATCACCAGTGGGTACCTGGTCAAGCAAGGCTCGTTCTGGAAGTCGTGGCGACGACGGTTCTTCATCTTGAGACGGGACTGTCCTGTGCTGAGCTATTACACGTCGGCTGAAGAACTGGCCAAGCTCGGGGAAATTACAATTGATGAGCACACGACGGTGCAGATGACGCCACGAGATGGTGAACCGCATCGGTTTACGATTGAGAATGACAAGCGCAGGTTGACGCTGATTGCCGAGCAAGGGAAGGCGGACATGGATGCTTGGATCTCGTGCATCCAAGGCTGTATTACACAGCGCGCACGGTCGACAACGCGGATTCTCTCAGCCAATGGATCGATCCTTCGACGAGGAGAGGTAGGATCAGTGTCCGCACAGCTGCAAGGTCGAGGATCGGAGAGCGCGTCCATGCTGGAGGAATTGAATGCGGATCGCACGAGCTTTTCGCGCATGGAGAGTCCGCTGGTTGCGAGCAGCATGAGCGTTATGAAGCGGTTTTCGACGGACTCGACTATCATTCAGCAAGCCGCAGACGACTCGAGATCAGTCCGGGACAACAAGGAAAAACAACAGCTACAGCAGTCCCGTCAGCATGCAAACTCTCGTCTGATCAGTACGGCATCCGTGCCTATTGATACACCTAAGGCGAAGCCAAGTCTGCTGCGTTCGTCCAGCGCCGGATCTATCCTCACTCAGCCGTTGTCGTGTTCTGCTGCAACTCGTGCATACGACGACAATGGGCTGTCAATGCTGCGTTCGACAAATGATGTACAGAGGGCACAGACCTCGTCAACCTCCCCACGTGCACCAAATTTGAGCTTGCCAGGATTTAAGCCACCCCCCAGCGTGGAGCTAGCTGTGTCTGTCGGCAGCAAAGTCACGCAAGACATTCCGCACATGTCGGTGGTTTTGTTCAGTTGTTGCCAGGGGCAACGGCCAGAAGAGATTTCCCGCACGGAGGTGCGAAGCTCACTTTCGTTTCGATCCTGCGGTGGTGATTTTTACGCTCGCGATTTCAATGCTTTACTTTCAGTGCCGCGCGTGGCACGGTCAATGCTGCAGTTTGAGATCTTTTCAGTGGTCAATGCTGCATCCGAGTCGCTGGAGAATCAAAAGTCGTTAGGGTTTGTGCGCGTGTCGGCGCTAGACATTCTCTTTTCACGAGAATCGTCGATACTTCTCCAGTGCCACCGAACAGATTCGTCCAAGCAGCTTTTCTATCTCGCCCTGGATCGGTTTGTTCCACCTGGCCACAGCATCAATGTGTCCCATGCATACACTTATGCAAAGCACCATTTTCTCGTGGATACACAAGCAATGGAGAAGCGACCATCAGGTGATATTCTCGCTAGCTCGACGTTGAGTCTAAAAGGTTGTATGAGCTACAACGAAATTCTTCGTGGTCAGCTGAAGCCACCGACAGCGAGTCATGTGCTTGTGACGGAAGAATTATCAGCATCGTATGTTTCAGTGTCAATGACGGTCGCTTTCCTCAAGCATCTGCAGCAGCGAAATGTTGCTCGTATCAACGAGACACGACAAGTGATCCGCGATATGAGGCAGTATATTCAGGCGACCACTAGCCAAAGTTTATCGAGCACGCGTACGCAAAATGTAGAAGATCGAATGCGAGACGTGGAAGTTGGAATGGCCCATTATATGCGTCTCCATGCCTCCTACCAAGAAAGTTTGAAGCGGTACGTGACCATGTCGACCTCGCTCGAGGACGGCCGTGAACAGGGGATCACCGGGTGTCTGAAGCGAAGCAGCATGAAAAAATATAAAGCAACAGCATTCATGGCCACGAATCTCAACTGTCACCTCGTGCGTGGAAGGCGTGTGCATCTCGCCGGCGAAGGTGATCGATGCGATCAAGGATGGCGAAGTGGCTCGGCATCCACTTTGGTGGATGATGCATCTGTATCTGACGACAGCGACAGTGAGAAGTCGCTTGCGTCCGAGTACGTCTACTCGGTGGTAACTCATGGCTGTGCTTCAGCCCATGTTATGGGCTTCAAGGAGGGTGGCTTGCGTCGTCTAAAACAGCAACTGGCGTCACAGAGCTCGCCAGACCCTCGTTTACGCGAGCGTATTGAAATGAGAGAAGACGTTGTGCGCTCACAGGTGCTTGCAATTGCTGGTGCGTCATTTTTGAATGCTGTGGGTCTGGCGGCAACCCGTGGAGGAGAGCACCGCCAACGCTTGCAGCTAGTGTGTTCGACGGGCTTTTTGCTCAGCATTGAGTCTTTGCTGAGCACTGTAGGTGCCGAAAAAGGAATGCTGGAAGACATGGCCGATGGTGTGCGGTGGCTCAATAGTGTGGTGAGTTTCCAGCTTGTACAGTCTGCCGAAACAAACCCTCGCGTGGAAATGTCAAAGTGCGTCAGTGTGACGAGCACGCGCACTGGAGACCATCTTGTGGCTGCGTTTGCTGTGCCCCCTATCGTGTTTGCAAAGCTTCCTGAGGTGCTCCAGCAAGGCCATGCCATTAAGCTCCATGGAGTGATGTTTACCCAAGGAATCAACGAGATGCAGTCAGTGGCTAATCACTATCTAAACTCGAGTCTGCAGGATGAGCTTAACTTTGAGAGTGTGCAGATGCTGCAGCGGTATTTCAGAGTATACCAGACACAAGTTATGCTCAGCGGGGGCGGTGCGAAGAAGCACGAAGCCGATCTGATTGAGCTGCGTGAGCTTCAGTCTGATATTGAAGCGCTCACTGGTCGTCTCAACGTCCGTGCAGAGAATGTGCAAAAAAAGCTCGTGAACATTCTCATCACGTCCAGCGATATTTGCCGTCGTCTCGGCGCCGGACGCACGACGTGTTGCAAGAGTGGAAAAGACCGTACGGCCATGTCAGTGACACTGGAGACATCTCGTTTGCTGGTGGACCACTTTCACGTGAAACAAGGTGTCCATCTCTGTAATGCCATGAGGGAACGCGGTGTTCGCCGCGTGAACGTCCTGGCGAATACAGGCAAGACCAATTTTGCATTCAACTCGTTCCAGCTCAAGTACATTCCTGACTGCTACAAGCCACCGCTTGCCTGTACTGACTCGCGTGTGGCCTCTTAGCAGCAGCAGTGGACAGTTTGCACCGAACGGTGAGTGCCATTTTTGCCATCTGAAATGTGGTTTGTTGTACGATGTAAAGATGAGTGTCGATTGATCATCGGATTGCTGTGAAGTGAGCTCTTTTCTCGTTTTTTTGCTGTGTTGAGGTGTTCTAGAGCCATGTTACACCCACCGAAAAATAAAGCATTCCACATCAACGCTTTTGCAGTGTCACAGCACGAGCTGCAACGTTTGGGCTGGTGCTCGTGGATGCTACTTCTGAAATCCGTTGACAGCACGCGTTGCGTCCCGTTTCCTGCAGCAGTGAGCTTTCCACCTCGCAAGACCCGATGTTGTGCAGCGCTGCTGTCAAGAACAGTGCGATGCTGTTACTCTGGTTCGGGGGTCAAACCCGCTGTCTTGGATCTACTGTTCATACTTCCCATGCTCCGCAGGCTTTGCAGTTGGGTCGCTGGAATTATGATGCCACCATGCGTCGGCGCTGATTTTATGCATTGCATTTGGCACTGCTGAAAGGGATGAGACCGGTATGGATTTTTTGCGGGCTGCTTGCCGAGTGCTGTGTGGTTTGTCCGGAGATCATCGTGGTCTTCTGTCGCTTGCTGCAAGCACGTGGACGCTGTCAGTTCGATGAGTTGAGCAGCCCCAGCAAACTGGTTGTGCTGCACGAGAAAGATGGAGAGGCCAGCTGTCAGCAGTTTGATGGCCACATCTCAACGACAGGGTACGTTGAGCAGCAACTGTGTTGGTCGAGAGTGGTCGTTTCGGGTTTGCAGTCGGTTCCGGCGCTGCCACGATGAGATGCGGGGTTCTCAGATAAGCAGCAACTTAGTCCACGAACGTTGCTGTCAGTTGAAATTTTGCGGAATGCACAGCGTGCTCGTGAAGTAGTGTCGTAACCTGCAAGACCCTGGGTCGCTGAATGTGCAAGGCGGAGGCGAAATCGAGAGTGTATCGGGATGAGCGAACTGCTTCCGAATTATTGTGACGAGCACGTAGCATGCTGACGGCACATTTGAGACGCTGGAAACGAGCTCGCGCAAGATTGTTGCATCCATGGACACTTAGCGAAGCACGAGAGCGAGTTTTGACGCTGACTTGGTCGCACTCAATGTATCAGAAGCATGGAGAGTTGCGACTACAATCGGTATCTAGAAGATCGGACGTGGCGATCACAGCTGCAAAGGGCTGTACGCATTTGCGTACGACGGATGCAAATGGCTGCTGGAGCACATGTACCATCCCGATCTCTACTTGAGGTCAGCTGCTATCTGATCGCTAGCTCTAGGCGTTGCAAGAGCGACGACAATGACATTGTGACGGCTCTCGAAATTGCTGCACGTGCTGAGCCACAAGTCGTTCAAGATATGGCTGAGCCAAGACGCGTCAATTGATCGGATCGATTGATCCATGGTGTCGGTAATATACCATCTGCATCATACCTTACATTACATTACACACGATCTTCACCACGCCAGCGAATCTATTATCGATGCGACTTTGATACCTTCCCACCGGTCCGTAATTTATTCCAAGTCTCCTCGATCTCCCGTATTTGTCGGATCTCGTTCGTGATTGGCCATTTCCCATCTGATTCCACTACTTCCTTCCAGCGACCACGTGAAGATGAGCCGCTCCGCCGCGTCGGAGCTCACGCCGCTGCTCAAGCCCAGCGACAACGTGCACCTCCCCGTCTCGTCTCCCTCGCACTCCTCCGTCTCCTCTATCTCTCTACCCGCTCATCTCCCGCGTTGGTTCGTGCTTGCCGCGCTCCTCAGCGCTCTCTTGACTCTTCTATGGCTCGTTCTGCTCGCTTTAGGTCCTCAATTGGCTCTCCAAATGGACGTGACGTTCTACCTATACGCTGGCGTCCTCAACTCCTTATTGGGCAGCTTCCTCTCTGCCAGTGGCTACTGCTGTCAAAAGTACGCACACGTCCGTGTCGCACATAACGCTGCACTCGGGACAGCTCCAATGCAGACAGTGTTCCAAGCTGGTGTCTTTCTATTAGCTATGGGGACCGTCTCGGCTATCAGTAACCTCGGGATCCTCGGTCAAGCTGTTCAAGCACCTTTTGCAGCACTCACGCTCATCTACAGCGCGTTGCTCGGACGCTTTGTCCTGTACGAGAGCTTTGGACGCTACGACCTCCTCTCGAGCGCGCTCATTATTATGGGCGTCAGTGTTGACGTGTACGCGGCGCAACTCGCCCACGTGGCGCACAGGTCGTACACGCTACAGTCCCTGGGACAGCTGTTGACGAGGAACTCGGTCTGGCCATTGGGGTACACGATCGTCACGCTCACGTACGCGATGGTACTGCTCCGACGCGTGCAGTCGGACAAGCTGCAGCGTCACTCGAGCGGACTGCTGGCTTTTAGTTCTTGTGCTGGTATCATGGCCGGCTTTACGTCGCTTGCGACCAAGTCGGTCGTTGAAGTCACCAAGTCGGCGTTGAAACGTCACGAGTGGCTGGTGTTTGTGAACCCGTGCTTTGCTTTGCTGGCCATTGCGATTCCATGTGCACTTGTGCCGCAGCTTTTCTTTCTCAACAAGGGGTTGGAGTTCTTTGGCACGCTCAAGTTCATCCCGTTGTATCAAGCTTTCATCATTCTTGGCAACATGGGCTGCGGCATGGTCTTTTACGACGAGATGGCCAGCTACAGCTCGATAGCACTGACATGGTCCATGGGTGGCATCGTGAGCACGATCTGCGGCGTGGGTGTACTGCTGGTCAAAGTTAACGACGAGCTTGGCGGTGCAGACGTCCGACGTTTAAATGCAGTGAGGGCAGTGGACCAACCCATGGATGAGTTGCTCGACTGCAAAGACAACGTCAAGGCAAGATTCGACACGGACTTTACGTTCGAACAGATGGAGTGGGCTACTGATTGTGACAAATTGACGTCCAACAATTTGCGCGTGTGCCGCGATTTCCGCGAGTGTCAAGAAGCTATTGTGGAGCTACTGGTGTCTGCGCGCAAGTCGATTTACTACTCGACATTCTTGTGTGACTTCAACCAAGTTCTCCACACGACAAGTGACGAGCACAAAGGCAGCACATTCGTGTCGCTTGTGCGTGACGCCGTGAAGCGTGGAGTTGACGTCCACGTCTTGTACAATCCCGTGCGTGACTACGGAACGAACTCGATCGCGGATTTGCGTCGCATTTTGCCTCAAGAAGTGCACGTTGCTTGCTCCGTGAGCGATCTGGGTCCGAGCTGGTTCACCCGCCACTTATCAAACAATTCTAGGTATGCTTTTCACCATCAAAAGTACATTTGCGCTGACGAGGAGACCATCATGGTTACTGGCTGCGACGTGAACACTGAGCGGGAGGGCTGGTTGCTCAAAAATCATCTCGGATACTATTGGCATGAGCTCAGTGTTATCTCCCGCTGCACACCTGGGATGCTCCATTGGATCCGCGCAAACCACAAGCCCGCTCGAGAGAAACGGTACTACGATCACTTCATGGAGTCGCCGCCTTTTCCGCTCGTGTCTGGCGGTTGGCGAGAAGAGAATTGCATGGTGAACATGATCATGAATGCCAAGCACTCCGTGCAGTTGGAAAGCCAAATCATGATATCAGGTGGCTCTTTGCAGCACAACCGCATCTGTCCTGCGATCGTCGCTCGAATTAGTCAAGCCCGCCGCAAAGGTGAGCCATTTCACGCTCTAATCCTGACCAACGCAGCACAGAAGGACGAGCCTTCATTTCTGGCACGCACGTACTGCTCGCTCTCCATCCAATGGTCGCTGGAGCAGCTGGAGGAATCTGCGTTAGCGTACGGTCTTGCGCTGGACGAGCTATGGCAGCATCTTCAAGTGGGTTCTCTCGAGTACGATAACGTGCTGGTTAAAGTGCATTCCAATATCCTGATTGTGGATGGCAACTACGCACTGCGATCGTCTTCAAATCTGGCTGACCGCAGTCTAAGTGCGCGTCCCAATGATACGGAGCTGGGGTTGCTGTTTTCTGGACCTCGCGTGAATGAACTACAGCAAGACCTACTCAACATGTACCTCGGTACAGTGGGTGAGAGTTACTCGTGGAGTCAAGTGTTTGAGCGTATTCGAGGCTCAGCAACGAAGGAACCGGCCGGATTGATTCAACCGCTGAAGAAGAAAACGTACAGTCCCATATTCACGTGGTTCTTGATGAATCTTTTCATTTACTGCAGTGAAGGTGCTACCGGTGGCCGAGTCAAAGTGACTTACGAAACTAAGGTACTTGGTGACAACAAGCACGAACTCGAGACCTGATGTGCTGCTGCGTGCGCACTGCTGGAGAAACAGCAACTGACTTCAGAAAGACAATACATGCTCCTTTGCATACGACGGTTTGGTTTAGTAGCCCATTTCCTTGATGAGAGTGTTGTAGCTGGAGTCTTCCTCTGTGGCTACCACTGCTTTCTCTGCTGGCGTGGTCCTGCACAGTCAGATCGATGTTAAGCAGGTAATTAGTACGGCATGCAAGAATGCGATGGAAGTCAACAGAGCCGCAAACGTACCGCTTTGTTGAGGGTAGCTCCATGTCCAAAATTTTCAGCAGCTCGTGTTGAGCAGTGCGCACCTGAGTAATCTGTAGTACACATGCAAACAAGACTCGGCGCGGTTAACAGCTTGGTTGTCCGACGTCTGCAATACTGTGACCCGTACCGAAGCGTCCCACGCGGTGTCACTCAAGAGCTCGACCACACTGTCGTACTGCAGTAAGGAATGACACGAAACGAATCAGTAGCGGACCAGCAGTCGCAACGAGTGCTCTTCCAACCTTTTCTTCGCTGACAATCTCGTATAGAAGTAGTCGCGTGTAGAGCATCTCAGCAGTCAGCTTCCGCACTTTTGGGAACTTGTGTCCGAGATACATCACGAGAGCACGTAAAGCCTTGCTTTCAATGTCAGGGTTGCTCGGAAGCAAACCGACGAGGACACTGATCGCAGCACTCAGTTTGGAAACCACAGCACATCTCTGTATCTCGTGACGCAGTGCGTCGTACAAATATTCTCCAAAGTTCGCCGTTCTAGTAGCGCCATCATCTTCTGTCTGGCGTCCCTCGAACAGAAAGCGCAATAGGCCTGATTCCAGTAGCAGCGCAATGGTTTTCATCAGCGGAATGGCGACGCGGTCATCCTGATGGTGGCGGGTCAGCAGTGTCACCAAGTAAAAGCCAAACCGGCTAAGCAACCCAAAGTTCTTCGACTGCGCATGGGCGCGCACCCAGTCAAAAAGGGCCCCCTTCGAAGCCTTGACGACATTTTCGGTCAACCCGCCGACACTGATTACGAGGCCTGCAGCCACCCCTTCCAAAAACTCGGGAACATCCATCATCTTCACTACTAACGGAAAAGTGTCGTGAGCCATGGACCAGTTCACCGTCAGAGTCGATGGAAAAATCTGCTTTTCAAGGTATAATCGACCAGGGATACCGTCAATGCGAGGCGAGCTTGAATGGAGCAATCGAAACAATACGGTTCCGGCGATCATCCGTATGCTATCCAGCTTTTCAGCGAGCTGCTTGGCAAGGGCGTCGAACTAGGATGGGACAAGACGGACAAGTTAGCACATCAAAAATGCTCACAAGCAGCGAAAGAGCAGCCGAGAGACGTACAATCATGCCAACAGCATCGGGAGATACTCGTTGAGCAAATGACATCGCGGATTTTTGACTTGATCTTGTGTACTCTGCATTCGTACGGTGCGTTGTATCAAGCGCGGGCGACTCCGCATATTCGGATGCCAGCTCAGCTTTCTCGTGCAACGGCCTTTTCACGCGAAGAATACCTACCCCGGTAGGACTGAAGTAGTAATAGCCTAGAGCTGGCTTCTCAAATTTGACATAGCACACCTGACCGAGCTCAGTCGAGTTGCTGACTTCTTCAATCTTGCGTTTTCGGTCGGATACGGTGTCAATGATCACCCCACGACCGTACTTTGTATGCGCGATTGTGCCTACGAGCCGCAACTTATGATGTACCGCGTGTGTACTCTTACTAAGAAGCAGCTTCTCGATGCCCAGCATGGCTTCTTTGCGAACCCAGGAACCTACGTCTCCTCGCTCGTCTACCCGATAGTCTGTATGAATACATTGAACGAGCGTATGGACTATATCGTCTTCCATGCCGTTTAGAGTTAGCTCAGCTGATGGTCGACAGCACAAATCCACCAGAGCGAGAACTGCTGCCACTCGACTTCCGGGGTCCTCATTTTCTGTAGCACGTTCTTGGAGTACAATGGATCGAAAAACTGCAGCAAATGCGTCTTTGAGGCAAGGCTGGACTAATTCTTTAGCTGAGACACCCACGGCGCGCAAAAACCCTCGACGTGCAGCAACATTGGGATTCTGAACTTCGACAGCAACGCCGGTTTCCTTGGAAACCACCATGATCCCCGAACCAATGAATCGCGGTATCAACCCTTGCATGTACCTGACATGCGGCATACTGCCCTTTTCAAATATTTTGGGACAGTACTGAGTCGTGAAGGCACCGAAAGCGTCGATAGCAGCATCACGAACGCTATCATTCGGGTGCACAAAGCACTCTTCGAGCAAAGACACATATTTCTTCACATAAACAAATCCCAGACTCAGTCGAGAATTCGAAATCACTTCAATCACATTGCAAACAGCGGTGCGAATCATCTCCCCGCCACGTCCGCGAAACAGACGCCGCTTATCGATCTCAACGGGCAGCATCTTGACCTTCTTTTGTACCTCCCCATCGATGAACACAGGGACCTGAGCCAAACACGTGAGCAGCTCTGCAATACTGATAACGGCACCATGCCGAATGATAACTTCGACATCCGGAGCGAGTGCGTACTCAAGCAGTTTCGGAAACAAGCGGGTCATTGCATATGGTGGGTCGAAGGTCCCAATCTTACCTAGTGCAGCAGCAGCAAGAGCACGGATCTGGACATCCCAGTGAACAACCTTAGAGCTGACGAGATGCTCTAGTAGCGAGTAGCGATATTCTGGATACTTTGCGACAAAGACGCTTACATCAAGGTACGCGTGTCGTAAACTTGCGACCGTAAAATAGTCTGCTTTAGTGAGCAGATCAATGCCATTTGGAAAATTGGTACGTCCTTGCCTACCGACATTTTCTTGAAAAGCTGCCGATGCTGCACGGCGGCAGTTCAACTCGCGATCAAACACACAGGTCACCAGCATTGCTGGCGCAAGGACTTGATTTAGCCAAGGCAGAAGCGACGATGGCTCGTACGCGCGTGCAAACGACCAGCACGCGTAGCACGCAGCGTCGCGAACATGAGAGCCAATGCTGTATGTACCCTTTCGAATCTCGTACTTCAGTGCATGTGCCACGCACTCTACTGCGTCTGGTAAACGTTGGGGTAGCAAGACACCACGACGAGCAAGTTCTGCCAGTGCCAGACTAGCACCGTGCCAGGCCCCATCACCCTCAGTGGCCACAAAGAGCTCGAGCACAGACTGCACAATGTCGTCCGCGAACTCATACGGTAAACGACCAGTGATTCGCCCAATGCCTTTTGCTGCCGACCAGCGCACCACCGTATCTTTGTCCCGCAATCCGCACAGAAGAAGCTCAACTATCTGCTCCAGCTCTCCCACCACCTCAAAAGCATCATCAATGACATTCTCGCTACTACCTTCTCCACGGCTGTTTTCCGGGGTCGCAACGACAGCATTACTCGCAGGTAATCCCAAAGACTGCATATTAAGCTCTAATGACCGCATACCGCGGCTGTACCGCCATGGACGTATCATTGGTGGCAAGTACAGTAGACCAAGACGTTGCACAAGCTTGATGCCCAATTTGCGGTGCATGGTGTTGGTGCTAGTACGGTCGGACCGCGTGTTGTCTTCAGTGAGGTGGGCCATTTGCCGCATAATGGTGGCAAAGTAAATACGACTAGCTTCTATGTGCTGCTCCCGTGGTGAGTTCTTGGCAATGTGCGCAAGACAGAGCAGTATTCCAGTTACTTTAAATTGTGCCACACGCGTATCAGCGCCATCCAACGCTATGAGAAGCTCTTTGTTCGCCCAGTTGAGGAATTGTGTCAAATAGTGCTGTCCCATATCTGGTCTGCTAAGTAGTCGCGACAAACACACTGCAGCTGCAAGTTGCGTAGCGCTCGGGTCACTCAGATAGTCTTTGCAGAGCGTCACAATGTCGGACACGATGGAGACCGTATCGTTGAAGGTATAAGTGGTACTTGACGACGACGAGTCAATCGTATTGAGGTCGAAAGGCACGAGACACAGCATCGACAGCCACAGCAGCAGGACATGGCGTGTCTCCCACGTTGAATGGTCACTGCGATCCTGAGACTGGAGCAGCTCCAGCGTCGGCTCAAAGTCACTCACTTCATGAGGCAGCAGCTTCACCACTGTCTTATAGCCACGCACTTTGCACAAATGGTACACAATCTGGAACAACTTGTGAAGTCTTGGGTTGTGGTACACTTGGCATGGGAACGCCACTCCATCGGTAGGTTTGGCTACTCTGTTGCCTCGATGGACCATCACGTGCTTGATTTCGTCCATAATAGGGTCTAGCATCTCGTGCAAATAAGGGTCCAGTAAATGGGACTGTTCCAAGTACCTGTCTAGCTGTACACAAATAACATTATTATTTAATTGTCAATCAATTGAGTAATTGGTTGTACGTTTTGTATCGTATTGTATTGCGATTGAAACTCATTGATATTGTCGCGGAAAAACGTACGATTCGAGTGATTGTAGAGTGCACAGCAAGGAAGTCCTGGTCCACGTCGTCGTGAGGCGTGAGCGGTCGCGTGGACAGCAGTTTCTGCAATAGATCGTGCACTTGTTGATGCTCATCAAAGAAGCGCTTCTCGCTGCAGCTCTCGCTCTCCATGGTGCACTTGCTGCTGTGACTTGGAGTGCTGATTTCCCATACAAATTTGTGGTCAGATAGAGTAGACGCTTTATTATAGAGTGCGAACTTAAGGTACTCGGTGAAGTGTGATGCGGTAGTTTTAAAGTTGCGCGACCACGAACCAAAGGTCAGGTATGTTGACCAAAGGTCAGATATGTTGATTGCAGGTTTAGCTGTTGAGGACGACGTTCTCATAAAAGCGCAAGGATGGTACGGAAACTGTTTGGCTGACTCGCTGTTCGAATATACGTTAAATCATGTAATCACGGTTCGTGTCCCCCGACTTGTTTTGCCCGGCTTCATCACTTCAGGATACAATTGGAGCTATCTTTCTAGCTCTTGATCGTTTTGTCTTAATACTGTGCCAAGTGTTGACGACCCAGGCTCTTGCTTAATCAATAGATGTGGTAATCTCAGCAAAACTATCGTGGCAACGAACATTGAGCTCTTCCGATCACAACTCGCTCTAGTTTTTGTTTTACGTTAACGAACGATATGACCTATCTTACCAAGACACTGCGACAACTTATTTCTTCCGCTGTTCCGAAGGCACTTGAGAAATCAGCTATTACCTCGACAACAAATGTCACTCTTCACGTACTTAACGGCAACACTGACACTCTCGTCGACTTGTTATGACGTAACCGATGATTCATCTCCTCATATCTGTTTGGTGCCGCTCAATTCTAAAAGTACAGTGCAATCGCTCGTTCCTGTCTTTCTTGACCTTAACGGACATCAAGCAGAAAAGGGGCTCGACGTGACGTCAATCCTTCTAATATAATGTCATGAGCCACACGTGGTGTAGAGATTCGTTGACTGTGTATCCCTCCTATTGGCTGATCATGAAAGTCGGAGTTCGTTGCGCTAATACTCGTCGGGTTCATTTTCGTTGACTTCAAGCTCGTCGACATGAAAATCACCGAGATGAGACTCGTCGAGATAAAACTCGTCGAGACAAGATTCGTCGAGTTTCAAATTTAGCGAAGCAGCTGCAAGATCGACCGTTCAATGCACCAGGTAGTTGTATGGGAGAAGTTGGGGGCGAATGGGAACCACCCGATAGGCTCCCTATATTAGAAAAAAAGATGGTTAAATACAGAGCAGAATTTTTCAAGTCCAAGACACGTGTACACCCTCAAGATAAGTCCCTGCGCGGGCTAGATTATGCCTGCTGTCGAAACTTAAGAGATATAGCGTGAAGAGGTTTTGACTGCAAGCGCCAAGAGGTAAGTCGGCCCAGGTTGGGTAACACTCCCTTTAGCAAAACCATTCTTGTCACACGTCGATCCGGTAGCCCAATAGACGACACCTTTCTGAGTCTTGAGTGGCGGGTCGGTTTCCAATGGACAGCACCATTTGAGTCTTGTTAATTGACGCGCCGGTAGCCCGATAGACGGTACCGTTTTGGGTCTCGTCGAGCGTAGGTCCAGTGACCCGGTGTAACGGGGCACCCTGAAGCTTGTACTGGTGACAGTACAAGCTACTTATTCTGATGACAGAATAAGGCGGTGCCTCGTAACTTCACGTACACTCGTACGTGCAGAGGAAGACGGTAAGAAGAAGCGAGTACTTGGTTAAAGTAAAAAGTAGAACTGTATTTAATAATAGTTAATGTCTGCAATAAATCACTATTTATCTTCATCTAACTATGTCTAAATACAAATGTGTAAATCAGTTATCTGCTCACCACTCATTGCGTGCGTCTGTCGTGGCGCGTCTTCGTTGGTTGATATAATGGCATATATCAACCAATTAGGAACTACTCGTAAGTGCTACAGAATATTTGTCCTTATGACAATATTCTGAGAATAAAACTCTTATAGTTATATTCTATTAACAATTTCTTATAAATTGTTATGTAACGATTCACCCCGTTACATCACCCCCCCCCCTTAACCATCAGTCACTTTAGTGAATGATTGACTAAATGGATACTCGTCCCAAATCATTTGGGACAGGGTTTGCACTTGTTGGTCCGCGTCCACTTTCCAACATCTCATCGCATGGTAAACAAGCCCATGCGATGCGCGAGCAAGGCCGCCGAGAGCGCGTCCGCACGTCTCTGTGCGGACGCCGAAGCAGAAACCACAGCAACTGATGTCTCATCGGTTGCTAAAGCGACTCAGCCTGTGTCACTTGGTGATGCAGGCGCTGGTCATGAAGACACTCATGTCTTCACAGAGTATGAGCTCGGTGTCTCATACTCTCCTGATACGGAAGACGGATCCGTATCGACGGCGATTGAATCCAAGCCGCCTGCCAAGCGTGGCATGGATGATGCTTTGCGTCGCAGAATCTTTGGTTCATCTGATGAATCAGATGAACCATCGCCGAAGCGAAGGCGCTCGAGGTCGCGAGACTCGGGCGCTAATAGTGGTGTCGGTTCTCCTATGGACACCACTTCACAGCGAGGTGCCAGTACTTCTGTCGGCACATCGCAGGAAGAGCGGGACCGCAATGTCTTGCGTCTCGCTCCTGAGAAGAAGGCATGGATGCCTCCAAAATCCGTCATGGATCACTTGTCGGCGACGACGAGTGATCGTTATCGAACACGATTGTTCGATTCGTCAAGGATCCATCACCTTGACCCCAGCGCGAAAAACTATCGCGCTGAACATGAATTCTTCATCGATGCTTTCTTTAGACATCGATGGTACAGTGGGAATCACAAACGTGATGGTCCCTCACTACTTCAGGCGTGGAACGCCTACATCCATAACCTCGAGGATGTAGGTCGTGACGCTTGGAACGACAAACTTATCAAAGCTCGTGATAAGTTTGAAAAGCGAACCCCGACAGGTGCACGCTACAAGCTGCATCGTCTGTCAAGGGAGAAAGGATTACCCTGCCTCTCTTGGGGAGACTCGTGCCCATGTTGTGTGAACAACTCTGCACGAGCACCTAAGGAGGCTTACCTCCTTACCAGCCCGTGGTGGCGCGTACGTGTCTCTACTGAGATGTACGAAGGGATTGACAACCTGAAATCCCTTTACGACCGTGCCGGGAAGACTTTCTCCGGCGGTCCTTCTGCGGCACAGGATGTGCCGCGTCGTACTGCTCAACCAGACCCAGTACGTCGATCATCAGTTGGGAGCGGGGCTCCCAAGAATCCCAGGACGGGGGATAGCCGCGCCACCGGACGAGATAACTCGTCCGACGTCCGTTCACGTCGCGGTGGTTCAACAGCTGCTCAACTAGATAGCGCTGGCCACCGCGAGAGTCCTCTAATGGAGGTGGAGGAGGAGGAAAGACGCTCTCCACACGATCATGTGGATCGGTGTGTTCCCGAGAGCTTCTTTGATCGCGTAACGCAAGGGTTACGCGACGATCTCGAACATGAGCGGAATAGGCGTCTCCAAATGGCGGACACTGCCTCGAAGCATCGAGCTGAGTTTGCCTTTGCTCAGCTCGAGAACGAGAGATCTCTGACATCTCTTCGTGACGAGCTAAGGGTAGCTCGTGGGATTGCTGATCGGTCTCGGGATGAGATAGCTGCTCTTCAGACCCTTGTTGATGCCCACCATCGGGAGCACAAGGCTCTTTGCGAGATGCTTGAGCGCAAGGGCATTCTTCATCGGAAGAAGCAGCGTACTGATGGTACGGCTTAAGCCGACCAACGTAAAACGTGGGATGCGTTCGCATCTTACGTGGTAACTCGATCGTGTATGCATTGCCTAGGCGGTGCAATACACGAAATGGGCCGATGTACTTGGGTAGTAGTTTACTGCTACCCAAGTTAGTCACTACATGCTTTGGTAGATTAACCGTAGACAGTAGGACTAAGTCACCTTTATTAAATAAAAGAGTGTTTGCCCTTCCATTCTTGTCAGCGTTTTGCTTTTGCTTATCCACCGCTTCGGCGATGGAGTCTTGCACAAAACGGACTACCGTTTCACGAGCCAGTATGAACTCATCTGATGACTCGTTAGCTTCAGTGCGCTGTGAGCGCACTGCAGCAACATCAACCTGTTCTTCAGTGAGGGCTTCCGCACTCTCACTGGCATCATCTTCTTCGATATCGATGTTATCGATATCGGCATCAAACGCAATGACTTCTTCGTCAGAGCGTGATGAGCGTGAACCAAATCGGTTTTTGCTCGCGCGAGTCCCTCCCCCCCTTAAACCAGAGTTACACTCTAGTAAGGTGGGTGCACGCGGATGGCGCAAGCCATTCACGTAAAACGGCGTGTGTGTCGTGGACGCATGCACCGAGTTGTTGATGGCAAACTCTACCATTGGCAAAAACTCACTCCAACTCTTAAAGGAGTGTACGTATCCTCGAAGTATCTCTTCAAGGACACGATTGGCACGTTCCGTCTGACCATCTGACTCTGGATGATCAGATGTCGACATCTTCAAGCGCGTTCCGAGTGATTTGAACACGGAACGCCAGAAATCAGCAGTGAATCGTGGATCTCTGTCTAATACGAGTTCACGGGGCAACCCATGAAGTTGGAAGATGGTGTCAATAAAGACACAAGCACAGCCACTTGCCGTGATTGTCTCTGTTACAGCCACAAGGTGTACCATTTTGCTGAATCTGTCAACAAATACGAGAATACCCGTATTCCCGCGTGCGTCTTTGGGTAACCCGAAGACGAAATCCATTGAGATGGATTCCCAGCACTCTGCCGGAACTGGTAGAGGCTGTAAGGTGCACGCAGTGAAGGACTTGACTTCACTCGTTGACAGACTTCGCATGCGCGAACATACTTTCGCACAAACTGATACTGGCGGGGCCAGTAAAAGTCTCGACTTACCGTGAGATATGTTTTCTCTCGGCCACGATGTCCTCCTATAGGAGCATCGTGATACTCGAACATGATCCGCAAACGCAGATCATTATCATCTGGAATGACAACACGTGGTGTGTCACCAGAAACGGCTGTATAACACAGTAAACCGTTACGAGCAGTGTATCGATCTGACGCAGATCGATACGCAGGCGACAATCGTTTCAACGATTCTCGGGATGGTTGGGAGAGATGTGTCAAAAACTTCACAATCTCACCATCTTGGGCGTATGCCCGCCTCACATCATCATACAACGTTGTAGATGGGACTGAGGACGTCATAACCGCAACAGTGACTGTCTCACTGTTGGGTTTCGCGACTGATTCAGAGTCGGGACGACGTGAGAGTGCATCAGCGACGACATTAAGTCTTCCTGGTTTGTACTCGACCGTAAAGTTGTATTCCGCAAAGAATGACAACCACCGCGCCATTCGTTGTGAAAGGTGCGGGCTGTTCACTGCCGTGCGTAATGACGCATGGTCAGTGTAAACAATGAAGGGTCTATCTCCTAATAGATAGACTCTGAGCTTCGCGAGTGCATACTTCATGGCAAGGAGTTCCTTGTCATGCACTGGATAGTTCCGCTCAGCTGGTTGCAGCTGACGCGACTGATAGCAGACGACGCGTTCAACGCCTTCAAGATCGTACTGCATTAATGCACAGCCGATTGCAAAATCGCTGGCATCACAGACCACATGAAATGGCCTGTCCTGATCGGCTATTGCTAGGACTGGGGATTGTATCAAGCTCTGCTTGATACCCTCAAAGGAGCGCTGACATTCAGCGTTCTATAACCACCTCTCGTTCTTTTTCAACAAACGAGAGAGGTGCACAGTCATCTCGGCGTAATTGCGTGAATACTTATGCAAATACGCCGCTAGCCCAAGGAATGTTCGAAGACCTTTGACATCAACCGGCACAGGCCAGTCGGTGATCGCCTTGATCTTTTCGGGATCAGGACGTACACCGTTCTTACCAACGATGCACCCAAGAAGTGGTATTTCGCTTGCGGCAAATATACACTTCTTGAGGTTTGCATACAATTGATGCTTTCGCATGATTGTAAGAACCTGTCGGACGTGGTACCTGTGAACCTCAACGTCCGACTTTCCATCCACAGCTCGACTATGGATGAATACGTCATCGAAATAACTCGGCGCGAATTCTCGTACTGGTCTCAACAGATGTGATACACATCTGTTGAACGTGGCAGGGGCATTACTGAGCCCTTGTGGCATTACTAGCCATTCCCAGAGCATGCCGCTAGGCGTGCTAACTGCGGTATAGGGTATATCCCGTTCTAGCATAAGGATTTGATATAAGCCATCCATCAAATCCATGGACGAAAAGATGGTACTCTTTGACATACCATCAATGATTACGTCCTTCCTCGGTATCGGCGTCTGAGCCGGTACCGTTGCAGCGTTCAATTTGTTGAACGCGTGCACTATCCGCCACCCTCCTGCTGCTTTTCGCACACAGAAGGTCGGAGAGCTATGTGGGGAAGTTGATTCCCTCACATGGCCCGCAGCTAAACGATCGGCAAAGAACTTGTCGATCGCAAGTACTTGTTCACGAGGCAGTGGCCACTGCTTCATGACACAGTACTTCGAGCCTGGTTTAAGCTCGACCTCGTGTCGAATACCTTTATCCTTCGGTAATTCGCACGGAACAGTTTCAGGGAATACATCCTTGAATTCAACCAAATCTTTATAGAGAGGATTTGTCTTGAGCGATTCCCATGATTGGGAGTCATATCGCTCAATTCGTGTCTTTTCATCTAGGACACTCTCGTCCATAGATGAACTACTGAGAACTCTCTCGTTCTCCGTAAACACTGTTGCTGGCCTTATGTCGGTTACACACTCGTCGTCAGCGACGAGTATGCAGATCTGCTTGACTTTGCCACTACGCAGATCACGCAAGAACCTTTTATGTTCGAGCGTTGGCAACTGAGTGATCTACGAAGTTAACTTCGGAGGCGCAATCAGATCAAGTGTATAAGCGCCTACACTTGATCCGTTATTGACTATGACGTTCAATGTCTCTGTCATTTCCTGGGGACTTATTCCCTCAGGCTTCGAAGGACTTATTCCTTCGGCTTCCCGGGGACTTATTCCCGCGGGTTTCGGGGAACTTATTTCCGCCGTATTTGTAATCTTGGGACTTAATCCCTTTACTTCCTCTAGCTGGGGTTGCGTAACCACAGCGAGATCCTCTACGAAAGACTCTCCAATCGATCTAGGATTATCGTTTCGCTTAACCTGAGCGATCGATTGTTTCTCTTCTAGATGTTCCCCGCTAGGGATACATCTTTGTCCCGGTCCACTCGACTTATTCGAGTGGTGGACCTTCGGCGCAGCCTGTGTTTCCTCACAGCCGCCGGAACTTTGCTCCGAAGTGTAACCGTTTGGTACACTAAGGTTTTGTGCAGTCGTACTAACGACCGTACCACAAGTGAGGCCATCACACTCACTCGTAGTACATCCACACGCTTGTGGACGCTCCAAAACGTTCATCAGATGGCCATCTGATGAACAAGCGGCAGGCATCGTTACTGTTCGATGTTGCCAGTTTACCCGTGGTTCGTACCTTCTGAGCCACGGTATTCCAAGGATGACATCAAATTTGTCATCCAAATCCAATACGATAAAGTCATCGTCATATTGGGTATCTTCTAGCGTATAGTGGATCTTCACTATACGCTTCATGACGGTTACGGATGCGCCTGTCGCAAGCCGTACCGTCATCCTCGTAGGAGGTGTGTCACATTCACTGAATTTAAAGTGACCATCTTCTAGCGATTGGCGTCGCACAAAATTGTTGGACGCCCCACAATCGACTAGAGCTCGAAGGGACAACTTATTTGACACTTCGGATTTCAAGGTAATGAGTGAGACCTCATTACCTAGAGCAGCAACGCACAACGTTTGTGTGTTGGGAGAAACCTTCATCAAGAGGCCTACAAATTCTCTTGACGTTGCTGGATCAGTAGGGTGCTCCGCACCTACTGGTCCTGTCCGTTTTTTGACGGTCCATCCCGTTGTTGCGTCTTTGCACCAACAGCGGACCCTCGTCCCTGCCCCTTTCTCATGGGTGGACGGTCACTACGCCCAGTGTCGCGAGACACTGGACGAGGGGCACTACACTCGTAAGCGTAGTGTCCTGTCTTTTGACATCTGTTGCATCTCTGCAACTTCTTGTAGCCTGTAGAGCGAGCCTTCTCGCTCTCTACATAACAGAGTTCCATCGGCTCTGGACCTCCGTTGTCATATCGTCTCGGTTGACGATATGATGTCGAGCTGGCGCGAGCCTGTCTCAGACTGAAGTCTTCCTGCTCCGCAATGGAAATGGCTTGTTCTAGTGAATCTAGTTCAAGCCGGAACAGGTGAGTCTTGACGGGACCATCCGCAAGACCCTGCATGAACACCGAAACCAACGTGTGTTCATCCACCGGATTGGAACTTATACAACTCGTGAGATGTCGTATATGTTGAGCGTAAGCGTGCACATCACGCTTACCCTGCGTGAGCTTCAAGAGTTCGGTTCGAGCTCTGAACTCAGCTCAAGGCGGTTCAAACGTTTGTCTGAGCCGCGACTTGAAGACTTCCAACGACCCAAACGCATATGGGTCGTGCAACTTGAGCCCCAGTGCCCAAGTCTTGGCACGTCCTGCCAGATTTGACTGGGCAAATGCAACTTGCATATCCCCGTCGTCGATGCGACGCGCCCTTATGGCGTCATCCAATTCGACGAACCATCTCAAGAGGGAGTCTTCTTCGACCCCCTATACTTGGAGATGTCAATCTTCAAGGTTTCGGGTCGACGCGAGTGCATCGACCCACCAGCAGCAGCCTGCTGCTGTCTCAACAGTTCAAACTGTTGAGCACCCTGTTCTCTCAACAACTCTGCTTGTTGAGAACCTTGTTGGTGAAGCAAGGCTACTTTCTCGCGTTCTGCGTCAAGTTCATTTTGAATGAACTTGGCGATAGTAGCATGTTGGGCATCTCTATTGAGAGCCTCTAGCATGACGCTAACAGCATGGATGCCCATGGTCGAACCCATTCGTTCAACCGCATCCCATTCGACATCGCTCAAATGGGAGTAGCCGTCACGCGTAGCGTGAAAGCTTTGGTCATCTTCATCATCCAACATATTCATGTTGGATGTGAACGTGGTCCTTGGACGGACTACGAAGTGCTACCAGGTGTAACGGGTCACCCTGAAGCTTGTACTGTCACCAGTACAAGCTACTTATTCTGATGACAGAATAAGGCGGTGCCTCGTAACTTCACGTACACTCGTACGTGCAGAGGAAGACGGTAAGAAGAAGCGAGTACTCGGTTAAAGTAAAAAGCAGAACTGTATTTATAATAGTTAATGTCTGCAATAAATCACTATTTATCTTCATCTAACTATGTCTAAATACAAATGTGTAAATCAGTTATCTGCTCACCACTCATTGCGTGCGTCTGTCGTGGCGCGTCTTCGTTGGTTGATATAATGGCCTATATCAACCAATTAGGAACTACTCGTAAGTGCTACAGAATATTTGTCCTTATGACAATATTCTAAGAATATAACTCTTATAGTTATATTCTATTAACATTTCTTATAAATTGTTATGTAACGATTCACCCCGTTACACCCGGTAGAAGGCACTGTATTAAGACTCGTCGAGAGACGAACCAGTGAGTCTTTAACCAAGTACACCTTAAGTTTTGAGTCGAGCGTACATTGCGCGTAATGGCCTGTTAATCGTGAAAACGCCAGCACTCATCCATTAATGTGAGTCACAGGATTTGGGGAGCGAAAGATGCTGATCTCAGACAGACTTCTGAAAGAGAGAGTGTTTGGTAGTCAGCGAGGAAGAAACCGCAACTGTACCTGAAAGGGCGAACTTCGAAAGGATTTATCCTGATATACTAGCCCAACTGCGCCGAGTTACTCGGCAAATATTTTGTTACTAGGTTAAGACTGTATTATTGAAGATTAAGCAAGCGCTACACCACACACGCATGTCCAGTTGGTTACTGTATCGAGCATCCTATAGTGCAATACACTGTACCTTGCGCATACGCTATCATGCAGAAACGAATTGGGTATGCTGATGCAATCAGATATGTCGAATCATGACACCAAAAAGAAAGTAATGCTGGCGTAAATTATAGGATACGAATACGCTTTAGTATGACATAGAGTTTAAGAAAAAGTTGCATACATCGATTTGGTATTCCTAGCCCTTGAACAAATCGCAGAGAGTAAACCTGATTAAAATAATTTATAAACGAAAATAAAGTTGACGACGTCGCTACTTTGTAGGGAGGCTGACTTCCCAGCAGGACAAGATTTAAATATATTTAAGCGATTACTGAACTTCCAGCCAAATCCTGAAACTCAACGCTGGAAGTGGACACATGTGGTGGAGTCCAAGCTTCAGTTCTAGCGATGTAATACAACCGTGGCTTGCCGAGGGACTGCCGTCGCAGATGGCAACTGCACTTCTGTACTCGTTGTTGTCCTGGTCCGTCAAGATTCGTCTTGTCTTGTCCTACCCTGTACTAAGGGTGAGAAAATATGCTTACGATTGAACAACCCGATCAATAAAGTTCAAAATCAGTGCGTTCATAATGTCTCTCTTCACGACCAAATTATCACTGCTAAATTTGATCACATCAAATCGATGCGTGATCATTGTGTCAGGCTTGATCTGTTGGAAAAAGAAATGGGGTCACTGCCGCTTCGGTGATTTCTACTGATCCGTGCATAGTGTTGAAGACAGTTGGCGAAGCGGACGCATGCGGCTGAACCGGCTCCACAATGGCAGTGAGTGTCACGACATTTATCTCGTAGAGGATCCTCGAATAAGCAAGGCTTCAATCGCATCTTGGTTGCATTGAAGCTTGATCGTGATATGCAATGGTGCATTTTTGTGAAGCTTGTTCTTTTCCATCAGAACAATGGCAGTAAGCTGTTTTCCTTCATTATCAGATCCGAAAATGTCCCAGATTCTACGTTTAATTGTTTTGCTTTTGAAATGAGTAAGTACTGCTAGACACTTTGGTTCGTGTGAGGCATGACCTCGTTGTTCACATTCTCTTCCGCTTTATTCTTACTCAGAGTACCGCAGTCGCTGATATTATGCGACGTCGTATTGTGCAAGGAACATCAACTTTCAGGCTTATAGTAGTTTTCTCCCGGTCCGTTTTACTTTTCGTTGATATGTTCCCTTGATTTTCTTTGACCTATTCGTTGAATGTGGGGATTGTGCTGGTCCATTTTCTGTGGGCTATCATACCAGTAGTTGCTATGTCTCTTGTCGCGGGAGGTCAGCTGTCGCTTAACTTTTTCGATCCGTGTAAAGTAGAGCATTATTTCGTTGAGGCATTCATAAACGACGAATGCCACGGGAAACTTCTTTTGACGTTCTCATTGCATCCCACATTGAATTAGTGTCAATGCCGGACGTCTCGAGCTTCTTCATCATCCAACGGTATTCAGCAAACAAATGGATGTATCTCTTGAGTCTTTTAAGAACTTTAGCACCATCGTATATATGCGCTGCACCATGGTCCACATTTCGGTGTCGGATCTTAATTGTAGTCATGTGGGGCTGACAACAACCCCCCTTCGCTTATTTAAACATATTAAAGTAAGTGTTGTTGAAGATGCGTTTCGTCCAGCGAGCGACAAATAAAAGGTACAGTCTGGTGTTTGCTAGTGCGCCTATCTGATGAGCATTGTGTATTGAGTAGATTTCTCATACGCTCGCATGAGTAATAACAGTAGTGTGGATTACTCATGCGGGACTATCTGATGAGTGATGTGTATAGAGTAGATTACTCATGCACGACTATACGATTAGTAATGCGCGATATAGCGACTAGGAACGTGTGATCAAAGAATCCAGTAGGCTTTGAGTAGCTACAAGTTTGTAAACTAAGGACCTAGATATATTCACTTTGCATTTTGCCAACAACTGAGCACTTTACCGTTTATTAGGACGACCCTAGGCGATTTATTTTTTGTGTAATTACTTTACCTTCCGTTTCGACGTTTTTCTGTAACGAGCGCGACGATTTTGTATGCCTTCTGTTCTTCTATCCACTGCTTCTAGTGGATGAAGCTGTGCAATTGGCTACTCCAGCCAATCCGCTCGCGGTGTGATCCGCAGGTAATTGTTTTATTCTTGATCATTGCCGTCTGGGCGGGAAGGTCGGCGCTTTCTGGGGTGACCACCAAGACGCAGGTTATGTACTGGTCCTCACGACAGCTTATCATGATACAAAACGCTTTATTCCATTATCTGATGTCGATCGGATTTGATAAATCACAAAGTACCCTTCACTTGCAGAGGGGCGGTCTGTCCTCTGCCTCACTCAGGAGGGTCAACTGTAACGGGGCACCCTGAAGCTTGTACTGGTGACAGTACAAGCTACTTATTCTGATGACAGAATAAGGCGGTGCCTCGTAACTTCACGTACACTCGTACGTGCAGAGGAAGACGGTAAGAAGAAGCGAGTACTCGGTTAAAGTAAAAAGTAGAACTGTATTTAATATAGTTAATGTCTGCAATAAATCACTGTTTATCCTCATCTAACTATGTCTAAATACAAATGTGTAAATCAGTTATCTGCTCACCACTCATTGCGTGCGTCTGTCGTGGCGCGTCTTCGTTGGTTGATATAATGGCATATATCAACCAATTAGGAACTACTCGTAAGTGCTACAGAATATTTGTCCTTATGACAATATTCTAAGAATATAACTCTTATAGTTATATTCTATTAACATTTCTTATAAATTGTTATGTAACGATTCACCCCGTTACACCCGGTAGAAGGTACTGTATTAAGACTCGTCGAGAGACGAACCAGTGAGTCTTTAACCAAGTACACCTTAAGTTTTGAGTCGAGCGTACATTGCGCGTAATGGCCTGTTAATCGTGAAAACGCCAGCACTCATCCATTAATGTGAGTCACAGGATTTGGGGAGCGAAAGATGCTGATCTCAGACAGACTTCTGAAAGAGAGAGTGTTTGGTAGTCAGCGAGGAAGAAACCGCAACTGTACCTGAAAGGGCGAACTTCGAAAGGATTTATCCTGATATACTAGCCCAACTGCGCCGAGTTACTCGGCAAATATTTTGTTACTAGGTTAAGACTGTATTATTGAAGATTAAGCAAGCGCTACACCACACACGCATGTCCAGTTGGTTACTGTATCGAGCATCCTATAGTGCAATACACTGTACCTTGCGCATACGCTATCATGCAGAAACGAATTGGGTATGCTGATGCAATCAGATATGTCGAATCATGACACCAAAAAGAAAGTAATGCTGGCGTAAATTATAGGATACGAATACGCTTTAGTATGACATAGAGTTTAAGAAAAAGTTGCATACATCGATTTGGTATTCCTAGCCCTTGAACAAATCGCAGAGAGTAAACCTGATTAAAATAATTTATAAACGAAAATAAAGTTGACGACGTCGCTACTTTGTAGGGAGGCTGACTTCCCAGCAGGACAAGATTTAAATATATTTAAGCGATTACTGAACTTCCAGCCAAATCCTGAAACTCAACGCTGGAAGTGGACACATGTGGTGGAGTGCAAGCTTCAGTTCTAGCGATGTAATACAACCGTGGCTTGCCGAGGGACTGCCGTCGCAGATGGCAACTGCACTTCTGTACTCGTTGTTGTCCTGGTCCGTCAAGATTCGTCTTGTCTTGTCCTACCCTGTACTAAGGGTGAGAAAATATGCTTACGATTGAACAACCCGATCAATAAAGTTCAAAATCAGTGCGTTCATAATCTCTCTCTTCACGACCAAATTATCACTGCTAAATTTGATCACATCAAATCGATGCGTGATCATTGTGTCAGGCTTGATCTGTTGGAAAAAGAAATGGGGTCACTGCCGCTTCGGTGATTTCTACTGATCCGTGCATAGTGTTGAAGACAGTTGGCGAAGCGGACGCATGCGGCTGAACCGGCTCCACAATGGCAGTGAGTGTCACGACATTTATCTCGTAGAGGATCCTCGAATAAGCAAGGCTTCAATCGCATCTTGGTTGCATTGAAGCTTGATCGTGATATGCAATGGTGCATTTTTGTGAAGCTTGTTCTTTTCCATCAGAACAATGGCAGTAAGCTGTT